CCTAACACCATACACAGAAATAAACTCAAAATGGATTAGAGACCTAAATGTAAGGCCAGACACTATAAAACTCTTAGAGGAAAACATAGGCAGAACACTCCATGACTTAAATCACAGCAAGATCCTTTTTGACCCACCTCCTAGAGAAATGGAAATAAAAACAAAAATAAACAAATGGGACCTAATGAAAGTTAAAAGCTTTTGCACAACAAAGGAAACCATAAGATGAAAAGACAAGCCTCAGAATGGGAGAAAATATTTGCAAACAAAGTAACTGACGAAGGATTAATCTCCAAAATACACAAGCAGCTCATGCAGCTCAATATCAAAAAAACAAACGACCCAAAACAAAAATGGGCAGAAGATCTAAACAGACATTTCTCCAAAGAAGATATACAGATGGCCAAGAAGCACATGAAAGGATGCTCAACATCACTAATCATTAGAGAAATGCAAATCAAAACTACAGTGAGGTATCACCTCACACTGGTCAGAATGGCCATCATCAAGAGATCTACAAACAATAAATGCTGGAGAGGGTGTGGAGAAAAGGGAACCCTCTTGCACTGTTGGTGAGAATGTAAATTGATAGAGCCACTATGGAGAACAGTATGGAGGTTCCTTAAAAAACTGAAAATAGAACTACCATACAACCCAGCAGTCCCACTACTGGGCATATACCCTGAGAAAACCATAATTCAAAAAGAGTCATGTACCGCAATGTTCATTGAAGCTCTGTTTACAATAGCCAGGACATGGAAGCAACCTGAGTGTCCATCGACAGATGAATGGATAAAGAAGATGTGGCACATATATACAATGGAATATTACTCAGCCATAGAAAGGAATGAAACTGAGTTATTTGTAGTGAGGTGGATGGACCTAGAGACTGTCATACAGAGTGAAGTAAGTCAGAAAGAGCTAAACAAATACCATATGCTAATATGTAGAATCTAAAAAAAATAAATGGTTCTGAAGAACCTAGGGGCAGGACAGGAATAAAGACGCAGATGTAGAGAATGGACTTGAGGACACAGGGAGGGGGAAGGGTAAGCTGGGAGAAAGTGAGAGAGTGGCATGGACATATACACACTACCAAACATAAAATAGATAGCTAGTGGGAAGCAGCCGTATAGCACAGGGAGATCAGCTCTGTGCTTTGTGACCACCTAGAGGGGTGGGTTAGGGAGGGTGGGAGGGAGACGCAAGAGGGAAGAGATGTGGGGATGTATGTACATGTATAGCTGATTCACTTTGTTATACAGCAGAAACTAACACACCACTGTAAAACAATTATACTCCAATAAAGATGTTAAAAAAAAAGAATTATTGTGAAAGGCAAATAGCATTTAATGTACAATTTAAATTCTATGTACATCCCTCACTTTAGAGAGTAGACCTGTCCTTGAAAACTTACATGTAAATCAAAATGTTGCCAGATAGGACAGTATTCCAAAGCACAACTGGTGCTTGTTATTTAAAGGAATAATTAATAATAACTGTATACACACTCTGTCTGTTTTTTTCTGTTCTGTGAATCGAGGTTTTCGAGTGTTACATGAATTTCTTAGCTCAGGGTAGACCCGTATCGAGCCTGTATGGAACCTACCCTACCGTTCACTCTGATGCTTTAACAAGTGAAACAGCTTCTCCACAGATCCTGGACCTCCTTTGTATAATCACATTCCGAGCCTTAGATCATAGGCAAGGCGATGTTCTGAGAGACGCCCCAGAAGTGTCCCAATTACCAGTGTGTATTCCTCATAGGCAAGGCGATGTTCTGAGAGACGCCCCAGAAGTGTCCCAGTTACCAGTGTGTATTCCTCTGATTTTCTTTTTATGATTCTAAGCCAGATATTTTAAGCTTTGGATTACGTACGCACTGTTTTTGCATTAGTGAATTTCCTTCTCTTTCTACCCCATAACATGGGTGATTAGGAGTTAAGTACATACGTAAATCCTTGGTGCTAAAAAATAATTTTAAAAGTTGGAATCTCCTGAACTTTGATGTATACATAATTCCCAATTAAATAACACTAACTGTGATTGATTTGGTTGGTATTGAGTAATAAACACCCTCACCAGGAGACGATTTTAAATCTGCTTGGATTTGGAACAAAGGCCCTGAAACTGTAGCCCTTGTTTTGCAGATAATGACCACTGTGAAGGACGTAGAATTTCCACTGATAAAGTCAGAATTGGAAGCAATCGATGTCAAATTGTTGGACGCTGAGACGACCTTATTCTGGAACGGCAAAGGTACAAAGGCGACATTCATTCCCCCTTAGGTTAAACTTGGATGAGGGGGATGGAGGGCCGGGTCCAACCTGCCGGCCACCTGGAGTTCCTGTGGAATTAGTGATCCGCCTACGTGGGGATAGGGAGGCCTTGTTTCCCAAGAGACACGATGTGCTTTATTCCTCAGCGTTGCCTTTTGGGAAGCTCTCCACGATTTCCTCTGCTTCAGGCTCCGGAGAAGCGGACAGACTCGCCGAGCATTGTGTTGTAATAACGAGTGTTAAGCCAGCCCTTGCTAAATCGTTCATTTTGTAAGATCCCTTTATGCTTCTGTTTTAGGTGTGTTTGAATATATTCAAGCGATGCGAGAAATGCTATACAACTTGCAGAACAGGATACAAAAAGCAAAGCAAAACATAGAGGGGATTTCCCAGGCCATGAAGGTGAGTAACCTGCAAAGCACAGAGCGCGGCTTAAATGGGGACCCCGGAGAGGGTCCTGGGGAAACGGGCCCCCTCGGAGACGATCACGGAAAGTGCCCAAGGCAGTGGGGGCCTGATGTGTGAGGCTCTGGGCTGTACCATGGTGACGTCAGGGTGGCCCCAAGGCAGAAGGGCCCCTGGTCACTCTGCAGAGCTCCATTCCATCTGGGTCTGTTGAGCTCAGCAAGTGTGTGGGCAGGTCCTTCTGCCAGGTGGGTGCCAGGAACGAGGGTGGGGGTGGAGACGCGCTCAGACTCAACCCCACCGGGAACACACTCATCCCTCCATGCAGAGCAGCACAGGTCCTTGCTCTCAAGCCTCATCAGAAAACTGGGGGAAAGCCTTCGCTAGCTCTGCCCTCCCCCACCATGGTTTGTCATCGGTGCCTGCATTTGCAGACACCTGCCCCGGGCCAGCACTAGTTTGTTCATTAGAAAACACCTCTTCTGTTTTGAGACTCATTTGGCTTATCAAGGTGTGAAACTCTTTCCTTCCTTACAATTGACGTTCATTTCATCACCATCCACTTAGATTTAACTCAATACATTGTAAGCAAAAGCCATTGCTCACCCCACTTTTCTCTGATTTGTTTTCTGATTCAGTTTTCTTTCAATCAGATTATTTACTCAAGTAATTGCCTCAGAAAGGGTGCGTTGATGACCTACTTTCTGAATCCTTGCTTTCCAAAACTATCTTTCTTTGGATGTCACCTATAGCTGTCTTGTCCAAGTAAAGGATTTTCTGATATGGTCCTTTTCTTTCAGTAGTCTAGAAGCATCCCTGTACTCGTCTGCTCTGGCTGCCATAACAAAGGACCAGAGACTGGGCAGCTTAAACAGCAGAAATTTATTGTCTCATAGTCCTGGAGGCTAGAAGTTTGAGATCAAGGTGCCAGCAGGGTTGGTTTCTTCTGAGGCCTCTCTCCTGGGTGTGTAGACGGCCATCTTTTCCCTGTGTCCTCACACGGTCGTCCCTCTGTGTCTATGTCCTAATCTCCTCTTCTTATAAGAACACCAGCCATATCAGATTTAGGCCCACCCTAATGACCTCACTTTAATCACCTCTTTGAAGACCTTCTCTCCAAATGCAGTAACATCCTGAGATGTTAGAGGTTAGAGCTTCAACATATAAATTTGTGGGAGGAGGCACAGTTCAGGCCACAGCCACCCCTGCTTATAGCCTAAATGTTGAAAAAGCTGACAAAGGTATGACTTCCCTTTGCTGATATATTTGATATTTCCTCTGAAAGATATTTTTTGACTTTCCTGTTCTCTCCGTCCAGAGGTAGGTAGAGTCCTTGGTCATCTTCAGGGTTCAGACGTGTCACCAGAGTGTATCCAGACGTGTGTCTCCTTTTGTTAATGTTCCCTGGATCCACAAAGTACTTTCAATCCAAAAATGGCAACCTTGCCTCAGCCCCCGGGCACCTTCTCCAGTCACTCATTCTCTCCTGTGTGTCCCTTTCTGTCCTGTATTCTGAGCATCTCCACATGTGTCTCCAGATCTGGCTGCCATGTCCCGTCACCCCCAGCTCCTGAGGTTCCCCGACAAGAGGGTCAGACACTCCTTCCCCTAGAGGGGCTCCTTTGGGGCCTGACTGGGGAACATGCACAGGGGTCTCTCCATGGTCCTCCAAGGCCCTGGTTGGTTTTGAGTCACATCATTGGAGGCTCTCTGGCCAACAGTCCTCAGCGGCCCCTTGGCCTCTGCGAGGCCAGCCTAGGATGGGGACACTCACTCTAAAGGCTGTGTAGGAGGGAGTAGGGCCAGAAGCTTTTTCTTCAGACACTTTTCTCCCGCTCACCTTTTCCCTCCAGGACTGGTCGGCCAACCCAATGTTTGAAAGGAAGGACAACAAGAAAGAGGCCCTGTTAGACTTGGACGGGAGGATGGCCAACCTCAGCAAGCGCTACACCGCGGTCAAGGACGCCGGCCTGAAGATCCAGTCCATGGTCATGGTAAGGAGCTGCCTGGGAGGGCCTTGGAGAGGCCATGGGCTCTCAGCAGCCGGGGAGGGAGGAGGGAGAGCTCGAGGCTTCAGAAAACATCAGGCGTCTAAGACCTTTAATCCAGGAGTCCGATCTTACAGTAGCAGACCCTGCTAACTGCTCCCCCGGAAGCCTGATTCCTCTTGTCACGTGTCTGCCCTCCTCCCCTAACGGTGTCAGAGCCCCCTCCCCCCACCCCACATGAATCGGTGTAGACAAGTGACACCTTCGTACCAAGTCCCTGGGAGAAGCTGTATCACGGCTTCCCACCCCTGAGTGTGAGGAAGGCCCAGCAGCACGGAAAGAGAGAGGAGCACGGGATGTGGGTGCCCTGTGGTGTTTGGGTGCCAACACGTTGAAACTGGGATAATGTGCGGACACGTGCTTGCTGGGCTGCCCGGCGTGAGGGTTATTCCTTTCTGCCAGCCGTCTCAAGGGTCCTTGGGCCCGGGGCCCCACAGGCACGGGCACGGTCGGAGGGGGATGCAGAATGGGAGCCTCATGCCCCTCGTAGCTCTGCCTGATTCCCAGCAGCATGGGGTTCTCACGCCTTCCTCTGTCTTCCTCCGTCCGTGGCCACTTTAGCCAGCTTGTATTTTCGCCTATTTCTGAGGCAAATGTGAAAGGTGCAGCTCTGCGTTGGCCTGGAAAGGAGAAAACTGCCCGCCCCACCCCCCACCCCACCGAGCTCAAGATATTTTCAGGACAGTTTTTCGGGGTTTCCCAGTGCATGGTGCAAATCATTGCTATGGCCTTAAATGATGGGTCGCCACATCCAGACAGACCAGCAGGCCCCCCAGGAGGAGGGTCTGTGCTGGGCTGTTCTCATGGTCAAGTCATTGATTGGAAGGTCATTGCCCCTGTGGAGTGACTTGACTGGACCAAGAAATATTTTGTCTTGTTTCCAGATCCTCTTCCTTTCCCCTTTGCCCTGGTGCCAGAAGGGCCAACGAAATTAACGTGTTAGACTGCAAAAAGGTTATTTGGAAGAGTTAACCGATTAACCTATTAACATTACCAGATGTGTTGGAAACAACAGGGGAGACATAAATCTAGCTTAGCATTGGGAAGAGGTTCACAGCACACTAGCCCAGCTGGAGGGCGAGCCAGGAGGGAACAGGAGCCCCAGTGAGGCAGAGGCCAGGGAGCAATTGACAAGGCTTTGTTATCACAACATTTGTCAGAGTCCTCTACTCCCATAATGGTCATTTGAACCATTGTTACACTGAAGTTATTTAAGCCTGTGTCTTCTCTCCCCTATTAGAATATAACTGCCTGAGAGTATAGACTGGGTCACAGTCATCTTTGTGTTTTCCTGTAGCACTCAGTGTCTTACAGTTTCATCTATCCACCAACCCACCCACCCACCCATCCATCCACCCACCCAAACATCCATCCATCCACCCACCCATCCATCCACTCATCCATCCACCCATCCATCCACCCATCCATCCATCCATCCATCCATCCATCCATCCATCCATCCATCCATCCATACATCCATACATCCATCCATCCACCCACCCATCCACCCACCAGCTCCTGCTCTGTTCCAGGCATACTACTTAGTGCTGGAGGTATAATGGTGGAAAGGACAGTCAATCCCTGTCCTCGTGATGCTTGGCATCAAGGGGAGGTACAGACCAAAGACAAAATAATTCAGAATTGTCATCTGTGCCATCACAGGCACAAATAACAAATTGCTAGAGGGAACACAGGTCGGGGGGCAGGGACAGGAACCAAACCTGAGATGAATGGGGGCTAGTCAAGAAGGGCCTTTGTGAGGAGCTGACATTTGACCTGAAACCTAAAAGATGAGAAGAAGCCACACCTGGCATGAATGGGAGGGAGCAGCCTACTGGAAGAGCCTGGAGGGTTCAAGAAGCCAAAAGCAGACCACTGTGTGTGGAGGGTGTGAATGAGGATGAGGGTAGCCCAGGGAATTGTTGAATAAATTGCCTAAAGAGGGAACAGGTGGACCAGTGAGACGACAGCCAGCCATGTGGTTCTGTTTGCAGGAAAATGCGGAACTCTTCAGAGCGAACACGATGAGCCAGTCCTGGAAGGATTATGTCAACTACGTTGACAGCATGGTCTTGGATGAATTTGACCATTTCATTCGCAAGTCTCTAAATCACCTAATGGACAACATGGTCGTAGATGTAAGTTACAAATGTGAGATATATATATGCATATACATATATGTGTATTATGATATTATAAATATGAGAAAGGTTGACGCTGGAATGTATAATCTGTGGTTTCCTGATGAAAGAACAGACTGTCATGTTACAAATGAACAGACTTATTAAAGTCTTCCCAAGGTGACCAACTCGTCCCGATTTTAAACCTGAAAGTCCTGCGTCCCGGGACCCTGCTCAGTCCCAGGTGCTCAGGACATCTGGCCCTTAAATATGCTGCGGCGTAAGTGGGCTATAGAACACGTACAGGGATCTGAGTTGTCCTATGCTGCTGCCAGGTGAGGAAAAGCAGGTACCACTGCCCCCTCCTTATGCTGATTGGGGGTGGGAGGTGCCCTCCTATCGGCAACATCAGCCACCAGCCCGCTCAACCCTCTGCTGAACTGAGTAGAAGCTTAAACCAGGTCAGCACTGTGGCTTTGCTGGTTAACTGCATCCCAGCCTGTTCTCCAAGAGCTATTCCCTGCCCATGTCCTTTTCACTACAGTGGTTCCCAAGTGATTTTGAATACTGCCAGGAGGGCAAGATGAGAGACACTCTCCCCGCCAAAGCCTACCCGCAGGAAAGGATGGTGGGCACTGCAGTGAGATGCCCTTACACAAGCTGCAGAGGGCGCTTGTCCCCAGAAAATCACAGACCCCAGATTCTGTTGATGAAAGTAGTCGGCATTACCAACTGTTAAGTCTCACCAAGCAAGGCACAGTGACACGGTATCAGCAATGAAGGTAGCTAATTTATAGTAAACTTATAAACTAAATTATCACTACAAAGAGAGGAGAGTCACAATCAAAAGCATGATGAGACCCTGATAACAAAGCAGCCTCAAAAAATCCCAGGGAGTCCCCGTATTTGTGAGTGGCCAAGCAGCGGAAGCGGACCCCTGAGTCAGAGGCTTTAGAAAAGTCTGGTCCCCTGAGTTTGTGACAACAGACCTCTCCCACTTAGCAACTCACTCAGGCACTAGTGCAGACCCCGCCCTACTCAGTCATAGAACCAGGGGTCTCTCAAGCCAGCCACCCACAGGGCCAGCATGGGACTACGTTTGGAGGAAGATCAGTGGCCGTAGAGCAGGTCCCGAGGCCACCCGTGGGCTTTGGCCCGCACTTTGAGACTCGCCGGTATGTTGGGCGAGCCTCTACCCTGTTCCCTTACACATGAGGCTGCAACTCAGCCTCGCAGCCTCACAAGAGGGATCCTCACAAGAGGGAATAGACAGGCTTATGGCGTGTGTGCTTTAGAAACAGAACCTCCAAGGGACATGAGGGCTTGTCCTTTCTGGAGCTCAGCGGAGACCATCCTGCCTGTCTGTGACACTCCCTGCCCCTGCCCCACTGAGCACTGTGGCCACAGCTGCTGACACACCTGAGACAGCCACTACCTCACGTGCTCTATGTGTTAGTCGTCCCTCTAGTCCTCACGGTAACCCAAAGAGATGGGGACAGTGATTGCCTCTGTTCTATAAAGCAGCTGTACTCATTTTGTATATTTGGGGAAACTGGGAAGCCGAGGGTCTCGCCCAAGGCCACGCAGCTAGACAGTAGCAGATATGGGCTTTGAACGGAGGTAATGGGTCTCCTCGGCACTCACGATCACTGCTGTATCCCGCCCTGGACACCCAACCTGCATTTGGCCCGATGGCGTTGCATTTGGTTGTGTAGTTCTCGCTCAAGGGCCCTCAGGAAGTGCGTTCTCTGCAGTGGCCCCAGCCAGCAAGGGTTAGCCATATACCTTGTCTGGTGCTGGGGTGAACATCCGGGCACCGAAAATGGTTCAGCTGAGGGCAAGTCTTTGACCCCATGACGGCCTGTTTCAGGAGAGCATCGCACCGCTGTTTGAGGTCCGCATGGAGCTGGACGAGGATGGGCTGGTCTTCAATCCATCCCTGGAGGTGGGCGGGGACCAAGGCTTCCTGGCGCTGATCGGGAGCCTGGTCACTGACATCTACAATGCAGCCAAGCTCATCCCCAGGCTGGCCAAGGGCAGGATGAACTACAAGGTCAGTCTGGGCTTGGTATGGCCCCACCCCTTTCCCTGCCACCAACTGCTACCCCTACTGGGTCCTGAAGGTGAAGAGGAGCCCAGAGGCTTCCATTCCATCGGGTTCCCCAGGACAGTGGCCCGGATTTCTCTCTCCACTCCTGAGATCCCATCTTTCTCCCCAGAGCGGCTTCTCGTCGGTCGACCTGGTTTTCATTCCCCTGATGGCTCCCCACCCCCAATAAGACGCCAAGTGTGCATCCCCAACCTCACTGGTACTTCACTCCCTCCCGTAATTTAAACCCTGTGATCCTCTGACCATGCAGGCTCTTTGACAAATGCGCCTTGCATGGGCTCCCGCACCCATTTGCTCTGAATGCATTAAACACCTAATGTGCATCTGACACGTAAAATGCAGTCAGATCAGATCCTGGGGATGCAAAGGTGTGGGAAATTCAGCCCCACCCCCCGCCAAAGGGAGGCCTGAGAAGGTGTGTTTGTCAGAGCATGGTTTGTGGGGCAGTTAAACAAAAATTGGAAAAGACCTAAATGACCATCAAACACAGGTGTCCTTCGGTAGATTCCGGCCCATCCAGACAAAGGCATCCGGATGAGTCCCAAAAGGGAGCCCGGGATGGAAAGCTGCTCGTGACACGTTTGTTATTAAGTGTTTAAGTTGCGGAACAATGTTTAGAATGTGATTTCATTCGTTTAAACAAAACAAAAGCCTGCCCTCCTATGAATACACTCCAAACTGTTAAGAGTGCTTGCTTCTGGGAAACAGGATCGGGGTGAGGATGGTAGGAGGACAGGGGATGCCAAGGGAGCTTTTTATTTTATGTGCTTCTGCCTCATTTGAACTTTTTGATAATGGGCGCGTATTATTTGTAATAACAAATATTTACAGCAAGATGCTCTGTGCTGTTAGGGACAGAGGTATGTGTGCATACGTGTGCGTGTGTGAGTGAATGTAGTGATGTGAGGACACGAGGAAATACCTGGCAAGGTCAAGGACAGCTTCCCAGAGGAGCTGACGCGCGTTCTGAGTCTTGAAGGGTGGAAGGGGATTTCCAGGCAGAGAGAATGGCTTGAGGATTCCTGAGCCGCAAAAAGGTGGTATTTCTGGCCCAAGTGCACGCAGCAGGCTGTTCCACAGCTCAGAATAAAGTGAACTATGCCACCAGTGGTCAGCCCAAGAATACACGCAACACAGAGCTGGACTCCCACGTGTGCTCCAGAATCTGATAGGATGCGCATCCGGGGCTCCTGCACCCACCCCGGGGTCCTGAGGGGCTTGGCATGATGAACAGGACAGAACAAAGCAGAATAAGGGTCCCGGTGATCAGGCCGTACCCCGGGCTGTGCACGCCCCGCTCTGGTCTCATTTGTATCCATGAGATTTTAATTTACAGAAGTGACCGAGTGACTACATGGAGAGGTCAGTGCCATTGACAGAAAACGTTAATGTCACTCACAGTTCCCCTGGAAAGGAGAAGCACGGCTGGCTACTCAGGGTCTCGGGGGAGGCAGCAGGTTTGGTCAGAAAGCAGAAGCAGGACGGAGGGCGAAGCCCAGGCCAGAGGCTTTGCTGGGGTTTCTGCGGGAAGGCGAGACAGGACCAGGGAAACAGCTCGGGGCCAGCCACTCTGCACATCGGCGGCTCAGGGCTATGGGGGTCGTCTCCAGTTATCTGGTACCTGGCCCTGGGTGATGGGGCAGGGGGAACATGGGCTTGGAGTGTGAGGGTTAGTTAGATAAAGTAGGCGGATGGGGGATTGGCTGGCTTTCACGTGAAAGGTGTGCTCCCATCCCAGCCCTTTGCTCTCTTAGAATTGGCTGGCCCTGCGAGGGGCAGTCTCTCCCCAGCCAGCAAGATTTTTTAAGATGCCAAAGCTTCTTAAGATACAGGAAATTTTAAAAACATGGTTAATACACACCCTCCACCTTGAGATTCTCCAGTTACATAAGGCAATTGCTCCCTTTTCGCTAACACCAATTTGGGTTGGGTTTTCTGTCACTTGAAACTCAGAGCATCCTGTCCAGCCCGGGCCTCCCGTGCTCCTACTCCGGCCATCATGTGGTCTCCACGCAGGTCCTCACACATCTGCTTCCCTCCCAGCACAGGGCCTTTGCACGTGCTGTGTTGCTACTCTTGCTCTTTACCTACAGTCCATCAGCTCTCAGACCAATGGTCACTTCCCCAGGGAGCGTTCCCCAACCTCCTCCCTGTTACACCTGAATGCAAGGGTCAGAGTCATGATGTCTCGTTTCTGTGATTTTTTTGATGAACATCTGACCCCACTCCTGGGCTGTCTACATCACGTGAGCCCTGTCGACACCCCTAGGGCCCCCTCCCCCTGCGTGCACACAGCAGATTCTGAGTAACTACTTAATGAATGAAGCCACATGAGTCATCCTGGAGTTTGCCTGGCAAAAGTCACGTCCAGTGTATCTTCTCACGGGAGAACATTGCAAACATTGTTTGCAGATGTCCCTGCGTCCCATCTAGAGAGGTTAGCCACACTTGCACCAACAGGGAGCCACTCTCCAGGGCGGGGAGACCACGGGCGAAGCGCTCACCCATCTGCGCCCCTCCTGCCCCTTGCAGACCGACCTGGAAGACGTGACCGACCTCATAGAGATGGGGGAGGAGCTGTCCAACCTGGTCATCAGCGCCATAAAGGAGGCTGAGGAGTACCAGGACTCCTTCGAGCGCTACGCCTACCTGTGGATGGACGACCCCCAGGAGGTCATGAAGAGCTTCCTCATCTATGGCCGCGCCATCAGCCCGGAGGACTGGGACCCCCAGGCCGAGGAGACCCTCCCCAAGATGCCGCCTACCCTCGCCCAGTTCCAGCAGCAGGTGTGTGTGAACCTCACCCACCGGCTTCCTCAACTCCAGAATCCCTGCCATGGAGGGGCACTGGACTTGATTTAAAACTTGGGTGAACATTGTTTTTACGTTTTTATTTATTTATTTATTTATTTTTGGCTGCGTTGGGTCTTCGTTGCTGCACGCGGGCTTTCTCTAATTGCGGCGAGCGGGGGCTACTCTTCGTTGTGGTGCGTGGGCTTATTGCGGTGGCTTCTCTTTGTTGTGGAGCACAGGCTCTAGGCTCGTGGGCTTCAGTAGTTGCAGCACACAGGCTCAGTAGTTGTGGCTCGCGGGCTCTAGAGCGCAGGCTCAGTAGCCGTGGCGCACGGGCTTAGTTGCTCCGCGGCATGTGGGATCTTGCCAGACCAGAGATCGAACCTATGTCCTCTGAATTGGCACACAGATTCTTAACCACTGCGCCACCACGGAAGTCCAGGGTGAACATTTTTTAAATGTAAGTTTTATTATAATTCAAGTATGGAGAGACCAACAGATCAGACGCCTGCTGTGAAAAGAGAGGTTGTGACTCGTGGCTCCCAAGAGGAGGGGGGCACTCCATGCCATGCAGGGCCACGTAGGGCCACACGGGGAGGCACCAGTGTCGGGCAGGAGGCCGAGGGAATGAGGGGAAAGCGTGGCTGAGAGCCTGAACTGTGGTCTTCATGGGGAAGAATGGGCAAGGCAGGGCAAGCAGGCTTAGGATGGGCTAGTTTGGATCATTTCAGTGATTCAGGGGCGTACTGGCTGTCCCGGGTTGTCAGGAACCTGGCCCTGGGGTGATTAGGGCAGGTGGACAGTGGCCTGGAGTGTGAGAGCCCCATAGAGGAGGCGGTTGGGTTGTGAGCTCTGGTTGGTTGTTTGCATATGAAAGGTGTGGTCCGGGGGGGTTTGTCTGCCATCTCTAGGACTTAGCCAGCCAGGGGGCAGGGGCAGTCCCTCCAGGGTCAGCGAGACCCCCAGTACCAGAGCTTCAGTAATATAGAGCATGATGGGAATTCCCTGGCAGTCTGGTGGTTAGGACTCAGAGCTTTCACTGCCATAGCTTGGGTTCGATCTCTGGTCAGGGAACTATGATCCCGCAAGACGTGCAGTGCGGCCAAAAAAACCAGGATATAGGACATGAGAAAACATAGTGAACTTACAAAACTTCACCTCTTTTCCTGAAGCTCAGTGAGGGTGACCCAGCCACAGGGAGATGCACATGGGGTGGGGGGACAGCTGGCTGGTGGAGCTTGAGAGCCCAAGGACGTGCAGCAGCATAGAGAGTTAAGGGATGCCCCATGGGTGCCCGGGACCCCATTCACCCCTTGAAACTTTTGGCCCCTGCTGGCCTTGCTTGATGACGTCCCTTTTTGACAGGCCATCCCGTGTCGGGGATAGACTGCTGGGCCGCAGGGCACCCCGGGGGAGCTGGGAGAAGGAAACTAGTGCCTCGTAAGGGCCTCCCACACACACACATGCTGTGCTGGCCCCAACCCCTGGCCCCGGCAGCCCGACAGGTGAACGGGGTTGTGTCTTCCAGATCAACTCCTATGAGAAGCTGTATGAGGAGGTGTCCAAGCGTGAGGACACCAAGGTGTTCAACGGCTGGCTGCAGTGTGACTGCCGGCCCTTCAAGCAGGCCCTCCTCAACACCACCAAGCGCTGGAGCCTCATGTTCAAGCGGCACCTGAGCAACCACGTGGTCAACAGGTGGGCACCAGGACCGCTGGCCTGACATTGATCATGCCCCAGAGAGCTATGTGCGAGGGGCACCTGCAGGCGGCCTTCCATGAAGTGTCGGTTGGACACCTCCTCCCCCAAACCGGGTGGCTGTTGGGGTGAAGGTCAGGCTCAGAGGCCGGCAGCCCCACGGAGGGTGGGTCCCAGCAGCAAGGTGTCACCTGGCAGGGCGTGGAGGTCCTGGTCCCTCGGTCATTGCTTCTTTACTGAGCACTTACCGTGTCTGGGCAACAGATGCCAAGGAACCCTTCAGGAGCCCTGAGTCGGGCAGGGAAGCCTGGCGTGAAACGTGCCGGTGGTACCTGTGCAGTTACAGGTGGGGTCGGGGCCGGGAGGGGCGTGGAGCCAGGAGAGCGTGTAATCCAGCTCCTCTGTCCGGGAGGCCCAGCAAAGGCTGCCCTGAGACGTGGCTCCATGCGGTACTCACCGACCAGTCGAGTCGGTGAGGCACAGGGGTGCTGGGCAGGCACCCATCACAGGCGGCCTCTCACCCACCAGCCTCGCAGACCTAGAAGCCTTCATGAAAGTCTCCAGGGCGGGCTTGATGAAGCCTCTCAAGGAGGGGGATTATGACGGCCTCGTGGAGGTGATGGGGCATCTGATGAAGGTCAAGGAGAGGCAGACGGCCACCGACAACATGTTTGAGCCCCTGAAGCAGACCATCGAGCTGCTCAAGTCCTATGGGGAGGAGATACCCGAGGAGACGCACGTGAAGCTTCAGGTAAACAGGCCTGGGGGGCCCCCGCTGGGGGAGCTGAAGCTGCGGGCAGGGCCAGAGGAGGGCGGGCTCTTGTGCCGGAGCCTGCAGGCTAGACCTCCTCTTCTAGACATGGAGTCCCCGTGGAATGGCAGGGTGGGAGGACAGGGCTCTCTGGAGACGAGGGGACAGTGAGGCGGCCTCCAGAAGGGGGGAGGGCAGTAGCTCTTCCATCTGATTGGAGTTTCAGTGGATAAAAAGTGCCTTTGAGTCCCACACCTCCTCCTGAGCGCAGTAGGAGCCTGGGCACGAGGGATGGGGGACCAAGAATGGGGTCAGCAGAGACCTGACCGGGTGAGGGCGCCCCAGCAGGGCAGTGGGGCAGCTGCTCTGGGAATCCCCCAACCCAGAAGGCCCGCAGCCGGCCCCGGCCCCGCGCGGGACAGGTGGGCCACAGCAGGGAGGCTGTAGGGGACTTCCAAAAGCCCAGTGCTTTACAGCTAATTCGCAGAGCGCCAGCTGTCGGTGTCAGAGCAGCTGTATGTGCAGCTGGGCTGGGCAGTGGTCGTGCTGAAGCTGGGTCCTGAAGCCACCGCCCAGCCACCCCCCTGGAGTTTGTCTCCTCCCAGACCTGGCTGCCTGCCCTCCTTCTCTGCCCTGGCTCTGGGACTGGTCAAACAGGCCTGACCAGGGGGAGGCACTAACTCCAGCCAGTGCCCGAGACCCCACAGCACAGGGGTGACAGGATTGTGTGTCGATTGTGTGTCGGTGGCCGCCGTGATCTCCGCGGTGATCTCATGCTGCCCAGGCCCTGCTTTAGAGCACGTTGTGTTTTGCCCCAGCTGCCCCGCCCGGGGCTCAGCTAAGGACCAGGATTCGAAGCATTTGTGGCCGGGCCCCAGGGGCTCCAGGGCTATGGACAGGGCGAGCGGTGAGATAAAAATTCTGAAAAACATTTGAGGTGTGTCGCTGCCAACAGACTGTTAGTTAATTGTAGAATAATGTGAAACAATGTCTATTTGTGGGTAAAGAATTTGGGGGCTGGGATTTTTTTCTTTAAAATATTTTATAATAAGTACAATATTTGCCCAAGTGTGGAGAACTTCGAAAATACAAAAACTCGTCTGATTGCTAAAGCCATTCTTGCCATGACAAAATCGTAGAAACGGAGGACAGGTTAGTGGCTGCCCAGGTTGGGGCGGGGGGCGGTGCTGGGTGCAGGTACAAGGAGGTAACACTAGACAGTTCCTTCACCGTGATGGACAGCAAGGTATGTGGATCGCGGCGGGGGTTATGGGACTCTATACATGAGGTAGAATTGCCTAGGACTGCACACGCTCACGATGCATGCACTCACACGCACACACACGCGCATGCATGCACACAACACACGCACACATGGATTCAGCTTAAAACACAGGGTGAAAACCGACAAGTTCCATCACCTGCTAACAGAAACGCCCCAGTGTCGGATGCCGGTTTGGGTATCGAGCCTCCACTTTGTGAGATGCCACCACCAGGGGAGGCTGGGGGCGGGCACACAGGACTCTCTGTGCTATTTTTGCAACTCCCCCTGAGTCTGTAATTATTTCACAGTAGAAAATTTTAAAAAGAGCAGAAAAAGGAGTGGTCCTTGGCCTTTGCCTGTGTAGGAACTGCCGGAGCAGTGGACCAACACCAAGAAGCTGGCCATCCAGGTGAAGCAGAACGTGGCACCCTTGCAGGCCAACGAGGTCAGCATCCTGCGACGGAGGTGCCAGCAGTTCGAGGTACCACGGCCTCGGGGCGGGGCGGGGCGTGGCATGCACCGCAGCTGGGCCCTGGGGCGGGAGCCTGATGGCTTCCACGTGGTCCTCCTGCAGCTCAAGCAGCACGAGTTCAGAGAGAAGTTCAGGCAAGAAGCCCCGTTCAGCTTCAGCGACCCCAACCCCTACAAGTCCCTCAATAAGGTACTTCTGCTCAAGGAGGAGATGGGGTAGTAACTCTGGGGACCCTGATGCTTTCTCATCCTTCCTCAAGCTGTCATTCTCATGAGCCCAGAAACGTGGCCTTGATGGGACTGGGCTCAGGGCCGTACCCGTGTGTGTGCGTGTGTGTGCACATCTGAATATCCTACAAGCCTCACAAACCCACCCTGCGGCTCAGCCCCTCCCTCTCCTAGGTCCCCACGTTCAGCAGTTTGCTGTCCCCTCGGGCTTTGCACTCACCCTGCTCCCTGGCGCCTTCTTCTCCCTGACTCGCCACGTGCAGCTGGTGGCCAAGCCTCACCTGTGTCCCCTGGTTCCCACTGCCCAAGTTCATGGTCAGTGTCCAACGTGCAAGCTCCATGGCCCCGGACCGGGCAGCCCATTCAGGCTAAGGCCCCATGGACTTCCACCTGGCAGGGGCGTTTGGGGTACATGGGGCCTGGGGGGCCCCCAGGAGCACAGCGGGGTACTGCAATGCTCCCGGCACAGTGCTCAGCCCCCACTGTGCCCGGGCCCCAGCCCACACCTCGACCACACTCTGCAGTACCACAGGCGTGAGCGCAAGGGCACCCCAAGATGTCCTTTAGGGCCACCCCACAGTTTCCCTCCCCGAGCCTCTGCTCTTTCCCCTGCTCAGCCTTGAAGCCCACCCTTCCCAGAGGCCAAGATCCTGCCCTCTCTCCATGGGCATTTTCTCAGTCACGCCCCCAGCCCAGAGCAGAGACGCCACCATTCTCTCCTTCGAGCCCCCCGAGCACTTAGCCGTGGATGCAGGCTAGGTTCTTTGAAGAGCTCCCCTGTCAAATCTGTTTAGGAACCACGTCCATTGTGAGAGAGGCCCGCAAGGCAGGGTGCAAACACTCGGGACCCCCCTGTGTACCCAGTCGAGCGTGGTACACACTCCACACCAAAGCTTTCGCAGCTGCCCGCGCTTAGTCGTGTGGCTCAGGACGAACCTTTTTTTCCTCCTCATTGCTTATCTAGATTTTTCTAGTTTTCAAAGCAATCAAGCATTACTTATATACATTTTAATACAATACAAATATATACAGTGAGAGAATGGGGGAGGTTCTGGGAAGTCAGAAAATGTTAGGAGGAAGTCTGGCGTTCATGCAACGTCCATTAAGAGTCAGTCCTCACACCTGAGCTCGCCGAGGTGACCCACCCTCCCATCAGAGGAGAAGCTGGGGGCGGGCGGGGAGGCCGCTGCCCTCCCAGCTGGAAAGTTTGCCACCACCCTGTATGCGTGGTGTTGGCTCTGGGCTTCACGGGGACGTGGCGGGGGAGACAGGGAAGGCTCCGCCGAGCGCCGGCACCCTGTTCACCAGCTTCTGCGTGCCCCCAGCAACAAAAGAGCATCGCAGCCATGGAGGGCGTCATGGAGGCTCTGTGCAAATCCGGGAGCCTGTTCGAGGTCACAGTGCCGGACTACAAGCAACTCAAGGCTTGTCACAAAGAGGTCCGCCAGCTGAAGGAGCTCTGGGACATGATCATCATGGTGAGGGGGGCGCCAAGCCTCAGGGGACGGGATTGGGGGGGCTCCACGGGCAGCATCCCAGCACCAAGAGGGGGCGCTCCCGTTATCCTTCCGTAACAGCCGCCTCTGATGGTTGATGGAGGCAAAAAGACGAGTAGGAAGCCTCACTGCTCCTGGTATCAAGGCTGTGTGTCCACAGCGGAGGTGCGCGTGTTCGCTCCCCAGTCTCATCTCTTGGCTCCTGTATTTCCAGAGATATTTTAGCTCTTCTCTCTTTTTATTTTTTATTTCATTTTATTTTATGTTGGAGTATAGTCAGTCAAGTGTTGTGTTAGTTTCAGGTGTACAGCAAAGTGGTTCAGTTATACACATACATGTATCTATTCTTTTTTTTGGAGGGGGGGGGGCAAGGAATAGCGACTTTATTTGGAAAGCCAGCAGACCGAGAAGATGGCCCACTAGTGTCCCAAAGAACCTTCTTACCCGAGTAGAATTCAGGCTTCTTGTATACTAAAAGGGGAGAGGGTGTGGCTGGTTGTTGCAAACTTCTTGGTGCTGGGATCCTTTGTTCTTGCAGCTGTCCACATAGTTCTGGTCGCAATGTTGACCTCCAACAAGACAAGTGTTATTTTCTGTTCTGCAACTTTTTAATCTCTATATGAATGGAAAAGTGTTATACCTTTAAAGGTCAAGCCCGGGAATATTTCAAGCTATAGGTGATATTCTTTTACAAAGGTGCAGACCCAGTAGGACCATGTATCTATTCTTTTTCATATTCTTTTCCCATTTATCACAGAGTATGGAGAGGAGTTCCCTGTGCTAGACAGTAGCTCCTTGTTGGATATCTTTTTTTATATATATATAGACAATGGCTTAATTTTATTTTTAAAATTTTTTTTGGCCATGCCGCGAGGCATGCAGGATCTTAGTTCCCCAACCAGGGATCGAACCCGTGTCCCCTGTAGTGGAAGCACAGAGTCCCAACCACTGGACCACTAGGGAAGTCCCTGGTTATCTTTTTGTTTTTAGAGAAATTAAAGTATTTATTCCATATACAATTTAGGTTTTTTTTAACTTTTTGTTTTATATTGGAGTATAGCCAATTAACAGTGTTGTGAGTTTCAGATACACAGCAAAGCGACTCAGCCATACGTATACAAGTATCCATTTTATTTGTTTTGTTAATATATTTATTTTTGGCTGCGTTGGATCTTCTTTGCTGTGCGCGGGCTTTCTCTAGTTGCGGCGAGCGGGGGCTACTCTTTGTTACGGTGCGCGGGCTTCTCATTGCGGTGGCTTCTCTTGTTGCGGAGCACGGGCTCTAGGTGCGCAGGCTTCAGTATTCGTGGCACTTGGGCTCAGTAGTTGTGCCTCTCGGGCTCTAGAGCGCAGGTTCAGTAGTTGTGGCGCATGGACTTAGTTGCTCCGCAGCATTTGGGATCTTCCCCGACCAGGGCTCAAACCCATGTTCCCTGCATTGGCAGGCGGATTCTTAACCACTGCACCACCAGGGAAGTCCCTACACATATCCATTTTAAATACAGCAGTGTGTACCTGTCAATCCCAAACTCCCAATCTATCCCTCCCCGCTCTTTCCCCCTGGTGACCATGAGTTCGTTCTCTAAGTCTGTGTTAGCTCTTCTCTGTTGTGCTCTTGAACGAACTTCAGAGTCTCTGAAAAATCCTCCTCCCTCCAAAAGAAAACTCTTACAGCTGTAGCTAGAGGTAAATCTACTCCATGAGCGAATCCGGGGAGAATTCCCCTCTTGACAGCCATGTTCACTGTCCCCACCCAGGAGCAGGCTCTGTCTTGTCAGTTATCTTATTTTTTTTATTACATCATAGTGAAATGCTGTAAATGTCTTCATCCTGACCATGCTGAATCTACCTATTTCTCACAGAGAGGGGGAAAAAATCTTTGGAGCCCCAGGCTACCTCACAACCACCCGCAAAGAGAGAGAACCCATTGATGCCTCTCGATGCTTTATTTTTTTCGCAGTTCACTGAATTCAAGCCTCTTGTGCATGAACGACATTACTGAACAGTCGGTGAAGTCAGAGCAGGATGCTGCACTTTCCCTCGATAAACAACACTTAGCGCAGACCCAAGAATACAGGTTACTTTTCCCAGGAGATAACGATAAGCATTTCTGGTCAGGGTGTTGCAAGAAAAATTCCCCAAAACAAACTAGCCAGGACAATTTTATGATAACGGATACAGAGCAGCTTAAACGCACCAGAAAGGGCCATCAATTCCTGTGGGGATTAAGGTTTCGAGTCTTGGGATCTGCAAGGTAACTCTCTTGTAAACACCCCAATTGTTTGTCTTTATCTGACACGGATGTCTGTCAAGACCGTGTCTTTCCACCCCAAGCCTGTCTCAGCAACCTCTGACCCCCTCCAGGACCAGCCCGTCCAGCTTCACAGATGTTCTCAGCCTACCCTGAATTAAAGACTGCAGCTTCACAGGGCTCTGTCTCCACTCTTGGTAGCATTGTCTCCCAGTAGTGCCTGTGTCTTGTTTCATCCTTTCGTGAGTGAAATATCTCCTGGTGTGTTTAATCAGTCAGTATAAGCTAGGTTACTCTGCAGTGACCGACAGCCCTAAAACAAAACAAAACAACAACAAAAAAAACTGTGTGTAGTTAACCACAGACATGTATTTCTCATTCACGCAAAGTCCACACTCCAGTTCCAAGCAACCCTTGGGCAGCTCAGTGCACGCATCCACCATTGCCAAGGCAGACGGAGGGAACTGGGGGCCAGGCGTTGGCAATCCAGTGCTTCTGCCCCCAAGTGTCGGGCATCACCCACATTCCATTGGTCGAGGCAACTGACGTGGCTGCACCAAGAAGTGGGACAGAACTAGATCCTGGTGAGCAGTGACAAGGCCCACGTTTTGCCAAAATATCTCTTAACTGCTGACTTTTAAGTTGAATCTTTTATGATGGAACTGGGTTGTTGGTTTTTTTTCCCCCTTGTATCCACCCACTTTACCAAGCTCTGTCATTAGTTCTCAAGACTCATTGGATTTTGCTTCCTGAGAGCAATGGCAGGAAGGTGGCACAGGTGCCTTCCTGAAGTGTCCCCAGTAGAGGAGACAGCGAGAGTTTCCATCTCAGGTCAACACCAGCATCGGTGACTGGAAGACCACCAAGTGGAAGAATATCAACGTCGAGCAGATGGACGTAGACTGCCAGAAGTTCACCAAGGCCGTGAGGTCCCTGGACAAGGAGGTGAAGGGCTGGGATGCCTTCGTGGGGCTGGACAACACCGTGAAGAACACGATCGCGTCCCTGCGCGCCGTGAGTGAGCTGCAGAACCCTGCCATCCGGAACCGCCACTGGCAGCAGCTCATGCAGGCCACCCAGGTACCGAGCCTCGGGGGAGGAGGGCGCTGCTCCTTGGGGACTCGCTACAGGATGGGCGAGGCTGACGCTGATAAAGCCGGCTTTGAGCATGCTTGGGCTCTGCGCTCAGAGGGGCCCCGCTCTGGGTTGGATGCTCTGCTGTCACCATGTTGAAGTCCTTAATAATTTTTTAACAAGGGACCCCATCATTTTCATTTGCACCAGGCCCCTCAAATTATGCAGCCAGTTCTGGTTGTAAGGTGAATGTCCCCGGGGCTAAGGAAGTTTGGGGCGGAGGAATAGCTCCCCGGGTTCCCCACGCGCCACAGGAACACAGAGTCCTAGCACCCAATTTTTCCCAGGGATATCCCCCAGTGGGGGGTCACTGGCCTTGACACTCACAGAAGGCAAATAGGAACATCCCCACCGTCAGCAAACATTGAACAAAACTCTGTGGAACGGCTACTCTGCAGAGGCCCCACGTAGATGCCAAGGATGCAGAGAGACAGAACACGGGCCCTGCTCTCAGGGAAGCAAAGGAAGAAAGAACAGCGTGGGTCACGGTGTTTGGGACGCCGAATGGGGTGCTCAGGGGTGATTCTAGGAGCATAGAGTAGGCAGTCACCTCCATGGCGAGGGAAGGGCAGGAACGGCTTCAGGAGCACACGGGATGTGGCCTGGGCCCTGGCGGGGAGAAACAGACGAGCAGAAGGGGTATCCTGAGCGCTGAGACCGCTGGCCAGCAGGCTCGTGTACCCCATCCAGGGCCTGGGAGAGACCCCCAGGCGGTGATCAACAAGCAGCTAAAACGTCCCAGGAACTGGGCATCACCGAGGACTGTTGAGACCCGGGCAGGTATTTTTCCAGCCATGATTGAGAGACACTCAATTTCATCACTTGGTTAAACCAATTTCCATGGCAGGCTTGGAATCGGGGCCTGGAAACGTCTGTCTATGTGACAGCGAGAAGGATTTGAGGACTGGGTGACACCATGAAAACACCTGGTATTGTTACTGGAGTAATAGTACCTGTGACTTGGCCACAACTGTTACTAACACGGCAGGTTCCTGAGGTGGTGGATCAGGTCCTGCGACTGCTGTAACAAAGCCCCACACCGTGGGGGGCTTAAAACCTCAGAAGTGTAGTCTTCCCTGGCTCTGGAGGCCAAAAACCTGAAATCAAGGTGTCGGCAGGACCGTGATCCCTCTGGCAGTCTAGGCGAGGGCCCTTCCCTGCCTCTTCCAGCTTCTGGTGGCCCCAGGTGATCCTTGGCTTGTGGCCGCATCCCTCCAATCCCTGCCTCAGTGGTCACGTGGGCTCTTCTGCATTTCAAATCTCCCTCCCCTTTCTCTGATGAAAATACCTGTCATCGGATTTAGGTTCTGTGCAGTTGATCCAGGACGATTTCATCTCAAGATCCTTAACAGCTGCAAAAACTCTATTTCCAAATAAGGTCACATTCTGAGGTCCAGGTGGACATGAATTTGGGGGGACACTATTCAATCCCCTATCAGTGGATTCTGCTGTTACCAGTTTGACAGGGAGGAGAGGCGAGGCCTGGAGACGTGACTGCCCAAGTCACGGAGCTTCCAACTGCCCCCGCCATGGCCTGGGTTCCTCCCTCGCCTGCCTCTCCATGAAGGACAAAGCTGTCCCTCAACGGGAGAACATGTGACCTTACGTGGAATGTGCCTCTTTTTTTCTTCCCGTAGGTGAAGTTTGAAATGTCAGATGAGACCACCCTGGCGGATTTACTCCAGCTGAACCTACATCAATACGAAGACGAGGTCCAAAACATCGTAGACAAGGCTGTGAAAGAGTCTGGCATGGAAAAGGTAGCCTTTGTTGACAGCAAAGTGCGTTTTGTAGGGGATGATGCTGAACCCGACCCACCTGCCTAACCCTACTGAACTCTCCTCCCCTACGAATCACCCTCACTTGTGGTCCATCCTGCCTCGGCCTTCTGAGAAGCTGAAGGGGGGGCGGGGGCAGGAGGGCCGGCCGTCAGCCAGTACCCGGGGCAGTTCCAGGACACACGGAAAGTCTGGCTGACTCCTTTGCGATTCAAACCTCTCTCCTCACCTGTTTTTTGAGTTTGAGTTGTCACATTTTGGCTTTCTTTTTTTTAACAAACGTATTGAGCTCTAAATCACATACCGTACCATTCACCCATTTAAAGTGTACAATTCAATGGCTTTTAGCATATTTACAGATATGTGCAACCATCACATATCACATATTAGAATTAGTCAATTTTAGAACATTTTTGTCTCCTCAAAAAGCAATGAAACCCAGACGCTTTAGCTGTGACCCCCCCCATCTTCTCATACCCCCCACCCCAGCTCTAAGCAACCACGAGCCCACTTTCTGTTTCTATAGGTTTGCCTTTTCTGGACATTTCATATAAAGGGAAACATATACTATGTGGGCTTCAGTGTCTGGCTTCTTTCACTAAGCATGTTTTCAAGTTTCCTTCATGTTGTAGCATGTGCCTGAGCTTCATTCTTTCGTGTGGCCAAATAATATTTCATTATACGAATACACCACATTTTGTTGATCTGTTCATCCATTGAGGGACATCTGGGTGGTTTCCATCTGTTGGCCATTGTAAATAACATTGGCATGAACATTTTGGCTTTCTGAAAAGCGCCTCCTTTCTGAAGGGGTTCCTTCCATGTCCTAGGAAACTCTGGGTCCTTTTCAGCCCCTCATGCCAGACACTTGCTGACCCGATTTCTGTTCCCCCAAAAGGTGCTGAAAACCCTGGATAGTACCTGGTCCACCATGGAGTTTGAGCACAGGCAGCACCCGCGGACAGGCACCATGATGCTCAAGACGGATGAGGTGCTGGTGGAGACGCTGGAGGACAGCCAGGTGCAGCTGCAGAACCTGATGACGTCCAGGTACCTGTCCCACTTCCTGAAGGAGGTGACGAGCTGGCAGCAGAAACTGTCCGCTGCGGACTCGGTCATCTCCATCTGGTTCGAGGTCCAGAGAACCTGGAGCCACCTGGAGAGCATCTTCATTGGTTCCAAAGACATCCGCGCCCAGCTGCCGGAGGACTCCAAACGCTTTGATGACATCGACCAGGAGTTCAAGGTGAGCACAGCTCTCTCGCTCCTGCCTGGGCACTTTCGGAAATGGCTCCGTTGGAGAAAACAGGGCTCCTGATGCCGTGGCGGCCCCTTTCTCTTCCCAGGCCTTGATGGAGGAGGCGGTGAAAACACCCAACGTGGTCGAAGCCACCAACAAACCTGGTCTCTATAACAAACTTGAGAACCTGAAGAAGAGGTGGGTCCCACACTGTCCAGGGGAGGGGCTTCACTGTGGCAGAAACCCGAGTCATGTGCCCCTTGCTGGCCAGGACGGGGAAAGCCCCAGGTTGTGGGTTAACACATCCCCTTCCTCAGAGTGCGAGCTCTCAGGCCACATCCTGCCACGCCGGCCACAGGGCGGGCCTTCAGCCTCAGAAGAAGCATTGACTGCAGAGATTAAACTATACCCTATCATACCTGGGGACACCCACCAGGTCAGGGGCTGGCAGAGAACAAGTGTGGAAGATTTGAATCAAACTGGGGCTGTGAACAGCCTGGGCGTCTCCGGGGCTGTCCGTCTAGCGCTTGGAAGGATGGGCTGGAAAAGACCCTCTGTCGAGCAGGACTCAGCAGGCTTGTTTCCTCCCCCAAGGTTGGCCGTGTGTGAAAAGGCCCTGGCCGAATATTTAGAGACAAAAAGACTTGCTTTCCCAAGGTTCTACTTCGTCTCCTCAGCCGACCTCCTGGACATTCTCTCCAATGGAAATGACCCCGTGGAGGTGGGTGGGCCCCTGGCATTGTGAAGAGAGGCCGACCTCAGGTGCGGCCTCCAGGCTCCAGGCAGGTCCCGGCTTGGCTCCATGTCCGGGTGGCCCTGGGATGTTGGAGGAGTGTCCACAGGTGTCCACGAGGTCTTCCACACCTGAAACCACCCAGGGGCTGGGCCATGACAGAAAGACCTGGGACTGGTCTCAGACCCTGCCCTTCCCTCCCCGAGCCTCATCCGCATCCTCTGGAAAATGGGTGAGATGCCCGTTTCTGAGAGACACGCCCGCTCATCCTAATAAATCCCAGGCGCCAGGAAGAAAAGGTCCCTTGAGGTTCCTCTTCTAAAAGAGAGGAGGGTTAGCTACCCCGGCGAAGGAAAGCGACTGTCTTATTTTAATCATGAAGTTCCAGACGCACAAGAAGGCAGCCACAGGGTGGCCCACAATTTAGGTTCTGAGCGTCTGACCTAGGGACGCGGGTCCCATGCCCGGGACAGAACCGTCTCAAGGAAAAGAAATCTTCAGGAACAGACATTCGGAAGGTTCCGCCTGAGACCAGTTTTTGCCATTTGTTGGCTAAGTGCGTTCAGTCAACATCCCAGAGGCGAGGTGGGGGCGGCAGGTATAAGCCAAAAAGAAAAAAGATGCTTAAAACCGCCCGAGGAAGACCCAGGCTGCATGTCTCCTGCCTTTGAACCCCTTGGCTGCAAAATCCAGTGATCCCCCCGCCCAATCCAGGTGAGCCGCCACCTGTCCAAGCTCTTCGACAGCCTGTGTAAACTGAAGTTCCGCCTCGACGCCGACGGGAAGCCGCTCAGGTTTGGCCTGGGCATGTACAGCAAGGAGGACGAGTACGTGGACTTTGACCGGGAATGTGACCTCTCGGGGCAGGTGCGTGCGTGTGCGGAGGGACGCCCCCGCCCCAACCCAGGACGACAGTGCAGCGTGTACAGGGCCACACGGCCTCAGACAGGCTGTCACCCCCAGCCTGGGACCACCCCTCTCTCCTTCCCTCTGCCTCTCAGAACAAATGCTTAAGGGGCTTCTCTATAGAATTTCCAGCACAGCCTTACCTGCACAGTATGAGGTGCATTGTGAGAAAAAGAAAGAAGAGAAAGGAGGGGACGGAGGGGGAGAAAAGGTTTATTAATGCCATTGAGTCTTTATTATTTTATTTATTATTATTAATGCCAAGGGGTTAGTGTTAGCGGCACCTGCCCCCCTCTTTGAAGGGGGCCACACACACCTGAACCAGCCAGTTCTCATTCCTGCCCAGCGTAAGGGGCTTTACTGCTTTGATTTAGCAGAGGGGTCCCTTTACCTTGGGCAGCCCGGCCCCCTTTCCAGCTTCCCCCCACCCCAGGAGGCTGCTCCCTTCTGCTGACAGCAAGCTTCCCGGCTGCCCTCCACGCCCCCCCTCCCCCAATCTCTTTGCCCAAGTATTGATCAAGCCTCCGAATCGATCTTGACCTTAGCCTAAGCGAAATGTAATTCAGAGGTAGGTCAGCTTGTGGGGTAAAAACCTCACGCAAGAAAACCCGAGCTCCCACAACTTGAATTCGGAGAACCTGGCCAGATGGGGTTGGCAGGCCGGTGGCAGGATCCAGTCCTCAGTTCGTTCAGATGCTTCCCACACGTGACTACTTACAGACATAACCACGAACTACAGCGAGCTCTGCCGGCACTGTCGTTGTAGTTTAAAAGAAAAACCAGCCCAACTATCTCATTTGGGTATGTCCCCCCCAGTTGCAGTCAGCTGACGTTTCGTATTTTAAGATACACAAAGGCTCATCAGCAAGTTTGTCCACATGACGGCGTAAGACCCTGAGACGACGCACCTGGGGAGCTAGTGGGGGCTCCACTAGTAAGGGACACGGGGCAGCGGGGCTGGGGGACAGGCCCCGCGTCTCTGCACATGAGCACCACTTCATAGGGTCAGACATAGACTGTCTTCTCCTCTTGACTTTCCTCTGGTTTCCCCTCCCTTCTCTGTGTAGAAACAGTTAATGCCCACGATGCCCAATGCAACCAGTTGTGCGGGGACAGCTGGGCTTGCTGACCACATTTTTCAAGCTGGTCATTCTTACTGCTCTGAAAACCTGGGTGTTTCTACCCCTGGGATGATAAGGAGGAGGATGACAAATGGTCATTTAATTTTTAAATGACAAAGCAAGCCGTCGGAATGAGCTGTGCTCACCCCTCTCTGGTCCCTGTGGCTCCGTCCCCAGGTGGAGGTCTGGCTGAACCGGGTGTTGGACAGGATGTGCGCCACACTCCGCCACGAGATCCCGGAAGCCGTGGTGACTTACGAGGAGAAGCCAAGGGAGCAGTGGATCTTTGACTACCCCGCCCAGGTCTGAGGCTGGGTGGACGGAGCTCACCTGTCCTGGGTTAGCCACAGTGGGTGGAGAACAGCCACCTTACTGATGTGCACTCTTCTGTCACGCTGAGAACAACGCTTATGTTGGCGGGGGGCCGGGGGCCGCTCTGTTTTCAGATTGCGCTCTCGTGCACCCAGATCTGGTGGACAACCGAGGTGGGCCTGGCGTTTGCCAGGCTGGAGGAAGGCTACGAAAACGCCATCAAAGATTACAACAAGAAGCAGGTGTGTGCCCCCATCCCATGTCCATCCAAAGCTCCTTGCTCTGAGGTGCCCCCTTGTGCCACTGCCATTTCTGTGGGTCAAAAGCAACCAAATACTGGTACCCCCCAACATCCTTCTGCCCAAGAGTAACCGCTTTAGAAGTACATGACTTTAATTCTTTCTCTTTTTTTAAAAAAATTTTATTTATTTATTTATTTATTTATTTATTTATTTATTTTTGGCTGTGTTGGGTCTTCGTTTCTGTGCGAGGGCTTTCTCTAGCTGCGGCAAGTGGGGGCCCCTTTTGATTTAACTTTTTAAAAGATTCTTGGTTAGAAATTTAGAAACTAAAGATAATTTTTAAAATAAAAACCCCACCACCCATATATAACCCCGTCAACAAATTCTTATCTAACATTCTAATCTTTTTGTGTGCATATAATCGATTCCTAGGCAAAAATATATAAACTGTCCACACAGCTTTAAAATCCTGGTTTTACGTAACGTCCGCCGTCTTTCACGGCATCCGATCTTCTTCTACACCATTTTTAGTGGCTCCTTGATATTCCATGGGGGGGCCTGTTCCCCAGCGTTCCCCACCCCCAGTTGGCGGATAGCGAGAGCTTCTTTCTGTGTCTCGTTGTTGTGAACAAGAGCACGGGGGTCTTCCCTACCCAACCGTGGGGGACCCCCCCCCAGCCCAGAGTCCGCCCCGCGATGGGTGTCCCAGCCGAGGCGCCTTCGCTCCTGCAGATCAGTCAGCTGAACGCGCTCATCACCCTGCTCGTCGGAAACCTCAACGCCGGGGACAGGACGAAGATCATGACCATCTGTACCATCGACGTCCACGCCCGGGATGTGGTCGCCAAGATGATCACCGCCAAGGCACGGGCGCCGGGAAGGGCCGGGAACCCCGCGGGGGGCTGGTGCCTGGGACTCCCGCGCACGCCCCCATCCCAGTTATTGCTGCTTCCTCCTGGCTTGAGGGAGGCGGGCGACACTACTCCGGGCAGTGGCTACTGCCTCCTTCATCCCTTGTCTCGGCCCTGGTAAGCGACTGGACAAGCGGCCCGATCAGGGGTGCCCACGGTTCAGCGAGACTCAGTGGTGCACGGAGTTAGGCTTGACGTGGGCACCACGGGAGGAGCCGGAGGCCGGGGAGCCCCCCCCGGGGCAGGGGCCAGCGGGAGGCAAACTGGCCTGCCCCTCCCGCAGGTGGAGAGCGCCCAGGCCTTCACCTGGCAGTCCCAGCTGCGGCACCGCTGGGATGAGGAGAAGAAGCACTGCTTTGCCAACATCTGCGATGCCCAGATCCAGTACTCGTACGAGTACCTGGGCAACACTCCACGGCTGGTCATTACCCCTCTCACCGACAGGTGAGGACGCACCGGCCGCCTTCCTGCCTGGCCCTGAGCAATGCAGCGGGGGGACTCACACTGTTCTCTGGCCCCTTCCCCGTGAGTCCTTGCGCTGTCAGACCCGAACGTGCCCTGCTGAGGCTGACGGGTCCGGGCATTTGGGTCAGATTCAGTCCTGCTACCGGCCAGGCACCCAGACTCGGGGGCCATGATCCTATTCCCTCCCTCCGACACTGGCTGTATGGCCTTGGGGGTGTTCCTCAGCCTCTCTGAGGACCTGCGAAGTGGGGACGTTATTTTATAAATCCTCAGCAGTTCGTTGAGGGTCAAGCGAGTCATTTAACAGCAAAAAGCACTCAGACCAGCAGCTGCTCAGAGCGAACCGTCAGTGACCGTTACGTTAGGCAGTGGCCTCCTCTAACGCCCTGGTGGGCACAGCCCCCATGTGGCATCCGCCCCGGCAAGACGGTGTCTGCTCTTTGGCGACATCACAAGTGCTTCCCACCGGCTCCCTTTGGTGCCTCCTTGGGGCTTGGGGGTGTCACTGAACCACAGTGAAGGAAAGTGGGCGGCTGTGGGGTTGCCGCCCGCGAGGTGATTGGAGGTCCTTTGCAGATGCTATATAACCTTGACCCAGTCACTCCACCTGATCATGGGCGGAGCCCCTGCTGGCCCCGCCGGGACTGGCAAGACAGAGACGACCAAGGACCTGGGCAGAGCCCTGGGCACCATGGTCTACGTCTTCAACTGCTCCAAGCAGATGGACTACAAGGTACGCATCCCAGGCCCAGGGGGGCCTGAAGTCCCCAGGGAGGACCACCCACGGCCCCTCCCTCAGAAGGCACAGCCTCCACGCCCCAAGTGAGCTCTAGATGTGTGGACACTGCAGGCCGGACCCAGGCAGGAGGCACCAGCTCCCCAATTTGCTGACGGCGTCCACCAGACAGAGAGGCTGAGTAGTGGTGCCCCCACTGGCGGCCTTGGCCCTCCTGGGAGGCTGGGCCTCTGCAGCATGACCAGCGTGTCTGGTAGAGGCTCTCAGGGTGGGCACAACCAGTCCTGCCTCCCCTGGGGAGGTAACCCCTCCCAACCTACATTCCAAGCTTGTCCCCGACAACTGGGGTCACCAGACAGAGTGAGCACCTTTGAGAGCTTGGGGGGCAGGGTAGCATGAGGGGTGGGTATAGGGTAGGGGCTGGGTCCTAGCGGTCACTGGAGACTTTGCAGGACAGCCACAGCTCTCAAAGGGCCCGGAAGAGGGGTAACCATGGAGGTCAGGTCAAAGCAGCCCCTGGGGGCCGGGGGGGTACACTGAGATCAGGAGCTCAGGCCTGCAGGGGGCCTCCCTGCCCCACCCCCATCGGAGCCCCACAGTCCAGGGGACCCCATCTTGAGGCTGAGGGTGGGGACAGCTGCCCCTTCTGACTCTCAAGGCCGCAGCCTGCACCGGCCTTCTGGGTTTTAGAAAAGTGAAATCTGAAGCTGGATCCTCCCAGAAGGAATCCTGTATGTAAACGTTGAAGAATCATCCTGATTATCTAGCTGGAGCCTGCCGTCCGTCCCCCTACCTTAGAGGGAAGCCCCCTCTCCTGTGTGCTAGTGGAAAATGCAAGGGCTGAACTTTACACAAACTCGCTAATCTGAGCCCGGGCAAAGCCCCCATGCCAGGGAGGGTCTGGGCTCTTCCTGGCACCCGGCCCCGGGCAGGATTATCCCTCCCAGGGAGTGAACGTCCTGCCTCTAGCCTTCTGAGGGCCCCAAAGTTCCCAAGCCTGACCCTCGGCCAGGGGGCTGATGGGGCAGGTAGGGGCTCCCGGCAGGGCTCTCCACGCGTGCTTCTCCCATCTCACCCTTTCTAGTCCTGTGGCAATATCTACAAGGGCCTGGCCCAGACTGGAGCCTGGGGCTGCTTCGATGAGTTCAATCGAATCTCCGTGGAGGTCTTGTCTGTGATCGCCGTACAGGTAGGGCCCGCGTGGTCTCTGGGTCACGTACGGGAACTCACTGCCCTGCCGGCTTGGCGCTCGTCAGCTTTCCTGTAGGGTCAGGTCAGCCTCACTGAGTTGGGGGGTGTGGCACAAAGGTGAGCGGGACCCCAGCCCTGTCCTTCAGGGGCCCACAGAAGGAAAACAGTAAGGATCAGACCCAGTGGCACATATGTAACCGAATACAGACGAGGGGATAATCAGTTTTGCCTAGGGGACCAGGACAGAGGGCTTGGTCTCAATTACCAATGGAGCTGGGCATTGAAGGATGTCTAGGAGTTTATCAGTTAGACAAGGGTGCTGGGAGGGAGAGAAGGAGGAAATGAGCCCGAGTATTTTGGGAACACCCATGACAGAGTGCAGGACTGCCTAGTTCTGGGCTTTATTTGAACTGTCTGTGCCTTCATCTTCTAATCTGTAGAATGGGTTTGCCGGCATGATTAGGGGTGAGTGCAGGTAGCTGGCCTCCTCCACTGTTGTTTCCCCACCTCGGCATAGACATGGAACTATCCCCAAGCCCTGGGGCTGGAGGCCAGTACGGCAAAGAGAGGACGAGGGCAGCCAGCGCCCCCTGGACCCATGGGCAATGCTGACGGCTGCCTTGGGGACCCCTGCCCCCAAAGTCAGTGCACAGACCCCAGGATAATTACGTAGAGCTCTGTTGACTCGGATGGAGGAGCAGGAACTGGAACGGAACATTAGGAGAGGCTCCATGTGGAGGGGAGGGGTCCCACCGCCAGCCCCTGCCCTGCTGGGTTGTGAGCCGCACGCTGCAGACCAGTCTGGGAGGAAAGTCCTGGACAACTAGGCATGCGCTTTGCTCCAAAGCCCCAGGCTCGTAGGTCAGGGCTTAAACTGTGGCTGCAGGGCGCCCTCCAGTGGTGGCTTGGAGGTTTGCAGCTGCTCAGCACCACCGAGGGTCAAAGGCAGCTAATGGTCCCTGAATTCAGATTTCACCCGGGGCTGACTTTCTGATGTGGGGATGGCTACCAATCAGCCCTCCCACGGGTCACACTGCCCGAGCAGGAACGGGACACACAGAACGGCTAGGGGGTGGGACGCCACTCAGTAATATCAAGGAACAACCACAACCTGGAGGAACCCCCAGGGCGTCTCACTGAGTGACCAAAGCCCGTCTCAGATGACACACTGTACCATCCCGCTTACTGACGTTCACGAAAGACAGAATCACAGAAACGGGAGCAGATGAGTGGTTGCAGGGGGTCAGGGGAGGGCAGGGTGGGAGAACGGTGGGGGTGGCTATAGAGGGTGACAACACCTGAGGTCACAGAAATGTCCCATCATCACGTTGCTGTCCTGGTGGTGATGCTGCACTACGGTCACCCTTGGGGGGCGCCTGGGAGGGGCCCATGGGATCCCCTCCACGTTCGTTCTTACAACTACATGTGAATCTACAGTTGTATCAAAGTTTAAAGTTTAATTTAAAAAAAGAAAAATCAGGAAGGTCCTCTGCAAATTCACAGCCACACGCTTTAGCACAAACGACGATCTGTCCAGCCCGTCGAAGGTGGTCATTCCCACGTGAACGCGTCTGTGTACCCACTGTTTAGGTAAAATGTATCCAAGATGCAATTCGGGCCAAGAAAGAAGTGTTTAATTTCCTGGGAGAGATGATAAGCCTCATCCCCACTGTTGGCCTCTTCATCACCATGAACCCCGGGTACGCCGGACGTACAGAGCTGCCCGAGAACTTAAAGGCCTTGTTCAGGTGTGTGGTGGGCGGGGATGGCATGAGGAAGTGCCCAGGAGGGTGCTGTGGAGGGCAGAGGGCGAGGCCGACCAGAGGGGGCTGTGGGAGAGGAGGAGTCTGGAGACAAGGCCCGAGTAAGAGGGACCAGCCCGCCAGGGCCTCTGACGCCTGGGATGGAGGTCCCGTTTCAGGCACAACCGGCCAGTGAGGGAGGACGGGGCTCAGGTGACTCTCAGAGGAGTTGAGTCAAGGGATGCAGGGCCTGGAGACGCCCCTGCGCAGGGTGTAGGAGGAACAAGTGAAGCGGGAGCGCAGCCAAGCGGCGGGTGGGGGCCTGGGAACCCGGCTCCGCGCCTAGACTCTCAGCCAGTGGTGCTGTGCTCCTCCTGGCAGGTGAGGTGTGCCCCTAGGTGACAAGGGGCAGGTGGGGGCATGGTTGGAAGAGGGGGAGAAGCCAAGGCAGACCCCGCTGACCCCCTCAGGCCCTGCGCCATGGTGGTCCCCGACTTTGAACTGATATGCGAGATCATGCTGGTGTCTGAGGGCTTTCTGGAGGCCCGCCTTCTGGCCAGGAAGTTCATCACGCTCTACACCTTGTGCAAAGAGCTGCTGTCAAAGCAGGTGTGTGACAGCGTCCTGGGCCCGCAGAGCTGGGGTCGGGAGGGGTTACAAACGCAGGTGGCCCGCATGCCTCCCAGACAGCCTGGTGGAGCCTCCACGCATCCCAGCGGCAGGCTGGCCTCAGTCCCAGCACCCCGCCGGCGCGCTCACGCCCGCCCGGCCCTGCCCTCCACTCGCAGGATCATTATGACTGGGGCTTGCGAGCCATCAAGTCTGTGCTGGTGGTGGCCGGCTCCCTGAAGAGGGGCGACCCCAGCCGAGCAGAGGACCAGGTACTGATGCGGGCGCTCAGGGACTTCAACACCCCCAAGATCGTCGCCGACGACCTGCCCGTGTTCGTGGGGCTCATCGGGGACCTCTTCCCTGCACTGGATGTGCCTCGGAAACGGGACCTGAATTTTGAGAAGGTGGGTACAGCCAGGGTCACGGCGGTCCGGGAAGCCACCCCCCGGCCTCCTTCCCGCCGAGGATGCCTGTTTCCGCCACACGCTGGGTGGGTACCTGCCTAAGTGGCAGGTACCACACTGGAGTGGTGGTCACGTCTGCCAGCGGGCAATGGCCACACATGCACGGCTCCCTCTGCCCCGAGGAACGTCCTGAGGCTACAGGTTGCCTCTCCAGCCCCTCTTGCAACGCTGGGGGGTCGGGAGAGGAAGGGGAGGATGCTTTGGGCAAACCCATTCCCCGCACGGGGTTCTCAGTAGCACCCACGGCGGAGCACGTAAACATCCCCACGGGCAGGGCCGCTGTTCCCTTCTGGTCTCTCCGCTGGGCAGGGGGCTCCCTCGCCCTGCACACCGGGCCCGGCGCCCCGTTCCCACACGCCTTCCCCAGGTCATCAAGCAGAGCATCGTGGAGCTCCAGCTGCAGGCGGAGGACAGCTTCGTGTTGAAGGTGGTGCAGATGGAGGAACTGCTGCAAGTCAGGCACTCAGTGTTCGTCATCGGGAGCGCGGGCAGTGGCAAGTCCCAGGTACATGCCCACCCAGGGACCCAGCCCAGCGCGTCCCGGGCGGAAGGGTGTCACGGACCGGGAAGGAAGCTCTGACGGGGGGCCGGGGACGGCAGGGGAGGCGAGGAGTGGCCAGCGGACCCTGGTCCCGCCGATGAGGCCCTTCTCCCAGGTCCTCCTCTCTCCCTCCTCCCCCCTTGATATCAGTCACCCCGCCTCTCTGCAGCCAACCCCCCACCCTCCTGTCCCCCGCCCCCTACCACTGCCTGGGCACAGTGGAAAGCAGAGGGCGGCGGCCAACATGACTGATACCTATAACATCGGAAAATTCTAAACCAGCCGAGTATTCAGCTAGCCACCCACAGGATGGACTATTATGCTATTATTAAAGATCATTTCCAAAGACTATGTAACATGAGGGATGTTCGCTGCAAGTTATTTTTAGAAGGCAGAAACTGTAGGAACCAGTTCTCTAAAAGGGAATGTGTGTATTTCTGTCTACACATATACCCATGGGAAACATCCTCAGATGTCCTCAGAAACCCTTTTCTCTGCGGGGGAAGAATTACAGGTAGTTTCCTTCCTTTAATTTTTCTTTCAGCGAGCAGTTACTTTTATTATCAGGGAACTAGTATGAATTTTACCCAGTCTGGGCACAAGTAGCCCTCCTCTGTGCACAGGCAGGAACAATCGCAGGGCGTCTTCCTGGACGTTGTTTGGAGGTCGCAAACTCACCCGCGTGTCGCCAAAGCAAAGCAGGCCCAGAGCAGGGATTCTGCCTGTAGGTCTTCAAGGGCCCTTGGAGCTCACACAAGGGCCCTAGCGCAGGGTCTGGGTGCGGGATGTGGCACTGAGTGAGCAGCCCCCGCCTCGGTGCAGGTCCTCAAGTCTCTGAACAAGACCTATCAGAACCTGCAGAGGAAGCCGGTCGCCGTGGACCTGGACCCCAAGGCCGTCACCTGCGATGAGCTCTTCGGCATCATCAACCCGGTGACCAGGGAGTGGAAAGATGGTAATGCGGGCAGCATCCCCGGCAGGGCCGAGAGGGCGAGTGCTCGGAGCAGGCGTCCCAGGCCTGGGTCCACGGCGGGCCCGCTTTGTCGTGGCCACTCGGCCGGCCTCTGTGCAGTGAGCACGTGGCCGAGCCCCCGAGGGAGGCCCTCAGCAGGCCCAGCGGCGGTGAGGGGGCCCACACGTACGCGTGGTACGTAATGATGGTGCTTGCGGAGAGCAGGAAGGTCACAGAGAGGGGCTGGTTCACTCTCCCAGGCGGGAGGAACCGGGGAGGCCATGGACACCGGAGCATCAGCACCCCTGCCTCAAGCAGGGCTGAGGGAAGACAGGGCCCCCACCCCATGGGCCACAGGAGGAGAGCCCTGAAGTGCAGGCTGGAGCCTCGGGTGCTCGGAATGGTGTTTCTCCGGGGAAGGGCCTCGGTGAGATCTGTGCTTTATATAAAAAAAAAAACAAAACTCGGGACATTGGAGAAAGGACAGGTGAGGGGCTAGGGGAGATGCGGGGCCCCAAGGGTGGTCCAGGCGGAGGAAGGGGCAACTGGAGGGGTTGGAAGAGGCGGGTGTGTACTGCTTGCCAGGGGACCATCCCCACCCCCGCCCCACCCAAGCTTCCACGCGTCCCCCTCCCGGGACAGGAAGCTAGGGAGGTTCTGCTCCAGTCTCCCCTCTGTGAGAGGCCCCCTGCCCGCCGCATCACCGTCTGCCCCTCCCCCTGCTTTCTTTCTGTGACTTGGCATCTATTCCTGCACGTGTATCTTGCATCGTCACCCCCTCCACTGGGATGCAAGCTCTGTGGGGTGGGCAGGGGCTTCAGTTGTCCCCACGCCCCCTGCTCTGAGCCTGACTCCTTTTTTTTCCTGTTTTTTTTTTAATTAATTAACTTTACTTATTTTATTTTTGGCTGCGTTGAGGCGAGCGGGGGCTACTCTCCGTTGAGGTGTGCGGGCTTCTCATTGCGGTGGCTTCTGTTGTGGAGCACGGACTCTAGAGTGTGGGCTCAGTAGTTGTGGTGCACAGGCTTAGTTGCTCCGCGGCATGTGGGATCCTCTCGGGCCAAGGATCGAACCCCTGTCCCCTGAATTGGCAGGCGGATTCTTATCCACTGCGCCACCAGGGAAGTCCCTGAGCCTGACTCTTTAAGACCACTCAGCAAACCTTTATTGAGTGAATGAATGAAAGAGGGAAGGGATGAGTGAAGGGGTGCAGGGCGGGGCAGTGGCCTTCCACGTAGGGCTGTTGAATCTGAGAACTGGACCAGACTTGGGGGGGGATGTCGGGGGGTAGGGTCAGGGGTGGAGTCACAAAGGTGGGTCCTCGGGGTCAGGAGAAGGGCAGGAAATGAGCCAGGTCCCCTCCTGTCTGAGGGCCTCCGCTGTCCCTCTGAAGTAGGGCACTGGCCACCTCTGAGAGAGAGGCCAGTGTTGGCCCAGAGGGGGCGAGCTTGGTCTCAGCCCCTGTGGCCCCAGGGAGAGCCACCCAGAGCTGGACCTGACAGAGCCCCACTGCCCACAGGCCTCTTCTCCACCATCATGCGGGACCTGGCCAACATCCCTCACGACGGCCCCAAGTGGATCATCCTGGACGGGGACATAGACCCCATGTGGATCGAGTCCCTCAACACCGTCATGGATGACAACAAGGTACAAGGGACCCCTGGATCCCAGAGCTGACCCCCCCAGAATGGCAGTAACGTGAGGGAGGGGAGCATATGGGACATGCCACGTGTCTCGCCTGCCACACTCAGCAGACAGGACCCGCTGTGCGTGGGGACTCAGGAGGGGGCCTGCCTGGAGTTCTGCACAAAGCGTTATGGACGAGGGAAAGCCCCCCCCCCCAAGACGCGTTCCTCACTGGACGCAGGCCCGCGTGCACCCGGCTCACCTGCTTTTTGGCCGTAGCGTGGGCGAAGGATGCAGGCGTAGCGAGCGTTCCTGTCTGACTGACGCGTGGCGCGACGTCGGAGGGGCAGCTAATGTCCTGGGAGGCACGGACAGTGTTGAGAATTATCTAGAAGCCGCTTAAAGTGATTCTCAACTGGGTGGAGGAGGGACCCCCAGAACTCCTGGGGGGCGGGGCGGGGTCATGGTTTGAAAGGCAACTTTAGCCTCAGAGTGAAGTCCTACGTCATCCACGCACATCTGGACACTCTCCATGGCCCCGGGGTGGGAAGGGCCGGGGGGGCTGGCATCGAGGACGGCAGGGAGACGCTGGACTAGGGAAGCCGGTTGGTGGCTGGCGGGGGTACGGGGAGTGTCCCCGACCTCCTCCTCTTCTGAGATGTGACCTGTGAAACCCTCAGCACGAGGGTGCTTTGGGGCTGAAACCCACAGGCCTGTGTCCCTCACTAGGTCCTCACGCTGGCCAGCAATGAGCGGATCCCCCTGAACCGCACCATGCGGCTGGTGTTCGAGATCAGCCACCTGAGAACGGCCACACCGGCCACCGTCTCCAGAGCCGGCATTCTGTACATCAACCCGGGCGATCTAGGGTGGAACCCGTGAGTTGGGCTTTTGTTCTCCTGCTCCAAACTATGAAGAGAAAAAGGAGGGCATTGGCGTTTCAGAGTTTCCTGTGAATGCGTTCATTTATTCACTCACTCGTTCATTCATGCGATAAATACCTTGTGCTGGGCCCTCCCCAGGCAGCAGCGTGGGGGCAATGAAAGGATGCGGGACAGATGTGTGAATAAGTGATGTAATGCATGGAGACTCTGCATCACGGCAGCTAACGAAACAGAAGTTTGTACCACATGCAGGGAACTCTGAGGAGGGAGGGAGGGTCTGGGCCTGTTGTGGAGACAGGAAGTCTTCCTGGAGGAGCTGGAGTTTGGGCTGAGCCCCCGACAGGAAAAGGAGCTTTCCGGGTAGACAGGTAGGGAAAGCATTCCAAGTGAGAACCAACATTTAAGGGGCATCAGGGCGAGAGTGTGAGCTTCCCAGGAACTGGCGGTGGTCAGGTGTTCGTGGATGGAGCGTGAAGCGTGAGGATGCTCTTGGCAGGAAGGGACTGACCCTGGACCAGCCTCCAGGGCCGGCACAGGGGCCCTTTCTGACGTGACGAGGAGAGTTCATGGCAGCAGATGACGGGTGGCCACTGGGGACAGGGGAGGAGGGATGGATGTGAGAAATGTTTGAAACCTTAAGAAATGGAAGGCTTGCCATTGATCCTGGAGGCATGTTTTTGTACCTGGACACAAGGCTAGTAATTTATACGCCAGGACATCCTGCGTGGTCTTGAGTAGAAACCCCAGTGCAACATTCTGGGACTGACAGCCTCAGGAGAAACACCTCGGCTGCATTCATTCAGTCGTCCACTTCATTCATTCATTCACTCAACCAGTGCTTTCTGCACCTGCTGTGTGCCTGACCCACGGATGCTCCGTGCTGGGGAAACTGGGTCTCCCGGAGAGATGTGGAGAGTGGTAAGAGATGTTGGGAGGAAGAAGAATCCTTGAAGGAACAGGTAGAAGGGAAACCAGGGAGGTGACGCCCCACATAGCCAGGGAGGAAAGAGCTTCAGGAGGGAAGCAGCGTCGAGAGGGTTGCGTCCGGAAGGTCAAGGAGCCGAGGACAGGAAGTTGCCACTGGATTTGGCAGCTGGGAGCTCACCATTAACTCAGGAAGAACAGCTTCCTGGCGCGACAGGGGCAGAAGCCAGATGGCAATTCACGGAGGAGGAATTGAGAGGAGGCCCTGGTAATGAGGGTCCTTCTGGAAATGTCTCATAGCGGCCGGGGCGAGATGAGCAGGAACGGGTGTTTCCAGGCACAGGCAACTGCCGGTGGGGAGAGAGGGGGAGGTGGAGAGTTCATGCTCGATGCGTCTGTGCATCGAGTGGGAAGTGAGACCGCCGTCTCCCGATGCAGCGAGGCCGGGGCTAGGGGGCTACACGAGCGCAGTGACCCTGCAGGGACAGAACCAGAGCTGGCCTGACCCACAGGGGCCTGGGGGCCGCTGAGACCCAGCACCACTATGCCGCCTTCTCCAGCCACACCTGTCATCCTGCTTTGTTAGTGTCCTGTGGCCGCCATGACAAAGGACCACAAACCGGGCAGCTTCAAACAATGGAAGTTTTTTCTCTTCCGGTTCTGGAGGCCAGAAGTATGAAATCATTTGTTGGAAGGGTTGGTTCCTTCTGGAAGCTCTGAGGGGGGATCTCTCCTAGGGCTTCTCCCCCAGCTTCTGCTGTTGCTGGCAATCCTTGGCTTGTGGACACATCACACAGCCACCTTTCTGAGTCTCACGTGGTCTCCCCTCTGCACATGCCTCTGTGTCCTAATTTCCCTCTTCTCATAAGGACCAGTCGTTGGATCAGGGCCCACCCTCATCCAGGATGCACCCTCTCGAGATGCTTATTTTTTTTTATTATTTTTTTTATTTGCGGTACGCGGGCCTCTCACTGCCGTGGCCTCTCCCACTGCGGAGCACAGGCTCCGGATGCGCAGGCTCAGCGGCCATGGCTCACGGGCCCAGCCGCTCCACGGCATGTGGGATTTTCCTGGACCGGGGCACGAGCCCGCGTCCCCTGCATCGGCAGGTGGACTCTCAACCACTGCGCCACCAGGGAAGCCCAAGATCCTTATTTTGATTGCATCTGCAAACACCCTTTTTCCAAATAAGGCCACGTTCATAGACTGTGGGTGGACATGTCTTTTGAGGGGCCCCCATCCTGCCCACTACACACGTCTGGGCGTTTCCAGGGTGGGCAGCAGACAAGGCAAGAGAACTGGAACAAGGTCTGAGTGGGAGCCGCTAAGACGCAAGAGAACGGGAAGGAGACGGTGGGGCCGAGGGGCACCCGGTGGACGCTCAGCGGGGGTGGGAAGGAGAGCGGTAGGTCAGCAGGGGTGGGCGGGTGCGGGACCCGAAGGCTCACCCTTCAGCTGGGAGTGGTTCTTGGGGCTCCAGAGGGGTAACCAAGAGAGTGAGTGGCATCCTGGGGACCAGGAGGAGACCCGGGTTTTGCAGGAGAGAAGTGGAGAGGCTGAGAGCCTGCTCAGGCCCCCCCCCAACCCAGAGAAAGAGTAGCCCTCCAGCAGGGGCAGCCACGACTCAAGGCAGGGGTGACTGAGCATATCCAGGAGCGGGAGGTGAAGCAAAGCTCCAGGGCCAGAGGGGCCCCGTGGCCTCTGGGGACAGGGCAGGAGCCTGCAGGGAAGCCACTCGTCCTCCCGGGGTCTGGGTCTGGGTCTGGGTCGGCTTTTCAGATCAAAGCCAGCGCGCACATCTGCATGCACTAAATGTCTCTAACAAGGCAAAATTTAAAATTTGATATATCCGCCTTCAAGAGAGAAGGCAAATGCAGCAGTCTATTTATAGATTTGCAAATCGGTCTCCATTCTGAAGACCCACTGCATTTGGAATCCGGTTCTCAGCTGCACTGTGTTCGCTTGTGGACGTAGAGCGTTTAAAGGTTTCCTCTGTTACCTAGTGAGCCCAGGGGCAACGGGGCAGAGTTTCTGAGCTCTTGGTTCTCTGTTCTGCTAGGGGTGCAGGAAGAGGCAGAGCTCCCAGAACGTGCGCTCACTTGCAGAAAGGCATGTCTGCTGGGGCTGCGGAGGGCAGGCGAGCTGCCTCGGGTAACGCGAGCTTCCTGCTTACGTTTTGGGCATCCTAGAAAGGGCAGCTCACGGAGCTCATCAGCCCGCAAGGGAGCCGGACGCTCTTTCTGCTTTTAGCAGCACTTGTTTAGCACTTACCGCGGACCAGGCTCCCCTCTAAGAGCTTTAAAAGTATCAGCCCAGGTAGTCCTTCGAATATGGGAGCGATCATCATCACTCCCATTTACGGATGAGGAACCTGAGACCCAGACATGTTGAGTAACTTGCCCGAGGCCATGGCTGGCCACGCTAGAGCCCATTCAAGCCAGGCAGTCGGGCTCTAGAATCCACACCGCTCACAGCCGTGGTGGGCCACCTCTATGCAACCCACTCCAGAGATGTATGTGTGCCAGACAACCCAACATGGCTCCTCAGGAATGCCTGTTGTATTGGTTTGGACTCTTCCATTAAATGTGTCAATTGGCTCAATTCACCATGTATGCTTCAGGCATGGCTGGATCCAGGAGTCCAGATAATGCAGTGATGTGTCCCTGCTCCTCTCCTTTCCTTTCCCTTTTCTTCCCTTCCCATCCCCTCCCTCTCTCCCCCAGATGATATGAAGCTTCTCTCTCCGCTCCCCTCCTCCTATATCCAGCTCGACTGTCCTCAGTATTATCTGCGTTTGGGGGTGGGAAGGATGGCTCCCAGTTGTTCCAGGAGGACAGCACCCCACAGCTAGAATCCCAGGGAAAGGGCACACCCTCATCAGATCCTCTTAAGGTCTGGGACCGGCCCCATCACCAGGCAGGAGTGCCAGAATCCCGTGGAAGCGTTCACCAAGCAGAGGGTCGCCAGGGGGACCCAGCGTGGTGGCCCAGTCCTCCAACACCTCCCGTCTTCCCCAGGGTGGTGAGCAGCTGGATCGAGAAGCGCAAGGTGCAGTCGGAAAAGGCCACCCTGCTGGTCCTCTTTGACAAGTACCTGCCCACCTGCCTGGACAAGCTTCGCATCGGGTTTAAGACGATCACGCCGGTGCCCGAGATCACGGTCATCCAGATGATCCTGTACCTGCTTGAGTGCCTCCTCACCGAGAAGAACGCACCACCCGACTCTGCCAAGGAGCTGTACGAGCTCTACTTCGTGTTCGCCTGCTTCTGGGCCTTCGGAGGGGCCATGTTCCAGGACCAGGTGAGCAGCCGGCCGCGGCGGGTGCCTGGCCACCCAGACTCGGTCTCCCGGCATCCCTCTCAGCTGGGCCGTTTCTGTGCTCTATTTTGTTTCCCAACAGCTTGTAGATTATCGGGTCGAGTTCAGCCGATGGTGGATCAACGAGTTTAAGACAATCAAGTTCCCCTCGCAGGGAACGATCTTTGACTACTACATAGATCCCGACACCAAAAAGTTCCTGCCATGGACGGACAAGGTGCCCCGCTTCGAGCTGGACCCTGATGTCCCGCTGCAGGTAACTGCCCAGATCGGTGACGATTTATGACGATTTAGGGGCAGGACTCAGAGCCCCATCCCACTCGCTTCTCAATGGGATGTCCGGTCGCAAGTGGTTTTCAACAATAGGACCTTCCAAGTAAGACTGGGGATTTGACAAACTGTCCAGGTCTGCAGGTTTGTACGGAGGGTGGGAATTGGAGGCTCAGGTGTGTCTGGGGTTACAACTCCTCCCTCTCTCCCCCAGGCCTCACTGGTGCACACCACGGAAACCATCCGTATCCGCTACTTCTTGGACCTGCTCGTGGAGAAGTCGTGGCCGGTGATGCTGGTGGGGAATGCAGGGACGGGCAAGTCGGTGCTGATGGGGGACAAGCTGGGCAGCCTGAGTACAGACGACTGCTTGGTGCAGGCCGTGCCCTTCAACTTCTACACGACCTCGGCTATGCTGCAGGGTGAGGCTGAGGACAAGCGCGCGTCCTCACAGCCTGGCCTCGACACACCCCATCCCTCTCATCCGACGGACTGCCCCCCAGCCCCACCCTGACGTTCCTCACAGCGCCTTCTTACTGCAGACCCGGGAGCTTGCCAGCTGCCTCTCCACTTCCCATGCCCCCACCCACTGCCCTCTATGCCCAGAGCAGGGGGACGAGGGTGGCAGATCCCACAGGGAGCTCCCCTCATAACCAGTCTCAGGTGGCCCCCAGGTCGATGAGCACAAGGTTCCTGTCCCCCTGCCTGGAGCCAGTGGTGCCCACCACCCTCTCCTTTACTCCTGAGGTGGCTGGAGTCCAACCCACCCTGCCTTTGGTGCCCCGGGGCTACCCTTTGGGCCACCGCCTCTGAGATCTACCAGGCACCGTGGTAGTCACCCCATTCCCTTCTCTAGGTGTTCTCGAAAAGCCGCTGGAGAAGAAATCAGGGCGGAATTACGGGCCACCAGGCACCAAGAAGCTGATCTACTTCATCGACGACATGAACATGCCCGAGGTGGACAAGTACGGGACGGTGGCCCCGCACACCCTCCTCCGGCAGCACATGGACCACAGGCACTGGTGAGTGGGGGCGGGGGGGGTTGCCACAGGGAGGATGCAGGGCTGGGACACAGGACCACGCTGATGGGGTCACAGTTCTGGGGAGAGGTGGGGGGTCAAGGTCTCCTCCTCTCATACATTCCGCAAATATGCCGTGGGCATCTGCCAGGCCCCGGGCTGGCGGCTGTGGCCTGCAGTTCCATGGAGCAGGGACAGACAGGTACCCCTCCGATTGAAGTGTCCATATGGCAGAGAAGACAGAGGGGTGCAGTTCCAGGGTGAAGGGAGCAGTCACAGAGGGCCCCAGCGGCTGGGTCAGAGACCCGGGGCGGGAGGAGGCAGCTGGGAGCTCCATTACTGGCCTTAGTGTCAGTACTTTGGAGGGAGAGCATCTCGGGCACAGTAGATGCCATGGGCAGAGGGAGTGTGGCCCCTGGAGGGGGCCATAGGAGCCCAGCGTGGCTGGAGCATGAGAGCCAGAGGGAGAGGGTGCCCGGGGCAGGAGCGGCCAGACCCCAGGACTCATGGACCACTCTGACAGAGAACACTTTCTCCCAAGGGCAACAGAAAGCTGAGGGTGGCATGTTTGCATTCGCAGTCTGGAAAGGTCAGAACATTCAGTGTGGTTAAAACAAGTATCACTTGAAAGAAGTGTGCCATGATGACCTGGCAGGTGGCCCAGGCCAAACCTGGGGGTTTTGAGACCAAAGGAACCCGAAAAATCTCATCAGGGGTCAGTGAGGGGATGCGTGGAGCCTGCCCCTTACTGCCGAGAAATAGGGCACAGAGGGGATAAGTGGCCTGCTGGCGGTCACAGCCCTGATGAAAGGCCCAGCTGGAGGTCAAGCCCACATGTCTGACTCCATGGCTGGCCTTTCCCCGCGACATGACACCGACTCCAGGGCTCACGGGCTGTAGGAACCCAGCAAGGACAGCAGTGAAGCCATGGGGGCTGTGGGCTGTGATGTGGGAACAGGGTGTTAGGGATGGCTCCCTGGGGAGGTGACAGAGCTGGGCCGGGGCGGGGCACACTTGAAGTGCAGCCCTGCGAGAGCTCGACATCTGTGAGGGCGTGAAAGTGGTGTGGGACGGCCAGGGCCCAGGACAGGTCTGGGGAGGGACAGGGCAGGAGGCCGAGGGCAAAGCAGGAGGGATACATGAGGGCTGCCTGCGCCCCCTCGGGAGGATCTGCTGGGAGGCCCAGGAGGGCCCAGGGGTGGCCCCTCACTCTCCTGGGCCCTGGTTGCATGCTCTCGAAATGGGCTCACCAGGTCGTGCATCCTTGCAAAATTTACAAAACTAAGATGTGTTGTACTCTTCTTTAAGAGGGCCCTAAGAGCTGTGAAGCTTCAGCCCTGGGTCCACAGCTGCTTGAGTTTGTCCTGAAGCATCTCTCTAGGAGGGGGAGGCATAGTCAGATTTGGAAGATCCCTCTAGAATTTCAGATAAAGGGGCCCCACAAGCAACAGGGAAGGCTGGACCGTTCAGAGGCTCTGTCAGCAAGGGCAGAAGAGACAGCAACACAGATCACCCCCTCCCACATGGATCAGGCGGGCCCCACGTGGAGGGCAGACCCACAAGCCAAAGGAGAAACTGCCACGTTGGTGGAAGAAAGTGTGACCTGGGGAAAGGTGGGGAGTGCGAAGGACTTCTCAGACCTAGGTTTCAAAAGCAGAGGCCAGGAGGCCGAAGAATGGTTACTTTGACCTACCTGAAAACTGAGGGACATTGTCCACCCAGAGACACCACGGCCGAGCACAGTACGGGATTAACGGGAGAAATTACTTGCAATGCCTGACACTGGCAGTGGATTAACGTGTGGGGCATACAAGGAATCCCCACAAATGAACAAGGGCCGGCACCAACTCCCAACAGAAAACAAAACAAAACAGTGTGGGGGGGAAGCCAAAAGGTAAAAGGCACGTGAAAGATGCACAAGCTCTTTATAGCCTTTGACCTCGTCTGAGCCCCTGGAAGCGTTAGCAGTGCCCTGGCACCGAGGAAGCTCCTCAGCTTACTTGATCATCGTCACCATCATCATCCTTGATACTTAGAGTGATAATGGGGGCGGTGGTAACCATCTGTGGAACCCTCGCTCTATGTCAGGTGCCCTTCTAAGTTTATTTTCATGCATTAGCTCCATTCGTCCTCATCGTGACCCATTGCACAGATAAGAACACTGAGGCACGGAGGGGTTAGCCAGCCTCCCCAGAGTCACGATGCTACTGAATGGAGGAGCTGGAACATAAACCCAGACCTGAACACTGAGCCACTCTGTTGCCTCCTGTTTCAAAATTTCTCTTAAGAGCATGAAGTACAATTGGCCATTTCGCATGTAATTGTTATTTTGAGGTGTTTTTTTTCTTTTAACCATACGCAGGGCAGTACTGGGGTGGGTGGGGAGCCGGGGGTGGCTCCGGCAGCCGGACATTATGCTGGCCTTGCCCGCGCAGGTATGACCGACAGAAGCTGACACTGAAGGACGTCCATAACTGTCAGTACGTGGCGTGCATGAACCCCACTGCTGGATCCTTCACCATCGACCCCAGGCTTCAGGTAGGCAGAACCTGGATTCATCTCGGTCAGCTGCAGGAGCCCAAGGCTCGCTTTGGCAAATGAGAAGGAAAGCATTGATTTGGGATCGTGGGGCTGTGGGCTGGCATTCCCTGGAGAACGCCCCAGCCTTTCAGAAGATGTCAGGACATTCCCAGTGGGTGGGGGAAGGGGGGGGGTGTTGAGAGGCTAGTCAGCTCTCCCTGTGAGCCCATAGGGCTGCCAGACTTAGCAAATAAAAATACAGATGCCTGCTCAAATCTGAATTTCAGATAAACAGAAAATCATGCCCCATACGATGTTTGAGACATATTTGTACTAAAAAAAAAAATTTTTCCTATGTGAAATTCAGATTTAACAGGAAATCCTGTACTCTATCTGCAATGCCACCCAGGCAGGACCTCACCTTTGAATTACCTAAGCAGATGGAGACCTGAAATTTAAATCCAGGCTGCGCTCTGAGGCACTCTTTGGCCTCCTCCAAGTTTTTTCTGGAGAGCATGACACGAATTTGGCTGTCTGAGATGTAATCGGTATTTAAGGGGGCTTTACCACACACATGGCATGAGGAGAGAACCTGTCCATTCTGACCATGCCCATGAGACATTAGGCGATGAGGACAGAGTCTGCTCCCCAGGAAGGTGGCCCCGCCCCAAGCTGGTCCCTACGCGCAGCCTGACGAGGGTCTCTGGTTGTTCCGGGCAGCGCCACTTCTGTGTGTTTGCCGTGAGCTTCCCGGGCCAGGAGGCCCTCATGAGCATCTACAGCACCATCCTGGCCCAGCACCTGGCCTATCAATCGGTCCCCGTGGTAGTCCAGAAGATGAGCAGCCATCTGGTGGCCTCCGCCCTGGGTAAGCTGACCTGCCTCGCCCCCTCTCCTGTCAGCGAGACCCGCTGCTTTCTGGGGCTGACGGAGGCTTCATACTTTCCCCTGGTAAATATTTTGTTTATACTTCCAAGTCAGTATTTTTTTTAACGATGCTGTTGAGGTATTGTGAAATCCAGTTTCTTGAGGGGGAGGCAGAGGATAGGAAATTCAGTATACAGAAACAATTTACACATCAGTAGAGTAGCGAACTTCCTCCCTCCTCAGCTCTGTAGATTTCTTACTTAAATTGTCACCATTACACAGTCCATTTGCTTCAGAAACTATAGCTTAAGCTTTGCACTTCCTGAGGCCATTAAGAGTGTGCAAGGATCGATGTGCCTTTTTCCTGTAACAGCCCTGCACCAGAAAGTGACATCAACGTTTCTTCCCACAGCCGTTAAGTTTCATTATGTCTTCAACCTCAGGGACCTCTCCAGTATTTTCCAGGTACTGCTTTTAGCGCTGTGTCCTGTCACGTTATGGCCAAGGCCTGACCCACAGATGCTTTCCTCCTCTGCTGCTCTCAGGAGAGGAAGCGAAGTGATCTATGGACAGAGTACAATGGTGGTGGTGATGGTGGTGGTGATGGTGATGACGATGGTGATGGTGGTGGTGATGGTTGTAGTCTTGATGGTGGTGATGATGTTTCCTCTTATGTATTGACTGAGCTAGCCAATGGGTTTGGCCACTTATATCCCCATTTTCTCCTCCAAACAACATGTAATGCTCGTATATCCCCATTTTACAGATGGGAAGTCTAAGGCTCCCTCCACTTCGAGTGTCAGCTCAAATGTCGTGCCCTCAAGAGGCCCCTCCTCATCCCCACACGCTTTGTCTCACTGTCCCTGTTTATGTCATTCACAGCACACGTCACAATGTGTAATTACCTTGTGATTTTGTCTGGTTACATCTCCCCACTAGAAGGCAAACTCCATGAAGGCAGGGTCAGTCCCATCATCACTGTGTTCCCAGAGCCCAGAACAAGGGCCTGGGAAAAAAGTCCCTGTTGAACTTGCCAGGTCACTTGGTTAGTAAACGGCCAAGCCAGGACTGGGTCTGGGCAGGCTTGCTGCACGGCCCAAGCTCGCCGGCCACTCCATGGCCTCCCATAGTCGGGCTTCTGTCTGATCAGCCCCCTTGTCCCTTTCTCCACCGTCCACCCCCTTAGAGGGGGCAGCCCTTAACCCTGTCTCGTGAGGAGAATCCCCCCACGTCTCTCAGGCCACAGACACACCCTCCAGCCTCCAGGACTTGCGCGGCCTTGGCAGTCCATGGCTTCCTGGACCTCCAATGGATGCTGTACCACAGCCTAAAGGGTCATCCCCTGGGGAAGAGGCCACTTTCTCGTTTAATCCACATGCGGTGCTCGGCTTGCCTCCCGGACACAGCTAAGGATGCCGACCATCCCGCATCTGGGGCAGGGGCTCCTGTTCTCCACCACAGAGATCCTGAAAATCCCACTAGACCTCGTCCGCCTCTGGCTGCACGAAGCCGAACGTGTGTACGGCGACAAGATGGTGGATGAGAAGGACCAGGAGACGCTGCGCAGAGTCACCATCGCTTCCACCAAGAAGTTCTTCGACGTACGTCAGGCCGCCACGTCCCCCTGCCAAGCCCAGGAAGGCTCCGAGGGGCAGGGTGTCGGGACCTTGTGACAATCCCCGCCCCCCTGCAAGGGCCCTGGGCTGGGGATGGGAAGGACCACGTTGGGTCCCACGAGGTGACTCTGCCACGTGGGTGTGGCCCGAGCGAGGAGGAGTGAAGACCTCCCTCTAGCCACTGGGCACAGACAGCTCTGCTGGGGTTGACGTGCTCCACTGATGTGTCCGGGGTTTTCGTGGTAGAATCATTTTTCTGGACTCTCCGTTCATTCCCGATGTGGCAGGGGCCAGGGGATTTTGCCCAGTGGTTTGCGGGGCCCCTGCAGACGTGGCCTGATATTCTGAGGCCGCCGGGCAAGGTGCTCGGGCTGCTGTTCAAGATCTGTGTACCCGAGGCAGCAACAACGGAAGCATCTTGTCTCTGACATCTAGGATCTTGCTGACGAGCTCTTATTCGCCAAACCCAATATCTACTGCCACTTTGCTCACGGGATCGGCGATCCCAAGTACCTGCCGGTGACTGACGTGGCTCCCCTGAGCAAGCTCCTGGTGGAAGCTCTGGAGAGTTACAACGAGATCAACGCGGCCATGAACCTGGTGAGCGGGGCTCGAGCAGGCAGCAGCGGGGTGGGAAGGGACGAGGGAGGCGTGTCTGCGCGGTGAGACGCCCGGGGTCTCTCTGGTCTGGTCTCTTCAGGTGCTGTTTGAGGACGCAGTGGCCCACATCTGCAGGATCAGCCGCATCCTGGAGTCCCCACGGGGCAACGCCCTGCTGGTAGGGGTGGGCGGTAGCGGCAAGCAGAGCCTCTCCCGCCTGGCCGCGTACATCAGCGCACTGGACGTGTTCCAGATCACCCTCAAGAAGGGCTACGGGATCCCAGACCTCAAGGTGAGATGTCGCCTCTCAATAAGCCGCCCTTCGGGAGGGGGAGCGGAGAAGAGTCTCCCCACTCCCGTTCCCCAAACGAAGCATCCAGCGCAGAGAATGTGAAGGTCACCAGCAGGGTGATTATCTTAGATGGTAAAGGCCAGGGACACATTCGGCCGGTGCCCACGGCCATGTGACGAAGGTAAAAGGAAGTGTGGGTTTCCGGTAGATTAGCGCCAGTAGAGAGTCACCCCAGATAATAGCGGCAAAGAGATTTGGTTCTCGTCTCTGGTCATCAAACCGTGCCACATCTTTCCCAGTTTTCCAGATTAAATAATTGAGGACCGGTACTCACTAGCTGTCTACCTACCTCCTCAGGGTTCTGGGAGGCTGCTTTTTTGAATTAATCAAATAAATATAAGCTTGATTCAGGTCTCCCATCCCCAAGACGTGCCGCCGAGGCTTTTTATTGATTTCTTTTTCCCAAAAATTTGCTCTCTCGGGGACCTGTGTGCTAGTCAAACACGATCAGTCTAGAGCTTACCATTGTCGTGTCTCGGATTAGAGCTGAAATTGACTGGACCACGTCACACGGCTCATCTCTCTTTGCCTTGGTGTCAAGGCTGCCTCTGTGGGCCAGGACAGTGCCAGACCCAGGGGACCCTCCCCTCCGCTCACGGCTCCGAGGCAGTTGCTGGCCAGGTGGCCTTAGGGGGATGGCCTGGACCCCTGCCAGAGCTTGGCTCCCTGGGACCTCAGCAGGAGGAGGGTGGTCTGTGGGCAGAGGCCCCAGGAAGGACGATGGGGACGGTGAGCTAGTCCTCAGCCCTGCTCTCCCGACGATGCCAAGCAGGCTGTGCCAGGGCCAGCAGCCCTGGTAAGCATCCAGCTTGTCATTGCCCCCAGTGCGTTCTACACTTCCTGTCAAAGGACTAGTCCCCTGGCTGTATTTTTAAAATCCCAGCCTTAAGGGAGAGGTCTCCCTAATGTAGGTTCCGCCAGACGCTGCCTCCTGAACTGAAGCGGCGTGTCATGGGTCTTAGCGGTGCTCAGCTAAGCCGAGCGAGTGGGTTTGCACTGACTCCCCGAGTGCGCTCAGGGTGGTTAGAATCCTCGCATCTGGAGCTGTGTAGTTGTACTGAGTTGTCTCCACTGGAAAAGTTTCTAGTCTGTTAGCTTAATTGTATCGCTTTATTTTCCTGATGCATCATACTCTCTGCCCTGTGCTTGTGAGGATTTTGTTGGCCTCACCTTGGGGCCACCTGTGACAGCTGTTGTCTTATCCCCTGGCATGAGCCGCAGCAACTCTGTGATCTGTTTCGTCAGAATTCATTGCTCCTGCGCCCGTGGCGAACTGGGTCTGTACTCCTCATTTGTTATCATTTGTTAAGTGTTTATTATTATATTTGTTATTTATTAAGTAGCTTCTGTGGATTCGGAAGTAAGGGCAGCCATAAACAGGGCTATAGGACCTTGCATTGGACCTTGCGTCATATTAGGGGAAGCAGACTCCTGAACAGTTATAAGATGTATTATTATTGTCCTAACGAGAGCGTCACAGTAAGAAGTTAACAGTGTATATGTTATTAGCGTAACAGATGCGTTCATGATGATGTAACACTATTATAAAGTCGTACCATAAGCCACGGGCACCCACTGGAGTTTGGAGACGCGGCGGGAAAAGGGTCAGGATCCAAACCCAAGGGGCATCGTGTGCCTCATGGAAAACCCTGGACTTGGTCCCAAGAAAACAAGATACTGTCAAGGTCGTTTGTGCAGAGGGGCAGGATCTGGTGGTGCTCTGGGACAGAGTGGAGGATGGCTTGAAGACAGCAGAGATCGCTCAGGGGTGACGGGTAGGGGGTACCACAGGAGCCCCAGTGACCCCACGAAGGCTGGAACCGGACAGTGCAACAAGAAGGGAGGAGGGAGAGACGGAGCGAGACCCTCGTCGTGGGCGAGTGCCCTGCACTGACGGGAGGAGTGGGACCTTAGCTGGACTCCCACCTGCTGGGTCCCCAGGCCCCACGCCCCACGCAGTCCCCAGGCCAGGCAGTGGCGTGCTTTTGACTTCTGTGAGCCCTCTCCCCGAGGCCCGAGTAGTAGCCCAGAGAGCTGGACCAGACCCTCTGGAGAAATGCTTTAAGCTGAGTGAGGGGCCAGGCCCATGTCCCAGCAGCTCGGGCGGCCCCCTCGACCTTCAGCAAATGTTGACCGGGGAGGGGCAGGCGGGGCGAGCGCTTGCCTTCCTGCAGCCGGCAAGGCAGAAGGAGGAGAGCGCCCCTGGCCACACCTCTTCGACCCTCTTCCCTGAGACTCACCCCCAACCTGGGCTCCTTGTTCCTTCGTCTCTGTCGGCAATGACGATGGCCGCGAGGGGCCCCGGAAGTGTGCCCCGGCCAGAGAGGGGAGTGTGCGCCCTGCTCTGTTACCGCCAGTCCCGAGATGCACCCAGACGCAGGTGGTCTTTAACATCCTTGGATGCCGCTGTCCGGACCCACTCCCTCCTCCTCGATGGTGAGTGAGGAGGGGACCCCCGGAGCTGAACTTGTGGGGCTGACCATGACGTTGGCAGCTGGAGCAATTACTGACACGATGTCTCCCTCAAGCAGACAGGAACTGAGGACAGAGGGGGACTGGGGGGTGTGGCGAGGACGGCCAAGACTCCAGTGCCAGAAGAAATCAAGATAATGTGCGGCCTCGTGTGCGTGGGCGTCGGAGGAACTGAGGGGACGCTTGGCAGGAGATGGCCAAGACGCACTGGGACCTGTGGGGCTGGGACGTGCAGGAGAGGGCGGCAGGTGGAGATCTCGGCCCCTCAGCCTGAGCGTGTGGGGGTGGCGGAGTCCGTGCCAGAGAGGTGCAGAGGCTGAGGGGGACAGGATCCCAGGGCAGGCAGGACGAGGACCGCGGGCCGGAGCAGCGGTCAGCAGGGACAGAGCAAGCGCCACGGCAGGAAGGCCAGAGAGGGCTGAGCTTCACGACAGTCGAGGCCGCAGAGGCTCCAGGCAGGACAGTGGGCTGCGGCTGAGGAGAGGCCCTGAGGTCTCGGCCGGAGCAGGTTCCCCTGGGGGCCGCAGGAGAGAGCCTGGAAGCAGGAGCCAAAGAGAAAGGGCAGCGGCCAGAGGGCGCGGCAAACCCCGATTCTCCCGGAGACGAGCAAGCGGGATGGGGGAAGAGCGGTGCGGCAGGCCCGGGGCCGCCACGCCGACCCTCGGCCTTTAGGGACCATCGGTCTTTCCAGAACATTCTGCTGTGACCTGGGTCCCTGCAGCAACTAGCTTCCCTCGCTCCACGCAGATCCCTTGCCTCAGCCAGTCCAACTGGATTCAAAAGCTGAACTTGGTGGAACTTCGAGGCCCCTCCCAAATTCGTTCATTCCCAAACCACAGGAGGGAGGAACACTCAGGGGTCAGCATGACAGCGGTGCAGGTTGAGCCCGCACCAGCCAGGAGCTGCCCTCTGTTGTGCAGTCGCCACACTCGCCTCCCCCAGGACGACCGCCGGGCTCACGCGCGCAATGAAGCTCCCGCGTTTAGGTACCTACGGCTGATCCCGGCATTGTCGGCTCCCAGCCCACATCCGTGATGGACTGTGAAATGGGAAGAGTGATGTGTCTCAACACCAAGGCCCCCGCCGCCTCTCCAAGTAGGACCTGCCTTGGAGGCCACACCCGAGGGCATGACCAGGGCTCATATCCCACCTGAGGCCTCTGCTCTCCCAGGCTCAGGGCTTCCCTTTGATTTGTTTTTTAAGCTTGTCCAAAAACCCCGGAATTTGGAGCTTGCCTTTTGACCCCAGTTATACCCCTGTCAGCTCCAGCTGAGGGACCCTGGTGATGTTTCTCTCTGAACAGATGTCAGGGAGGTGTGCTGCTTCCAAAGGGCAGAAGAGAGCTACTCGGGATGCCTACAATGGACATTTTAAAGCTTTTAAAATAGTTACAGAGGCTCTCAGGTCTTATTTAAAAATTAGACAGTAAAGAAAAGCAAATCACCAAACCCCTGAAAATTCACATTCATACTTGGATGACACTGACATTTTAATATATATTTACAAGTTATACGTGTTAAATTGGCATACTTTTCAAACATAGCAAGCTATTCATACTGCTCTGTAACATGCTTTTTTTGTTGTTGTTGTTACTATTCTCCTTCATTTATTCATCCAGAATTACCATGCAATTGTTTTGTCAAGTTATTTCTTTAAAACCTACTAGTAATGTGATAGGAGTTATGATGAGCAGAGGGAATACTTCGAGGCTTATTCATTCTTTCCATCCTCCCCCTCCCAGCCTGTGGTGTATTTATTCGGGGACTCTTCCAGGGTCTTCATTTAAGCTTTTTATTCCTTTTTTTATGGTAAAGCATACACAACACAAAATTTACCATTTTAACCACACCATTCAGCATTAATACATTCACATAGTTGTGCCACCGTCCCCACCGTCCATCTCCAGAACTTTCTCATCTTCCCAAACAGAAACTCTGTCCCCATGAAACACTAACTCCCCCTGCCTGCTCCCCACAGCCCCTGGCACCCAGCGTCCTACTTTCTGTCTCCATGAATCCGACTCTGCTGGGGACCTCGTATGAGTGGAATCCTGCTCATATGAGGACAAATCCTATTTGTCCTTTTGTGACTGGCTGACTTCACTCAGCATAATGTCTTTGAGGTTCCTCTGTGTTGTAGCATGGTCAGAATTTCCTTCCTTCTTAAGGCAGACTAATATCCCACTGTGTGAATGGACCCCATTGTGTTTATCCATCCATCCGTCGAGGGACGCCCGGGTCGCTTCCACTTTGGAGCTGTGGCGAGTAGAGCCGCCACAAGCCTGGGTGTCCTCCACTGAAGGCCCTGGGTCTCCATCTACAGACCCTGCCCATTTCTTACGGAGCTGATCTCCGGGTGCCCCCGTCTGGGTGGTGGTGGAAGATGCTTCTACACGAGCATCTTCTTGGCAAGACCTCTGAGGGTGTCCTCCTCGGGTCCAGCTCGACCTCGGCGCCCAGTACATCAAGTCGGCCGTGAAGAACGTTCCCTCGGTGTTCCTGATGACGGACTCCCAGGTGGCCGAGGAGCAGTTTCTGGTGCTGATCAATGACCTGCTGGCCTCGGGGGAGATCCCGGGGCTGTTTACGGACGACGAGGTGGAGAACATCATCTCCTCCATGCGGCCGCAAGTGAAGTCCCTGGGCCTGACGGACACCCGGGAGGCGTGCTGGAAATTATTCATTGAGAAAGTGCGCAGGCACCTGAAGGTAGGGGGTCCCAGGCTTGGGGGCGGGGGATCCCGGGGACCTTCTAAGGGCTGGTTCTTCACTCGGGGAGGAGTTAGGGGCTGTTCCCGCCCAGGAAATGGAAAACTGTTAGGAGAGTATGGTGGGCTGCCTGATGGAGGTGGGCTGTTAGAAGTGCCTTGTGGCCGAAAGAAGTGATTTCTATATGCACATCTACCCCGCCGCCCCAATAGAGCACGTTTAAATAGATTAGTTCACCTTGACCTTCAACATTCCCCCTTGGGGAAGCTGGCTGAGCTACCCAAGTTAGACCGAGAGCACTTTGGGTCCTTCTCTCCCTCCTCGTCCGTGACCAGTAGGACAGCTGCCCCTGGCCAGGTGGCCCTGCTTTCGTTCCTCCCTGCCCCCAAGGACCAGACCTGCTAAAGGACCATAGCCCTCCCTGTTCTGGGACCTCACCTACCCAGTGTGGTTGCCCACGCCCCACTCCCTCCTGCACCCAGCCCTCCTTCCCCCTTTGTGGGGCCACCTCAGGAGGGCTCGGGGCTCCTCTGCACCCTCACATCGTGATGCGATGGCCACACTGCCAGCCCAGACCTGGGCGTGTTCTCCCCACCCCCGCACTTGGAGACGGACACCACGCAGAGAGCTTTTCCTTCTAAAGGGGCTTTCTGCAAAAGCAGCGCGATTCGGCCCCAGCACCGCCGTCCCCCAACCAGCGGCAACTGTGTCCACTTCTAGGTAATCCTGTGTTTCTCCCCCGTGGGCTCCGTCCTGCGTGTACGAGCAAGAAAATTCCCTGCCGTGGTCAACTGCACAGCCATCGACTGGTTCCATGAGTGGCCAGAGGACGCCCTGGTGTCCGTCAGCACTCACTTCCTTGAGGACACCGAGGGGATTCAGGTAAGTCACGGGGCATAGAGCCGGGAGGGAGGGTTCCTGTCAGGCCGGGAGTAGGGTGAGGCAGCTGAGGCACTCGCCTTGGGTGCAAAACTTAAGGGGGCACCAAAAACTTAATCAAGATCAGTGATGTTTTAATGCAGTATTTTTAAAAATCAATATTAATGCTGAAATGCTCAAAAGTGTCAAAACTGTAAACAAAGACAGGCTGCCGTTTGTTGGTTTTCTGGCCCCAACTTACTGTGCCAGGGAAATGGTCGTTTCAATCAGCTGGGGGTTCCGGGCCTCACGCGGCCATGGGCCCACAGGGCTGGTTCCGGGGGATCCCACGTGCGAACAGATTGAGCAGCTCGGGCTTTGAACATAGTCCCCGATTGGAGCCGACTGCAGAGCCCGTATTTACTTTGATAAGTGTATGCGGGCGCACACTTTTTCCTCTTGCCTTGGGCTCCAACATGGCTCTGACCCCAGGGCTCTGCCCCCAGGGCTCTGCCCAGGGCTGCTGCCTCACCTTTGACCTACCTTTTTTTTGGGGGGTGGGGGGGCGCGGTATGCGGGCCTCTCACTGTCGTGGCCTCTCCCGTTGCGGAGCACAGGCTCTGGACGCGCAGGCTCAGCGGCCTGGGCTCATGGGCCCAGCCGCTCCGCGGCATGTGGGATCTTCCCGGACCGGGGCAACATCCATACATCCATCCATCCACCCACCCATCCACCCACCAGCTCCTGCTCTGTTCCAGGCATACTACTTAGTGCTGGAGGTATAATGGTGGAAAGGACAGTCAATCCCTGTCCTCGTGATGCTTGGCATCAAGGGGAGGTACAGACCAAAGACAAAATAATTCAGAATTGTCATCTGTGCCATCACAGGCACAAATAACAAATTGCTAGAGGGAACACAGGTCGGGGGGCAGGGACAGGAACCAAACCTGAGATGAATGGGGGCTAGTCAAGAAGGGCCTTTGTGAGGAGCTGACATTTGACCTGAAACCTAAAAGATGAGAAGAAGCCACACCTGGCATGAATGGGAGGGAGCAGCCTACTGGAAGAGCCTGGAGGGTTCAAGAAGCCAAAAGCAGACCACTGTGTGTGGAGGGTGTGAATGAGGATGAGGGTAGCCCAGGGAATTGTTGAATAAATTGCCTAAAGAGGGAACAGGTGGACCAGTGAGACGACAGCCAGCCATGTGGTTCTGTTTGCAGGAAAATGCGGAACTCTTCAGAGCGAACACGATGAGCCAGTCCTGGAAGGATTATGTCAACTACGTTGACAGCATGGTCTTGGATGAATTTGACCATTTCATTCGCAAGTCTCTAAATCACCTAATGGACAACATGGTCGTAGATGTAAGTTACAAATGTGAGATATATATATGCATATACATATATGTGTATTATGATATTATAAATATGAGAAAGGTTGACGCTGGAATGTATAATCTGTGGTTTCCTGATGAAAGAACAGACTGTCATGTTACAAATGAACAGACTTATTAAAGTCTTCCCAAGGTGACCAACTCGTCCCGATTTTAAACCTGAAAGTCCTGCGTCCCGGGACCCTGCTCAGTCCCAGGTGCTCAGGACATCTGGCCCTTAAATATGCTGCGGCGTAAGTGGGCTATAGAACACGTACAGGGATCTGAGTTGTCCTATGCTGCTGCCAGGTGAGGAAAAGCAGGTACCACTGCCCCCTCCTTATGCTGATTGGGGGTGGGAGGTGCCCTCCTATCGGCAACATCAGCCACCAGCCCGCTCAACCCTCTGCTGAACTGAGTAGAAGCTTAAACCAGGTCAGCACTGTGGCTTTGCTGGTTAACTGCATCCCAGCCTGTTCTCCAAGAGCTATTCCCTGCCCATGTCCTTTTCACTACAGTGGTTCCCAAGTGATTTTGAATACTGCCAGGAGGGCAAGATGAGAGACACTCTCCCCGCCAAAGCCTACCCGCAGGAAAGGATGGTGGGCACTGCAGTGAGATGCCCTTACACAAGCTGCAGAGGGCGCTTGTCCCCAGAAAATCACAGACCCCAGATTCTGTTGATGAAAGTAGTCGGCATTACCAACTGTTAAGTCTCACCAAGCAAGGCACAGTGACACGGTATCAGCAATGAAGGTAGCTAATTTATAGTAAACTTATAAACTAAATTATCACTACAAAGAGAGGAGAGTCACAATCAAAAGCATGATGAGACCCTGATAACAAAGCAGCCTCAAAAAATCCCAGGGAGTCCCCGTATTTGTGAGTGGCCAAGCAGCGGAAGCGGACCCCTGAGTCAGAGGCTTTAGAAAAGTCTGGTCCCCTGAGTTTGTGACAACAGACCTCTCCCACTTAGCAACTCACTCAGGCACTAGTGCAGACCCCGCCCTACTCAGTCATAGAACCAGGGGTCTCTCAAGCCAGCCACCCACAGGGCCAGCATGGGACTACGTTTGGAGGAAGATCAGTGGCCGTAGAGCAGGTCCCGAGGCCACCCGTGGGCTTTGGCCCGCACTTTGAGACTCGCCGGTATGTTGGGCGAGCCTCTACCCTGTTCCCTTACACATGAGGCTGCAACTCAGCCTCGCAGCCTCACAAGAGGGATCCTCACAAGAGGGAATAGACAGGCTTATGGCGTGTGTGCTTTAGAAACAGAACCTCCAAGGGACATGAGGGCTTGTCCTTTCTGGAGCTCAGCGGAGACCATCCTGCCTGTCTGTGACACTCCCTGCCCCTGCCCCACTGAGCACTGTGGCCACAGCTGCTGACACACCTGAGACAGCCACTACCTCACGTGCTCTATGTGTTAGTCGTCCCTCTAGTCCTCACGGTAACCCAAAGAGATGGGGACAGTGATTGCCTCTGTTCTATAAAGCAGCTGTACTCATTTTGTATATTTGGGGAAACTGGGAAGCCGAGGGTCTCGCCCAAGGCCACGCAGCTAGACAGTAGCAGATATGGGCTTTGAACGGAGGTAATGGGTCTCCTCGGCACTCACGATCACTGCTGTATCCCGCCCTGGACACCCAACCTGCATTTGGCCCGATGGCGTTGCATTTGGTTGTGTAGTTCTCGCTCAAGGGCCCTCAGGAAGTGCGTTCTCTGCAGTGGCCCCAGCCAGCAAGGGTTAGCCATATACCTTGTCTGGTGCTGGGGTGAACATCCGGGCACCGAAAATGGTTCAGCTGAGGGCAAGTCTTTGACCCCATGACGGCCTGTTTCAGGAGAGCATCGCACCGCTGTTTGAGGTCCGCATGGAGCTGGACGAGGATGGGCTGGTCTTCAATCCATCCCTGGAGGTGGGCGGGGACCAAGGCTTCCTGGCGCTGATCGGGAGCCTGGTCACTGACATCTACAATGCAGCCAAGCTCATCCCCAGGCTGGCCAAGGGCAGGATGAACTACAAGGTCAGTCTGGGCTTGGTATGGCCCCACCCCTTTCCCTGCCACCAACTGCTACCCCTAATGGGTCCTGAAGGTGAAGAGGAGCCCAGAGGCTTCCATTCCATCGGGTTCCCCAGGACAGTGGCCCGGATTTCTCTCTCCACTCCTGAGATCCCATCTTTCTCCCCAGAGCGGCTTCTCGTCGGTCGACCTGGTTTTCATTCCCCTGATGGCTCCCCACCCCCAATAAGACGCCAAGTGTGCATCCCCAACCTCACTGGTACTTCACTCCCTCCCGTAATTTAAACCCTGTGATCCTCTGACCATGCAGGCTCTTTGACAAATGCGCCTTGCATGGGCTCCCGCACCCATTTGCTCTGAATGCATTAAACACCTAATGTGCATCTGACACGTAAAATGCAGTCAGATCAGATCCTGGGGATGCAAAGGTGTGGGAAATTCAGCCCCACCCCCCGCCAAAGGGAGGCCTGAGAAGGTGTGTTTGTCAGAGCATGGTTTGTGGGGCAGTTAAACAAAAATTGGAAAAGACCTAAATGACCATCAAACACAGGTGTCCTTCGGTAGATTCCGGCCCATCCAGACAAAGGCATCCGGATGAGTCCCAAAAGGGAGCCCGGGATGGAAAGCTGCTCGTGACACGTTTGTTATTAAGTGTTTAAGTTGCGGAACAATGTTTAGAATGTGATTTCATTCGTTTAAACAAAACAAAAGCCTGCCCTCCTATGAATACACTCCAAACTGTTAAGAGTGCTTGCTTCTGGGAAACAGGATCGGGGTGAGGATGGTAGGAGGACAGGGGATGCCAAGGGAGCTTTTTATTTTATGTGCTTCTGCCTCATTTGAACTTTTTGATAATGGGCGCGTATTATTTGTAATAACAAATATTTACAGCAAGATGCTCTGTGCTGTTAGGGACAGAGGTATGTGTGCATACGTGTGCGTGTGTGAGTGAATGTAGTGATGTGAGGACACGAGGAAATACCTGGCAAGGTCAAGGACAGCTTCCCAGAGGAGCTGACGCGCGTTCTGAGTCTTGAAGGGTGGAAGGGGATTTCCAGGCAGAGAGAATGGCTTGAGGATTCCTGAGCCGCAAAAAGGTGGTATTTCTGGCCCAAGTGCACGCAGCAGGCTGTTCCACAGCTCAGAATAAAGTGAACTATGCCACCAGTGGTCAGCCCAAGAATACACGCAACACAGAGCTGGACTCCCACGTGTGCTCCAGAATCTGATAGGATGCGCATCCGGGGCTCCTGCACCCACCCCGGGGTCCTGAGGGGCTTGGCATGATGAACAGGACAGAACAAAGCAGAATAAGGGTCCCGGTGATCAGGCCGTACCCCGGGCTGTGCACGCCCCGCTCTGGTCTCATTTGTATCCATGAGATTTTAATTTACAGAAGTGACCGAGTGACTACATGGAGAGGTCAGTGCCATTGACAGAAAACGTTAATGTCACTCACAGTTCCCCTGGAAAGGAGAAGCACGGCTGGCTACTCAGGGTCTCGGGGGAGGCAGCAGGTTTGGTCAGAAAGCAGAAGCAGGACGGAGGGCGAAGCCCAGGCCAGAGGCTTTGCTGGGGTTTCTGCGGGAAGGCGAGACAGGACCAGGGAAACAGCTCGGGGCCAGCCACTCTGCACATCGGCGGCTCAGGGCTATGGGGGTCGTCTCCAGTTATCTGGTACCTGGCCCTGGGTGATGGGGCAGGGGGAACATGGGCTTGGAGTGTGAGGGTTAGTTAGATAAAGTAGGCGGATGGGGGATTGGCTGGCTTTCACGTGAAAGGTGTGCTCCCATCCCAGCCCTTTGCTCTCTTAGAATTGGCTGGCCCTGCGAGGGGCAGTCTCTCCCCAGCCAGCAAGATTTTTTAAGATGCCAAAGCTTCTTAAGATACAGGAAATTTTAAAAACATGGTTAATACACACCCTCCACCTTGAGATTCTCCAGTTACATAAGGCAATTGCTCCCTTTTCGCTAACACCAATTTGGGTTGGGTTTTCTGTCACTTGAAACTCAGAGCATCCTGTCCAGCCCGGGCCTCCCGTGCTCCTACTCCGGCCATCATGTGGTCTCCACGCAGGTCCTCACACATCTGCTTCCCTCCCAGCACAGGGCCTTTGCACGTGCTGTGTTGCTACTCTTGCTCTTTACCTACAGTCCATCAGCTCTCAGACCAATGGTCACTTCCCCAGGGAGCGTTCCCCAACCTCCTCCCTGTTACACCTGAATGCAAGGGTCAGAGTCATGATGTCTCGTTTCTGTGATTTTTTTGATGAACATCTGACCCCACTCCTGGGCTGTCTACATCACGTGAGCCCTGTCGACACCCCTAGGGCCCCCTCCCCCTGCGTGCACACAGCAGATTCTGAGTAACTACTTAATGAATGAAGCCACATGAGTCATCCTGGAGTTTGCCTGGCAAAAGTCACGTCCAGTGTATCTTCTCACGGGAGAACATTGCAAACATTGTTTGCAGATGTCCCTGCGTCCCATCTAGAGAGGTTAGCCACACTTGCACCAACAGGGAGCCACTCTCCAGGGCGGGGAGACCACGGGCGAAGCGCTCACCCATCTGCGCCCCTCCTGCCCCTTGCAGACCGACCTGGAAGACGTGACCGACCTCATAGAGATGGGGGAGGAGCTGTCCAACCTGGTCATCAGCGCCATAAAGGAGGCTGAGGAGTACCAGGACTCCTTCGAGCGCTACGCCTACCTGTGGATGGACGACCCCCAGGAGGTCATGAAGAGCTTCCTCATCTATGGCCGCGCCATCAGCCCGGAGGACTGGGACCCCCAGGCCGAGGAGACCCTCCCCAAGATGCCGCCTACCCTCGCCCAGTTCCAGCAGCAGGTGTGTGTGAACCTCACCCACCGGCTTCCTCAACTCCAGAATCCCTGCCATGGAGGGGCACTGGACTTGATTTAAAACTTGGGTGAACATTGTTTTTACGTTTTTATTTATTTATTTATTTATTTTTGGCTGCGTTGGGTCTTCGTTGCTGCACGCGGGCTTTCTCTAATTGCGGCGAGCGGGGGCTACTCTTCGTTGTGGTGCGTGGGCTTATTGCGGTGGCTTCTCTTTGTTGTGGAGCACAGGCTCTAGGCTCGTGGGCTTCAGTAGTTGCAGCACACAGGCTCAGTAGTTGTGGCTCGCGGGCTCTAGAGCGCAGGCTCAGTAGCCGTGGCGCACGGGCTTAGTTGCTCCGCGGCATGTGGGATCTTGCCAGACCAGAGATCGAACCTATGTCCTCTGAATTGGCACACAGATTCTTAACCACTGCGCCACCACGGAAGTCCAGGGTGAACATTTTTTAAATGTAAGTTTTATTATAATTCAAGTATGGAGAGACCAACAGATCAGACGCCTGCTGTGAAAAGAGAGGTTGTGACTCGTGGCTCCCAAGAGGAGGGGGGCACTCCATGCCATGCAGGGCCACGTAGGGCCACACGGGGAGGCACCAGTGTCGGGCAGGAGGCCGAGGGAATGAGGGGAAAGCGTGGCTGAGAGCCTGAACTGTGGTCTTCATGGGGAAGAATGGGCAAGGCAGGGCAAGCAGGCTTAGGATGGGCTAGTTTGGATCATTTCAGTGATTCAGGGGCGTACTGGCTGTCCCGGGTTGTCAGGAACCTGGCCCTGGGGTGATTAGGGCAGGTGGACAGTGGCCTGGAGTGTGAGAGCCCCATAGAGGAGGCGGTTGGGTTGTGAGCTCTGGTTGGTTGTTTGCATATGAAAGGTGTGGTCCGGGGGGGTTTGTCTGCCATCTCTAGGACTTAGCCAGCCAGGGGGCAGGGGCAGTCCCTCCAGGGTCAGCGAGACCCCCAGTACCAGAGCTTCAGTAATATAGAGCATGATGGGAATTCCCTGGCAGTCTGGTGGTTAGGACTCAGAGCTTTCACTGCCATAGCTTGGGTTCGATCTCTGGTCAGGGAACTATGATCCCGCAAGACGTGCAGTGCGGCCAAAAAAACCAGGATATAGGACATGAGAAAACATAGTGAACTTACAAAACTTCACCTCTTTTCCTGAAGCTCAGTGAGGGTGACCCAGCCACAGGGAGATGCACATGGGGTGGGGGGACAGCTGGCTGGTGGAGCTTGAGAGCCCAAGGACGTGCAGCAGCATAGAGAGTTAAGGGATGCCCCATGGGTGCCCGGGACCCCATTCACCCCTTGAAACTTTTGGCCCCTGCTGGCCTTGCTTGATGACGTCCCTTTTTGACAGGCCATCCCGTGTCGGGGATAGACTGCTGGGCCGCAGGGCACCCCGGGGGAGCTGGGAGAAGGAAACTAGTGCCTCGTAAGGGCCTCCCACACACACACATGCTGTGCTGGCCCCAACCCCTGGCCCCGGCAGCCCGACAGGTGAACGGGGTTGTGTCTTCCAGATCAACTCCTATGAGAAGCTGTATGAGGAGGTGTCCAAGCGTGAGGACACCAAGGTGTTCAACGGCTGGCTGCAGTGTGACTGCCGGCCCTTCAAGCAGGCCCTCCTCAACACCACCAAGCGCTGGAGCCTCATGTTCAAGCGGCACCTGAGCAACCACGTGGTCAACAGGTGGGCACCAGGACCGCTGGCCTGACATTGATCATGCCCCAGAGAGCTATGTGCGAGGGGCACCTGCAGGCGGCCTTCCATGAAGTGTCGGTTGGACACCTCCTCCCCCAAACCGGGTGGCTGTTGGGGTGAAGGTCAGGCTCAGAGGCCGGCAGCCCCACGGAGGGTGGGTCCCAGCAGCAAGGTGTCACCTGGCAGGGCGTGGAGGTCCTGGTCCCTCGGTCATTGCTTCTTTACTGAGCACTTACCGTGTCTGGGCAACAGATGCCAAGGAACCCTTCAGGAGCCCTGAGTCGGGCAGGGAAGCCTGGCGTGAAACGTGCCGGTGGTACCTGTGCAGTTACAGGTGGGGTCGGGGCCGGGAGGGGCGTGGAGCCAGGAGAGCGTGTAATCCAGCTCCTCTGTCCGGGAGGCCCAGCAAAGGCTGCCCTGAGACGTGGCTCCATGCGGTACTCACCGACCAGTCGAGTCGGTGAGGCACAGGGGTGCTGGGCAGGCACCCATCACAGGCGGCCTCTCACCCACCAGCCTCGCAGACCTAGAAGCCTTCATGAAAGTCTCCAGGGCGGGCTTGATGAAGCCTCTCAAGGAGGGGGATTATGACGGCCTCGTGGAGGTGATGGGGCATCTGATGAAGGTCAAGGAGAGGCAGACGGCCACCGACAACATGTTTGAGCCCCTGAAGCAGACCATCGAGCTGCTCAAGTCCTATGGGGAGGAGATACCCGAGGAGACGCACGTGAAGCTTCAGGTAAACAGGCCTGGGGGGCCCCCGCTGGGGGAGCTGAAGCTGCGGGCAGGGCCAGAGGAGGGCGGGCTCTTGTGCCGGAGCCTGCAGGCTAGACCTCCTCTTCTAGACATGGAGTCCCCGTGGAATGGCAGGGTGGGAGGACAGGGCTCTCTGGAGACGAGGGGACAGTGAGGCGGCCTCCAGAAGGGGGGAGGGCAGTAGCTCTTCCATCTGATTGGAGTTTCAGTGGATAAAAAGTGCCTTTGAGTCCCACACCTCCTCCTGAGCGCAGTAGGAGCCTGGGCACGAGGGATGGGGGACCAAGAATGGGGTCAGCAGAGACCTGACCGGGTGAGGGCGCCCCAGCAGGGCAGTGGGGCAGCTGCTCTGGGAATCCCCCAACCCAGAAGGCCCGCAGCCGGCCCCGGCCCCGCGCGGGACAGGTGGGCCACAGCAGGGAGGCTGTAGGGGACTTCCAAAAGCCCAGTGCTTTACAGCTAATTCGCAGAGCGCCAGCTGTCGGTGTCAGAGCAGCTGTATGTGCAGCTGGGCTGGGCAGTGGTCGTGCTGAAGCTGGGTCCTGAAGCCACCGCCCAGCCACCCCCCTGGAGTTTGTCTCCTCCCAGACCTGGCTGCCTGCCCTCCTTCTCTGCCCTGGCTCTGGGACTGGTCAAACAGGCCTGACCAGGGGGAGGCACTAACTCCAGCCAGTGCCCGAGACCCCACAGCACAGGGGTGACAGGATTGTGTGTCGATTGTGTGTCGGTGGCCGCCGTGATCTCCGCGGTGATCTCATGCTGCCCAGGCCCTGCTTTAGAGCACGTTGTGTTTTGCCCCAGCTGCCCCGCCCGGGGCTCAGCTAAGGACCAGGATTCGAAGCATTTGTGGCCGGGCCCCAGGGGCTCCAGGGCTATGGACAGGGCGAGCGGTGAGATAAAAATTCTGAAAAACATTTGAGGTGTGTCGCTGCCAACAGACTGTTAGTTAATTGTAGAATAATGTGAAACAATGTCTATTTGTGGGTAAAGAATTTGGGGGCTGGGATTTTTTTCTTTAAAATATTTTATAATAAGTACAATATTTGCCCAAGTGTGGAGAACTTCGAAAATACAAAAACTCGTCTGATTGCTAAAGCCATTCTTGCCATGACAAAATCGTAGAAACGGAGGACAGGTTAGTGGCTGCCCAGGTTGGGGCGGGGGGCGGTGCTGGGTGCAGGTACAAGGAGGTAACACTAGACAGTTCCTTCACCGTGATGGACAGCAAGGTATGTGGATCGCGGCGGGGGTTATGGGACTCTATACATGAGGTAGAATTGCCTAGGACTGCACACGCTCACGATGCATGCACTCACACGCACACACACGCGCATGCATGCACACAACACACGCACACATGGATTCAGCTTAAAACACAGGGTGAAAACCGACAAGTTCCATCACCTGCTAACAGAAACGCCCCAGTGTCGGATGCCGGTTTGGGTATCGAGCCTCCACTTTGTGAGATGCCACCACCAGGGGAGGCTGGGGGCGGGCACACAGGACTCTCTGTGCTATTTTTGCAACTCCCCCTGAGTCTGTAATTATTTCACAGTAGAAAATTTTAAAAAGAGCAGAAAAAGGAGTGGTCCTTGGCCTTTGCCTGTGTAGGAACTGCCGGAGCAGTGGACCAACACCAAGAAGCTGGCCATCCAGGTGAAGCAGAACGTGGCACCCTTGCAGGCCAACGAGGTCAGCATCCTGCGACGGAGGTGCCAGCAGTTCGAGGTACCACGGCCTCGGGGCGGGGCGGGGCGTGGCATGCACCGCAGCTGGGCCCTGGGGCGGGAGCCTGATGGCTTCCACGTGGTCCTCCTGCAGCTCAAGCAGCACGAGTTCAGAGAGAAGTTCAGGCAAGAAGCCCCGTTCAGCTTCAGCGACCCCAACCCCTACAAGTCCCTCAATAAGGTACTTCTGCTCAAGGAGGAGATGGGGTAGTAACTCTGGGGACCCTGATGCTTTCTCATCCTTCCTCAAGCTGTCATTCTCATGAGCCCAGAAACGTGGCCTTGATGGGACTGGGCTCAGGGCCGTACCCGTGTGTGTGCGTGTGTGTGCACATCTGAATATCCTACAAGCCTCACAAACCCACCCTGCGGCTCAGCCCCTCCCTCTCCTAGGTCCCCACGTTCAGCAGTTTGCTGTCCCCTCGGGCTTTGCACTCACCCTGCTCCCTGGCGCCTTCTTCTCCCTGACTCGCCACGTGCAGCTGGTGGCCAAGCCTCACCTGTGTCCCCTGGTTCCCACTGCCCAAGTTCATGGTCAGTGTCCAACGTGCAAGCTCCATGGCCCCGGACCGGGCAGCCCATTCAGGCTAAGGCCCCATGGACTTCCACCTGGCAGGGGCGTTTGGGGTACATGGGGCCTGGGGGGCCCCCAGGAGCACAGCGGGGTACTGCAATGCTCCCGGCACAGTGCTCAGCCCCCACTGTGCCCGGGCCCCAGCCCACACCTCGACCACACTCTGCAGTACCACAGGCGTGAGCGCAAGGGCACCCCAAGATGTCCTTTAGGGCCACCCCACAGTTTCCCTCCCCGAGCCTCTGCTCTTTCCCCTGCTCAGCCTTGAAGCCCACCCTTCCCAGAGGCCAAGATCCTGCCCTCTCTCCATGGGCATTTTCTCAGTCACGCCCCCAGCCCAGAGCAGAGACGCCACCATTCTCTCCTTCGAGCCCCCCGAGCACTTAGCCGTGGATGCAGGCTAGGTTCTTTGAAGAGCTCCCCTGTCAAATCTGTTTAGGAACCACGTCCATTGTGAGAGAGGCCCGCAAGGCAGGGTGCAAACACTCGGGACCCCCCTGTGTACCCAGTCGAGCGTGGTACACACTCCACACCAAAGCTTTCGCAGCTGCCCGCGCTTAGTCGTGTGGCTCAGGACGAACCTTTTTTTCCTCCTCATTGCTTATCTAGATTTTTCTAGTTTTCAAAGCAATCAAGCATTACTTATATACATTTTAATACAATACAAATATATACAGTGAGAGAATGGGGGAGGTTCTGGGAAGTCAGAAAATGTTAGGAGGAAGTCTGGCGTTCATGCAACGTCCATTAAGAGTCAGTCCTCACACCTGAGCTCGCCGAGGTGACCCACCCTCCCATCAGAGGAGAAGCTGGGGGCGGGCGGGGAGGCCGCTGCCCTCCCAGCTGGAAAGTTTGCCACCACCCTGTATGCGTGGTGTTGGCTCTGGGCTTCACGGGGACGTGGCGGGGGAGACAGGGAAGGCTCCGCCGAGCGCCGGCACCCTGTTCACCAGCTTCTGCGTGCCCCCAGCAACAAAAGAGCATCGCAGCCATGGAGGGCGTCATGGAGGCTCTGTGCAAATCCGGGAGCCTGTTCGAGGTCACAGTGCCGGACTACAAGCAACTCAAGGCTTGTCACAAAGAGGTCCGCCAGCTGAAGGAGCTCTGGGACATGATCATCATGGTGAGGGGGGCGCCAAGCCTCAGGGGACGGGATTGGGGGGGCTCCACGGGCAGCATCCCAGCACCAAGAGGGGGCGCTCCCGTTATCCTTCCGTAACAGCCGCCTCTGATGGTTGATGGAGGCAAAAAGACGAGTAGGAAGCCTCACTGCTCCTGGTATCAAGGCTGTGTGTCCACAGCGGAGGTGCGCGTGTTCGCTCCCCAGTCTCATCTCTTGGCTCCTGTATTTCCAGAGATATTTTAGCTCTTCTCTCTTTTTATTTTTTATTTCATTTTATTTTATGTTGGAGTATAGTCAGTCAAGTGTTGTGTTAGTTTCAGGTGTACAGCAAAGTGGTTCAGTTATACACATACATGTATCTATTCTTTTTTTTGGAGGGGGGGGGCAAGGAATAGCGACTTTATTTGGAAAGCCAGCAGACCGAGAAGATGGCCCACTAGTGTCCCAAAGAACCTTCTTACCCGAGTAGAATTCAGGCTTCTTGTATACTAAAAGGGGAGAGGGTGTGGCTGGTTGTTGCAAACTTCTTGGTGCTGGGATCCTTTGTTCTTGCAGCTGTCCACATAGTTCTGGTCGCAATGTTGACCTCCAACAAGACAAGTGTTATTTTCTGTTCTGCAACTTTTTAATCTCTATATGAATGGAAAAGTGTTATACCTTTAAAGGTCAAGCCCGGGAATATTTCAAGCTATAGGTGATATTCTTTTACAAAGGTGCAGACCCAGTAGGACCATGTATCTATTCTTTTTCATATTCTTTTCCCATTTATCACAGAGTATGGAGAGGAGTTCCCTGTGCTAGACAGTAGCTCCTTGTTGGATATCTTTTTTTATATATATATAGACAATGGCTTAATTTTATTTTTAAAATTTTTTTTGGCCATGCCGCGAGGCATGCAGGATCTTAGTTCCCCAACCAGGGATCGAACCCGTGTCCCCTGTAGTGGAAGCACAGAGTCCCAACCACTGGACCACTAGGGAAGTCCCTGGTTATCTTTTTTTTTTAGAGAAATTAAAGTATTTATTCCATATACAATTTAGGTTTTTTTTAACTTTTTGTTTTATATTGGAGTATAGCCAATTAACAGTGTTGTGAGTTTCAGATACACAGCAAAGCGACTCAGCCATACGTATACAAGTATCCATTTTATTTGTTTTGTTAATATATTTATTTTTGGCTGCGTTGGATCTTCTTTGCTGTGCGCGGGCTTTCTCTAGTTGCGGCGAGCGGGGGCTACTCTTTGTTACGGTGCGCGGGCTTCTCATTGCGGTGGCTTCTCTTGTTGCGGAGCACGGGCTCTAGGTGCGCAGGCTTCAGTATTCGTGGCACTTGGGCTCAGTAGTTGTGCCTCTCGGGCTCTAGAGCGCAGGTTCAGTAGTTGTGGCGCATGGACTTAGTTGCTCCGCAGCATTTGGGATCTTCCCCGACCAGGGCTCAAACCCATGTTCCCTGCATTGGCAGGCGGATTCTTAACCACTGCACCACCAGGGAAGTCCCTACACATATCCATTTTAAATACAGCAGTGTGTACCTGTCAATCCCAAACTCCCAATCTATCCCTCCCCGCTCTTTCCCCCTGGTGACCATGAGTTCGTTCTCTAAGTCTGTGTTAGCTCTTCTCTGTTGTGCTCTTGAACGAACTTCAGAGTCTCTGAAAAATCCTCCTCCCTCCAAAAGAAAACTCTTACAGCTGTAGCTAGAGGTAAATCTACTCCATGAGCGAATCCGGGGAGAATTCCCCTCTTGACAGCCATGTTCACTGTCCCCACCCAGGAGCAGGCTCTGTCTTGTCAGTTATCTTATTTTTTTTATTACATCATAGTGAAATGCTGTAAATGTCTTCATCCTGACCATGCTGAATCTACCTATTTCTCACAGAGAGGGGGAAAAAATCTTTGGAGCCCCAGGCTACCTCACAACCACCCGCAAAGAGAGAGAACCCATTGATGCCTCTCGATGCTTTATTTTTTTCGCAGTTCACTGAATTCAAGCCTCTTGTGCATGAACGACATTACTGAACAGTCGGTGAAGTCAGAGCAGGATGCTGCACTTTCCCTCGATAAACAACACTTAGCGCAGACCCAAGAATACAGGTTACTTTTCCCAGGAGATAACGATAAGCATTTCTGGTCAGGGTGTTGCAAGAAAAATTCCCCAAAACAAACTAGCCAGGACAATTTTATGATAACGGATACAGAGCAGCTTAAACGCACCAGAAAGGGCCATCAATTCCTGTGGGGATTAAGGTTTCGAGTCTTGGGATCTGCAAGGTAACTCTCTTGTAAACACCCCAATTGTTTGTCTTTATCTGACACGGATGTCTGTCAAGACCGTGTCTTTCCACCCCAAGCCTGTCTCAGCAACCTCTGACCCCCTCCAGGACCAGCCCGTCCAGCTTCACAGATGTTCTCAGCCTACCCTGAATTAAAGACTGCAGCTTCACAGGGCTCTGTCTCCACTCTTGGTAGCATTGTCTCCCAGTAGTGCCTGTGTCTTGTTTCATCCTTTCGTGAGTGAAATATCTCCTGGTGTGTTTAATCAGTCAGTATAAGCTAGGTTACTCTGCAGTGACCGACAGCCCTAAAACAAAACAAAACAACAACAAAAAAAACTGTGTGTAGTTAACCACAGACATGTATTTCTCATTCACGCAAAGTCCACACTCCAGTTCCAAGCAACCCTTGGGCAGCTCAGTGCACGCATCCACCATTGCCAAGGCAGACGGAGGGAACTGGGGGCCAGGCGTTGGCAATCCAGTGCTTCTGCCCCCAAGTGTCGGGCATCACCCACATTCCATTGGTCGAGGCAACTGACGTGGCTGCACCAAGAAGTGGGACAGAACTAGATCCTGGTGAGCAGTGACAAGGCCCACGTTTTGCCAAAATATCTCTTAACTGCTGACTTTTAAGTTGAATCTTTTATGATGGAACTGGGTTGTTGGTTTTTTTTCCCCCTTGTATCCACCCACTTTACCAAGCTCTGTCATTAGTTCTCAAGACTCATTGGATTTTGCTTCCTGAGAGCAATGGCAGGAAGGTGGCACAGGTGCCTTCCTGAAGTGTCCCCAGTAGAGGAGACAGCGAGAGTTTCCATCTCAGGTCAACACCAGCATCGGTGACTGGAAGACCACCAAGTGGAAGAATATCAACGTCGAGCAGATGGACGTAGACTGCCAGAAGTTCACCAAGGCCGTGAGGTCCCTGGACAAGGAGGTGAAGGGCTGGGATGCCTTCGTGGGGCTGGACAACACCGTGAAGAACACGATCGCGTCCCTGCGCGCCGTGAGTGAGCTGCAGAACCCTGCCATCCGGAACCGCCACTGGCAGCAGCTCATGCAGGCCACCCAGGTACCGAGCCTCGGGGGAGGAGGGCGCTGCTCCTTGGGGACTCGCTACAGGATGGGCGAGGCTGACGCTGATAAAGCCGGCTTTGAGCATGCTTGGGCTCTGCGCTCAGAGGGGCCCCGCTCTGGGTTGGATGCTCTGCTGTCACCATGTTGAAGTCCTTAATAATTTTTTAACAAGGGACCCCATCATTTTCATTTGCACCAGGCCCCTCAAATTATGCAGCCAGTTCTGGTTGTAAGGTGAATGTCCCCGGGGCTAAGGAAGTTTGGGGCGGAGGAATAGCTGCCCGGGTTCCCCACGCGCCACAGGAACACAGAGTCCTAGCACCCAATTTTTCCCAGGGATATCCCCCAGTGGGGGGTCACTGGCCTTGACACTCACAGAAGGCAAATAGGAACATCCCCACCGTCAGCAAACATTGAACAAAACTCTGTGGAACGGCTACTCTGCAGAGGCCCCACGTAGATGCCAAGGATGCAGAGAGACAGAACACGGGCCCTGCTCTCAGGGAAGCAAAGGAAGAAAGAACAGCGTGGGTCACGGTGTTTGGGACGCCGAATGGGGTGCTCAGGGGTGATTCTAGGAGCATAGAGTAGGCAGTCACCTCCATGGCGAGGGAAGGGCAGGAACGGCTTCAGGAGCACACGGGATGTGGCCTGGGCCCTGGCGGGGAGAAACAGACGAGCAGAAGGGGTATCCTGAGCGCTGAGACCGCTGGCCAGCAGGCTCGTGTACCCCATCCAGGGCCTGGGAGAGACCCCCAGGCGGTGATCAACAAGCAGCTAAAACGTCCCAGGAACTGGGCATCACCGAGGACTGTTGAGACCCGGGCAGGTATTTTTCCAGCCATGATTGAGAGACACTCAATTTCATCACTTGGTTAAACCAATTTCCATGGCAGGCTTGGAATCGGGGCCTGGAAACGTCTGTCTATGTGACAGCGAGAAGGATTTGAGGACTGGGTGACACCATGAAAACACCTGGTATTGTTACTGGAGTAATAGTACCTGTGACTTGGCCACAACTGTTACTAACACGGCAGGTTCCTGAGGTGGTGGATCAGGTCCTGCGACTGCTGTAACAAAGCCCCACACCGTGGGGGGCTTAAAACCTCAGAAGTGTAGTCTTCCCTGGCTCTGGAGGCCAAAAACCTGAAATCAAGGTGTCGGCAGGACCGTGATCCCTCTGGCAGTCTAGGCGAGGGCCCTTCCCTGCCTCTTCCAGCTTCTGGTGGCCCCAGGTGATCCTTGGCTTGTGGCCGCATCCCTCCAATCCCTGCCTCAGTGGTCACGTGGGCTCTTCTGCATTTCAAATCTCCCTCCCCTTTCTCTGATGAAAATACCTGTCATCGGATTTAGGTTCTGTGCAGTTGATCCAGGACGATTTCATCTCAAGATCCTTAACAGCTGCAAAAACTCTATTTCCAAATAAGGTCACATTCTGAGGTCCAGGTGGACATGAATTTGGGGGGACACTATTCAATCCCCTATCAGTGGATTCTGCTGTTACCAGTTTGACAGGGAGGAGAGGCGAGGCCTGGAGACGTGACTGCCCAAGTCACGGAGCTTCCAACTGCCCCCGCCATGGCCTGGGTTCCTCCCTCGCCTGCCTCTCCATGAAGGACAAAGCTGTCCCTCAACGGGAGAACATGTGACCTTACGTGGAATGTGCCTCTTTTTTTCTTCCCGTAGGTGAAGTTTGAAATGTCAGATGAGACCACCCTGGCGGATTTACTCCAGCTGAACCTACATCAATACGAAGACGAGGTCCAAAACATCGTAGACAAGGCTGTGAAAGAGTCTGGCATGGAAAAGGTAGCCTTTGTTGACAGCAAAGTGCGTTTTGTAGGGGATGATGCTGAACCCGACCCACCTGCCTAACCCTACTGAACTCTCCTCCCCTACGAATCACCCTCACTTGTGGTCCATCCTGCCTCGGCCTTCTGAGAAGCTGAAGGGGGGGCGGGGGCAGGAGGGCCGGCCGTCAGCCAGTACCCGGGGCAGTTCCAGGACACACGGAAAGTCTGGCTGACTCCTTTGCGATTCAAACCTCTCTCCTCACCTGTTTTTTGAGTTTGAGTTGTCACATTTTGGCTTTCTTTTTTTTAACAAACGTATTGAGCTCTAAATCACATACCGTACCATTCACCCATTTAAAGTGTACAATTCAATGGCTTTTAGCATATTTACAGATATGTGCAACCATCACATATCACATATTAGAATTAGTCAATTTTAGAACATTTTTGTCTCCTCAAAAAGCAATGAAACCCAGACGCTTTAGCTGTGACCCCCCCCATCTTCTCATACCCCCCACCCCAGCTCTAAGCAACCACGAGCCCACTTTCTGTTTCTATAGGTTTGCCTTTTCTGGACATTTCATATAAAGGGAAACATATACTATGTGGGCTTCAGTGTCTGGCTTCTTTCACTAAGCATGTTTTCAAGTTTCCTTCATGTTGTAGCATGTGCCTGAGCTTCATTCTTTCGTGTGGCCAAATAATATTTCATTATACGAATACACCACATTTTGTTGATCTGTTCATCCATTGAGGGACATCTGGGTGGTTTCCATCTGTTGGCCATTGTAAATAACATTGGCATGAACATTTTGGCTTTCTGAAAAGCGCCTCCTTTCTGAAGGGGTTCCTTCCATGTCCTAGGAAACTCTGGGTCCTTTTCAGCCCCTCATGCCAGACACTTGCTGACCCGATTTCTGTTCCCCCAAAAGGTGCTGAAAACCCTGGATAGTACCTGGTCCACCATGGAGTTTGAGCACAGGCAGCACCCGCGGACAGGCACCATGATGCTCAAGACGGATGAGGTGCTGGTGGAGACGCTGGAGGACAGCCAGGTGCAGCTGCAGAACCTGATGACGTCCAGGTACCTGTCCCACTTCCTGAAGGAGGTGACGAGCTGGCAGCAGAAACTGTCCGCTGCGGACTCGGTCATCTCCATCTGGTTCGAGGTCCAGAGAACCTGGAGCCACCTGGAGAGCATCTTCATTGGTTCCAAAGACATCCGCGCCCAGCTGCCGGAGGACTCCAAACGCTTTGATGACATCGACCAGGAGTTCAAGGTGAGCACAGCTCTCTCGCTCCTGCCTGGGCACTTTCGGAAATGGCTCCGTTGGAGAAAACAGGGCTCCTGATGCCGTGGCGGCCCCTTTCTCTTCCCAGGCCTTGATGGAGGAGGCGGTGAAAACACCCAACGTGGTCGAAGCCACCAACAAACCTGGTCTCTATAACAAACTTGAGAACCTGAAGAAGAGGTGGGTCCCACACTGTCCAGGGGAGGGGCTTCACTGTGGCAGAAACCCGAGTCATGTGCCCCTTGCTGGCCAGGACGGGGAAAGCCCCAGGTTGTGGGTTAACACATCCCCTTCCTCAGAGTGCGAGCTCTCAGGCCACATCCTGCCACGCCGGCCACAGGGCGGGCCTTCAGCCTCAGAAGAAGCATTGACTGCAGAGATTAAACTATACCCTATCATACCTGGGGACACCCACCAGGTCAGGGGCTGGCAGAGAACAAGTGTGGAAGATTTGAATCAAACTGGGGCTGTGAACAGCCTGGGCGTCTCCGGGGCTGTCCGTCTAGCGCTTGGAAGGATGGGCTGGAAAAGACCCTCTGTCGAGCAGGACTCAGCAGGCTTGTTTCCTCCCCCAAGGTTGGCCGTGTGTGAAAAGGCCCTGGCCGAATATTTAGAGACAAAAAGACTTGCTTTCCCAAGGTTCTACTTCGTCTCCTCAGCCGACCTCCTGGACATTCTCTCCAATGGAAATGACCCCGTGGAGGTGGGTGGGCCCCTGGCATTGTGAAGAGAGGCCGACCTCAGGTGCGGCCTCCAGGCTCCAGGCAGGTCCCGGCTTGGCTCCATGTCCGGGTGGCCCTGGGATGTTGGAGGAGTGTCCACAGGTGTCCACGAGGTCTTCCACACCTGAAACCACCCAGGGGCTGGGCCATGACAGAAAGACCTGGGACTGGTCTCAGACCCTGCCCTTCCCTCCCCGAGCCTCATCCGCATCCTCTGGAAAATGGGTGAGATGCCCGTTTCTGAGAGACACGCCCGCTCATCCTAATAAATCCCAGGCGCCAGGAAGAAAAGGTCCCTTGAGGTTCCTCTTCTAAAAGAGAGGAGGGTTAGCTACCCCGGCGAAGGAAAGCGACTGTCTTATTTTAATCATGAAGTTCCAGACGCACAAGAAGGCAGCCACAGGGTGGCCCACAATTTAGGTTCTGAGCGTCTGACCTAGGGACGCGGGTCCCATGCCCGGGACAGAACCGTCTCAAGGAAAAGAAATCTTCAGGAACAGACATTCGGAAGGTTCCGCCTGAGACCAGTTTTTGCCATTTGTTGGCTAAGTGCGTTCAGTCAACATCCCAGAGGCGAGGTGGGGGCGGCAGGTATAAGCCAAAAAGAAAAAAGATGCTTAAAACCGCCCGAGGAAGACCCAGGCTGCATGTCTCCTGCCTTTGAACCCCTTGGCTGCAAAATCCAGTGATCCCCCCGCCCAATCCAGGTGAGCCGCCACCTGTCCAAGCTCTTCGACAGCCTGTGTAAACTGAAGTTCCGCCTCGACGCCGACGGGAAGCCGCTCAGGTTTGGCCTGGGCATGTACAGCAAGGAGGACGAGTACGTGGACTTTGACCGGGAATGTGACCTCTCGGGGCAGGTGCGTGCGTGTGCGGAGGGACGCCCCCGCCCCAACCCAGGACGACAGTGCAGCGTGTACAGGGCCACACGGCCTCAGACAGGCTGTCACCCCCAGCCTGGGACCACCCCTCTCTCCTTCCCTCTGCCTCTCAGAACAAATGCTTAAGGGGCTTCTCTATAGAATTTCCAGCACAGCCTTACCTGCACAGTATGAGGTGCATTGTGAGAAAAAGAAAGAAGAGAAAGGAGGGGACGGAGGGGGAGAAAAGGTTTATTAATGCCATTGAGTCTTTATTATTTTATTTATTATTATTAATGCCAAGGGGTTAGTGTTAGCGGCACCTGCCCCCCTCTTTGAAGGGGGCCACACACACCTGAACCAGCCAGTTCTCATTCCTGCCCAGCGTAAGGGGCTTTACTGCTTTGATTTAGCAGAGGGGTCCCTTTACCTTGGGCAGCCCGGCCCCCTTTCCAGCTTCCCCCCACCCCAGGAGGCTGCTCCCTTCTGCTGACAGCAAGCTTCCCGGCTGCCCTCCACGCCCCCCCTCCCCCAATCTCTTTGCCCAAGTATTGATCAAGCCTCCGAATCGATCTTGACCTTAGCCTAAGCGAAATGTAATTCAGAGGTAGGTCAGCTTGTGGGGTAAAAACCTCACGCAAGAAAACCCGAGCTCCCACAACTTGAATTCGGAGAACCTGGCCAGATGGGGTTGGCAGGCCGGTGGCAGGATCCAGTCCTCAGTTCGTTCAGATGCTTCCCACACGTGACTACTTACAGACATAACCACGAACTACAGCGAGCTCTGCCGGCACTGTCGTTGTAGTTTAAAAGAAAAACCAGCCCAACTATCTCATTTGGGTATGTCCCCCCCAGTTGCAGTCAGCTGACGTTTCGTATTTTAAGATACACAAAGGCTCATCAGCAAGTTTGTCCACATGACGGCGTAAGACCCTGAGACGACGCACCTGGGGAGCTAGTGGGGGCTCCACTAGTAAGGGACACGGGGCAGCGGGGCTGGGGGACAGGCCCCGCGTCTCTGCACATGAGCACCACTTCATAGGGTCAGACATAGACTGTCTTCTCCTCTTGACTTTCCTCTGGTTTCCCCTCCCTTCTCTGTGTAGAAACAGTTAATGCCCACGATGCCCAATGCAACCAGTTGTGCGGGGACAGCTGGGCTTGCTGACCACATTTTTCAAGCTGGTCATTCTTACTGCTCTGAAAACCTGGGTGTTTCTACCCCTGGGATGATAAGGAGGAGGATGACAAATGGTCATTTAATTTTTAAATGACAAAGCAAGCCGTCGGAATGAGCTGTGCTCACCCCTCTCTGGTCCCTGTGGCTCCGTCCCCAGGTGGAGGTCTGGCTGAACCGGGTGTTGGACAGGATGTGCGCCACACTCCGCCACGAGATCCCGGAAGCCGTGGTGACTTACGAGGAGAAGCCAAGGGAGCAGTGGATCTTTGACTACCCCGCCCAGGTCTGAGGCTGGGTGGACGGAGCTCACCTGTCCTGGGTTAGCCACAGTGGGTGGAGAACAGCCACCTTACTGATGTGCACTCTTCTGTCACGCTGAGAACAACGCTTATGTTGGCGGGGGGCCGGGGGCCGCTCTGTTTTCAGATTGCGCTCTCGTGCACCCAGATCTGGTGGACAACCGAGGTGGGCCTGGCGTTTGCCAGGCTGGAGGAAGGCTACGAAAACGCCATCAAAGATTACAACAAGAAGCAGGTGTGTGCCCCCATCCCATGTCCATCCAAAGCTCCTTGCTCTGAGGTGCCCCCTTGTGCCACTGCCATTTCTGTGGGTCAAAAGCAACCAAATACTGGTACCCCCCAACATCCTTCTGCCCAAGAGTAACCGCTTTAGAAGTACATGACTTTAATTCTTTCTCTTTTTTTAAAAAAATTTTATTTATTTATTTATTTATTTATTTATTTATTTATTTTTGGCTGTGTTGGGTCTTCGTTTCTGTGCGAGGGCTTTCTCTAGCTGCGGCAAGTGGGGGCCCCTTTTGATTTAACTTTTTAAAAGATTCTTGGTTAGAAATTTAGAAACTAAAGATAATTTTTAAAATAAAAACCCCACCACCCATATATAACCCCGTCAACAAATTCTTATCTAACATTCTAATCTTTTTGTGTGCATATAATCGATTCCTAGGCAAAAATATATAAACTGTCCACACAGCTTTAAAATCCTGGTTTTACGTAACGTCCGCCGTCTTTCACGGCATCCGATCTTCTTCTACACCATTTTTAGTGGCTCCTTGATATTCCATGGGGGGGCCTGTTCCCCAGCGTTCCCCACCCCCAGTTGGCGGATAGCGAGAGCTTCTTTCTGTGTCTCGTTGTTGTGAACAAGAGCACGGGGGTCTTCCCTACCCAACCGTGGGGGACCCCCCCCCAGCCCAGAGTCCGCCCCGCGATGGGTGTCCCAGCCGAGGCGCCTTCGCTCCTGCAGATCAGTCAGCTGAACGCGCTCATCACCCTGCTCGTCGGAAACCTCAACGCCGGGGACAGGACGAAGATCATGACCATCTGTACCATCGACGTCCACGCCCGGGATGTGGTCGCCAAGATGATCACCGCCAAGGCACGGGCGCCGGGAAGGGCCGGGAACCCCGCGGGGGGCTGGTGCCTGGGACTCCCGCGCACGCCCCCATCCCAGTTATTGCTGCTTCCTCCTGGCTTGAGGGAGGCGGGCGACACTACTCCGGGCAGTGGCTACTGCCTCCTTCATCCCTTGTCTCGGCCCTGGTAAGCGACTGGACAAGCGGCCCGATCAGGGGTGCCCACGGTTCAGCGAGACTCAGTGGTGCACGGAGTTAGGCTTGACGTGGGCACCACGGGAGGAGCCGGAGGCCGGGGAGCCCCCCCCGGGGCAGGGGCCAGCGGGAGGCAAACTGGCCTGCCCCTCCCGCAGGTGGAGAGCGCCCAGGCCTTCACCTGGCAGTCCCAGCTGCGGCACCGCTGGGATGAGGAGAAGAAGCACTGCTTTGCCAACATCTGCGATGCCCAGATCCAGTACTCGTACGAGTACCTGGGCAACACTCCACGGCTGGTCATTACCCCTCTCACCGACAGGTGAGGACGCACCGGCCGCCTTCCTGCCTGGCCCTGAGCAATGCAGCGGGGGGACTCACACTGTTCTCTGGCCCCTTCCCCGTGAGTCCTTGCGCTGTCAGACCCGAACGTGCCCTGCTGAGGCTGACGGGTCCGGGCATTTGGGTCAGATTCAGTCCTGCTACCGGCCAGGCACCCAGACTCGGGGGCCATGATCCTATTCCCTCCCTCCGACACTGGCTGTATGGCCTTGGGGGTGTTCCTCAGCCTCTCTGAGGACCTGCGAAGTGGGGACGTTATTTTATAAATCCTCAGCAGTTCGTTGAGGGTCAAGCGAGTCATTTAACAGCAAAAAGCACTCAGACCAGCAGCTGCTCAGAGCGAACCGTCAGTGACCGTTACGTTAGGCAGTGGCCTCCTCTAACGCCCTGGTGGGCACAGCCCCCATGTGGCATCCGCCCCGGCAAGACGGTGTCTGCTCTTTGGCGACATCACAAGTGCTTCCCACCGGCTCCCTTTGGTGCCTCCTTGGGGCTTGGGGGTGTCACTGAACCACAGTGAAGGAAAGTGGGCGGCTGTGGGGTTGCCGCCCGCGAGGTGATTGGAGGTCCTTTGCAGATGCTATATAACCTTGACCCAGTCACTCCACCTGATCATGGGCGGAGCCCCTGCTGGCCCCGCCGGGACTGGCAAGACAGAGACGACCAAGGACCTGGGCAGAGCCCTGGGCACCATGGTCTACGTCTTCAACTGCTCCAAGCAGATGGACTACAAGGTACGCATCCCAGGCCCAGGGGGGCCTGAAGTCCCCAGGGAGGACCACCCACGGCCCCTCCCTCAGAAGGCACAGCCTCCACGCCCCAAGTGAGCTCTAGATGTGTGGACACTGCAGGCCGGACCCAGGCAGGAGGCACCAGCTCCCCAATTTGCTGACGGCGTCCACCAGACAGAGAGGCTGAGTAGTGGTGCCCCCACTGGCGGCCTTGGCCCTCCTGGGAGGCTGGGCCTCTGCAGCATGACCAGCGTGTCTGGTAGAGGCTCTCAGGGTGGGCACAACCAGTCCTGCCTCCCCTGGGGAGGTAACCCCTCCCAACCTACATTCCAAGCTTGTCCCCGACAACTGGGGTCACCAGACAGAGTGAGCACCTTTGAGAGCTTGGGGGGCAGGGTAGCATGAGGGGTGGGTATAGGGTAGGGGCTGGGTCCTAGCGGTCACTGGAGACTTTGCAGGACAGCCACAGCTCTCAAAGGGCCCGGAAGAGGGGTAACCATGGAGGTCAGGTCAAAGCAGCCCCTGGGGGCCGGGGGGGTACACTGAGATCAGGAGCTCAGGCCTGCAGGGGGCCTCCCTGCCCCACCCCCATCGGAGCCCCACAGTCCAGGGGACCCCATCTTGAGGCTGAGGGTGGGGACAGCTGCCCCTTCTGACTCTCAAGGCCGCAGCCTGCACCGGCCTTCTGGGTTTTAGAAAAGTGAAATCTGAAGCTGGATCCTCCCAGAAGGAATCCTGTATGTAAACGTTGAAGAATCATCCTGATTATCTAGCTGGAGCCTGCCGTCCGTCCCCCTACCTTAGAGGGAAGCCCCCTCTCCTGTGTGCTAGTGGAAAATGCAAGGGCTGAACTTTACACAAACTCGCTAATCTGAGCCCGGGCAAAGCCCCCATGCCAGGGAGGGTCTGGGCTCTTCCTGGCACCCGGCCCCGGGCAGGATTATCCCTCCCAGGGAGTGAACGTCCTGCCTCTAGCCTTCTGAGGGCCCCAAAGTTCCCAAGCCTGACCCTCGGCCAGGGGGCTGATGGGGCAGGTAGGGGCTCCCGGCAGGGCTCTCCACGCGTGCTTCTCCCATCTCACCCTTTCTAGTCCTGTGGCAATATCTACAAGGGCCTGGCCCAGACTGGAGCCTGGGGCTGCTTCGATGAGTTCAATCGAATCTCCGTGGAGGTCTTGTCTGTGATCGCCGTACAGGTAGGGCCCGCGTGGTCTCTGGGTCACGTACGGGAACTCACTGCCCTGCCGGCTTGGCGCTCGTCAGCTTTCCTGTAGGGTCAGGTCAGCCTCACTGAGTTGGGGGGTGTGGCACAAAGGTGAGCGGGACCCCAGCCCTGTCCTTCAGGGGCCCACAGAAGGAAAACAGTAAGGATCAGACCCAGTGGCACATATGTAACCGAATACAGACGAGGGGATAATCAGTTTTGCCTAGGGGACCAGGACAGAGGGCTTGGTCTCAATTACCAATGGAGCTGGGCATTGAAGGATGTCTAGGAGTTTATCAGTTAGACAAGGGTGCTGGGAGGGAGAGAAGGAGGAAATGAGCCCGAGTATTTTGGGAACACCCATGACAGAGTGCAGGACTGCCTAGTTCTGGGCTTTATTTGAACTGTCTGTGCCTTCATCTTCTAATCTGTAGAATGGGTTTGCCGGCATGATTAGGGGTGAGTGCAGGTAGCTGGCCTCCTCCACTGTTGTTTCCCCACCTCGGCATAGACATGGAACTATCCCCAAGCCCTGGGGCTGGAGGCCAGTACGGCAAAGAGAGGACGAGGGCAGCCAGCGCCCCCTGGACCCATGGGCAATGCTGACGGCTGCCTTGGGGACCCCTGCCCCCAAAGTCAGTGCACAGACCCCAGGATAATTACGTAGAGCTCTGTTGACTCGGATGGAGGAGCAGGAACTGGAACGGAACATTAGGAGAGGCTCCATGTGGAGGGGAGGGGTCCCACCGCCAGCCCCTGCCCTGCTGGGTTGTGAGCCGCACGCTGCAGACCAGTCTGGGAGGAAAGTCCTGGACAACTAGGCATGCGCTTTGCTCCAAAGCCCCAGGCTCGTAGGTCAGGGCTTAAACTGTGGCTGCAGGGCGCCCTCCAGTGGTGGCTTGGAGGTTTGCAGCTGCTCAGCACCACCGAGGGTCAAAGGCAGCTAATGGTCCCTGAATTCAGATTTCACCCGGGGCTGACTTTCTGATGTGGGGATGGCTACCAATCAGCCCTCCCACGGGTCACACTGCCCGAGCAGGAACGGGACACACAGAACGGCTAGGGGGTGGGACGCCACTCAGTAATATCAAGGAACAACCACAACCTGGAGGAACCCCCAGGGCGTCTCACTGAGTGACCAAAGCCCGTCTCAGATGACACACTGTACCATCCCGCTTACTGACGTTCACGAAAGACAGAATCACAGAAACGGGAGCAGATGAGTGGTTGCAGGGGGTCAGGGGAGGGCAGGGTGGGAGAACGGTGGGGGTGGCTATAGAGGGTGACAACACCTGAGGTCACAGAAATGTCCCATCATCACGTTGCTGTCCTGGTGGTGATGCTGCACTACGGTCACCCTTGGGGGGCGCCTGGGAGGGGCCCATGGGATCCCCTCCACGTTCGTTCTTACAACTACATGTGAATCTACAGTTGTATCAAAGTTTAAAGTTTAATTTAAAAAAAGAAAAATCAGGAAGGTCCTCTGCAAATTCACAGCCACACGCTTTAGCACAAACGACGATCTGTCCAGCCCGTCGAAGGTGGTCATTCCCACGTGAACGCGTCTGTGTACCCACTGTTTAGGTAAAATGTATCCAAGATGCAATTCGGGCCAAGAAAGAAGTGTTTAATTTCCTGGGAGAGATGATAAGCCTCATCCCCACTGTTGGCCTCTTCATCACCATGAACCCCGGGTACGCCGGACGTACAGAGCTGCCCGAGAACTTAAAGGCCTTGTTCAGGTGTGTGGTGGGCGGGGATGGCATGAGGAAGTGCCCAGGAGGGTGCTGTGGAGGGCAGAGGGCGAGGCCGACCAGAGGGGGCTGTGGGAGAGGAGGAGTCTGGAGACAAGGCCCGAGTAAGAGGGACCAGCCCGCCAGGGCCTCTGACGCCTGGGATGGAGGTCCCGTTTCAGGCACAACCGGCCAGTGAGGGAGGACGGGGCTCAGGTGACTCTCAGAGGAGTTGAGTCAAGGGATGCAGGGCCTGGAGACGCCCCTGCGCAGGGTGTAGGAGGAACAAGTGAAGCGGGAGCGCAGCCAAGCGGCGGGTGGGGGCCTGGGAACCCGGCTCCGCGCCTAGACTCTCAGCCAGTGGTGCTGTGCTCCTCCTGGCAGGTGAGGTGTGCCCCTAGGTGACAAGGGGCAGGTGGGGGCATGGTTGGAAGAGGGGGAGAAGCCAAGGCAGACCCCGCTGACCCCCTCAGGCCCTGCGCCATGGTGGTCCCCGACTTTGAACTGATATGCGAGATCATGCTGGTGTCTGAGGGCTTTCTGGAGGCCCGCCTTCTGGCCAGGAAGTTCATCACGCTCTACACCTTGTGCAAAGAGCTGCTGTCAAAGCAGGTGTGTGACAGCGTCCTGGGCCCGCAGAGCTGGGGTCGGGAGGGGTTACAAACGCAGGTGGCCCGCATGCCTCCCAGACAGCCTGGTGGAGCCTCCACGCATCCCAGCGGCAGGCTGGCCTCAGTCCCAGCACCCCGCCGGCGCGCTCACGCCCGCCCGGCCCTGCCCTCCACTCGCAGGATCATTATGACTGGGGCTTGCGAGCCATCAAGTCTGTGCTGGTGGTGGCCGGCTCCCTGAAGAGGGGCGACCCCAGCCGAGCAGAGGACCAGGTACTGATGCGGGCGCTCAGGGACTTCAACACCCCCAAGATCGTCGCCGACGACCTGCCCGTGTTCGTGGGGCTCATCGGGGACCTCTTCCCTGCACTGGATGTGCCTCGGAAACGGGACCTGAATTTTGAGAAGGTGGGTACAGCCAGGGTCACGGCGGTCCGGGAAGCCACCCCCCGGCCTCCTTCCCGCCGAGGATGCCTGTTTCCGCCACACGCTGGGTGGGTACCTGCCTAAGTGGCAGGTACCACACTGGAGTGGTGGTCACGTCTGCCAGCGGGCAATGGCCACACATGCACGGCTCCCTCTGCCCCGAGGAACGTCCTGAGGCTACAGGTTGCCTCTCCAGCCCCTCTTGCAACGCTGGGGGGTCGGGAGAGGAAGGGGAGGATGCTTTGGGCAAACCCATTCCCCGCACGGGGTTCTCAGTAGCACCCACGGCGGAGCACGTAAACATCCCCACGGGCAGGGCCGCTGTTCCCTTCTGGTCTCTCCGCTGGGCAGGGGGCTCCCTCGCCCTGCACACCGGGCCCGGCGCCCCGTTCCCACACGCCTTCCCCAGGTCATCAAGCAGAGCATCGTGGAGCTCCAGCTGCAGGCGGAGGACAGCTTCGTGTTGAAGGTGGTGCAGATGGAGGAACTGCTGCAAGTCAGGCACTCAGTGTTCGTCATCGGGAGCGCGGGCAGTGGCAAGTCCCAGGTACATGCCCACCCAGGGACCCAGCCCAGCGCGTCCCGGGCGGAAGGGTGTCACGGACCGGGAAGGAAGCTCTGACGGGGGGCCGGGGACGGCAGGGGAGGCGAGGAGTGGCCAGCGGACCCTGGTCCCGCCGATGAGGCCCTTCTCCCAGGTCCTCCTCTCTCCCTCCTCCCCCCTTGATATCAGTCACCCCGCCTCTCTGCAGCCAACCCCCCACCCTCCTGTCCCCCGCCCCCTACCACTGCCTGGGCACAGTGGAAAGCAGAGGGCGGCGGCCAACATGACTGATACCTATAACATCGGAAAATTCTAAACCAGCCGAGTATTCAGCTAGCCACCCACAGGATGGACTATTATGCTATTATTAAAGATCATTTCCAAAGACTATGTAACATGAGGGATGTTCGCTGCAAGTTATTTTTAGAAGGCAGAAACTGTAGGAACCAGTTCTCTAAAAGGGAATGTGTGTATTTCTGTCTACACATATACCCATGGGAAACATCCTCAGATGTCCTCAGAAACCCTTTTCTCTGCGGGGGAAGAATTACAGGTAGTTTCCTTCCTTTAATTTTTCTTTCAGCGAGCAGTTACTTTTATTATCAGGGAACTAGTATGAATTTTACCCAGTCTGGGCACAAGTAGCCCTCCTCTGTGCACAGGCAGGAACAATCGCAGGGCGTCTTCCTGGACGTTGTTTGGAGGTCGCAAACTCACCCGCGTGTCGCCAAAGCAAAGCAGGCCCAGAGCAGGGATTCTGCCTGTAGGTCTTCAAGGGCCCTTGGAGCTCACACAAGGGCCCTAGCGCAGGGTCTGGGTGCGGGATGTGGCACTGAGTGAGCAGCCCCCGCCTCGGTGCAGGTCCTCAAGTCTCTGAACAAGACCTATCAGAACCTGCAGAGGAAGCCGGTCGCCGTGGACCTGGACCCCAAGGCCGTCACCTGCGATGAGCTCTTCGGCATCATCAACCCGGTGACCAGGGAGTGGAAAGATGGTAATGCGGGCAGCATCCCCGGCAGGGCCGAGAGGGCGAGTGCTCGGAGCAGGCGTCCCAGGCCTGGGTCCACGGCGGGCCCGCTTTGTCGTGGCCACTCGGCCGGCCTCTGTGCAGTGAGCACGTGGCCGAGCCCCCGAGGGAGGCCCTCAGCAGGCCCAGCGGCGGTGAGGGGGCCCACACGTACGCGTGGTACGTAATGATGGTGCTTGCGGAGAGCAGGAAGGTCACAGAGAGGGGCTGGTTCACTCTCCCAGGCGGGAGGAACCGGGGAGGCCATGGACACCGGAGCATCAGCACCCCTGCCTCAAGCAGGGCTGAGGGAAGACAGGGCCCCCACCCCATGGGCCACAGGAGGAGAGCCCTGAAGTGCAGGCTGGAGCCTCGGGTGCTCGGAATGGTGTTTCTCCGGGGAAGGGCCTCGGTGAGATCTGTGCTTTATATAAAAAAAAAAACAAAACTCGGGACATTGGAGAAAGGACAGGTGAGGGGCTAGGGGAGATGCGGGGCCCCAAGGGTGGTCCAGGCGGAGGAAGGGGCAACTGGAGGGGTTGGAAGAGGCGGGTGTGTACTGCTTGCCAGGGGACCATCCCCACCCCCGCCCCACCCAAGCTTCCACGCGTCCCCCTCCCGGGACAGGAAGCTAGGGAGGTTCTGCTCCAGTCTCCCCTCTGTGAGAGGCCCCCTGCCCGCCGCATCACCGTCTGCCCCTCCCCCTGCTTTCTTTCTGTGACTTGGCATCTATTCCTGCACGTGTATCTTGCATCGTCACCCCCTCCACTGGGATGCAAGCTCTGTGGGGTGGGCAGGGGCTTCAGTTGTCCCCACGCCCCCTGCTCTGAGCCTGACTCCTTTTTTTTCCTGTTTTTTTTTTAATTAATTAACTTTACTTATTTTATTTTTGGCTGCGTTGAGGCGAGCGGGGGCTACTCTCCGTTGAGGTGTGCGGGCTTCTCATTGCGGTGGCTTCTGTTGTGGAGCACGGACTCTAGAGTGTGGGCTCAGTAGTTGTGGTGCACAGGCTTAGTTGCTCCGCGGCATGTGGGATCCTCTCGGGCCAAGGATCGAACCCCTGTCCCCTGAATTGGCAGGCGGATTCTTATCCACTGCGCCACCAGGGAAGTCCCTGAGCCTGACTCTTTAAGACCACTCAGCAAACCTTTATTGAGTGAATGAATGAAAGAGGGAAGGGATGAGTGAAGGGGTGCAGGGCGGGGCAGTGGCCTTCCACGTAGGGCTGTTGAATCTGAGAACTGGACCAGACTTGGGGGGGGATGTCGGGGGGTAGGGTCAGGGGTGGAGTCACAAAGGTGGGTCCTCGGGGTCAGGAGAAGGGCAGGAAATGAGCCAGGTCCCCTCCTGTCTGAGGGCCTCCGCTGTCCCTCTGAAGTAGGGCACTGGCCACCTCTGAGAGAGAGGCCAGTGTTGGCCCAGAGGGGGCGAGCTTGGTCTCAGCCCCTGTGGCCCCAGGGAGAGCCACCCAGAGCTGGACCTGACAGAGCCCCACTGCCCACAGGCCTCTTCTCCACCATCATGCGGGACCTGGCCAACATCCCTCACGACGGCCCCAAGTGGATCATCCTGGACGGGGACATAGACCCCATGTGGATCGAGTCCCTCAACACCGTCATGGATGACAACAAGGTACAAGGGACCCCTGGATCCCAGAGCTGACCCCCCCAGAATGGCAGTAACGTGAGGGAGGGGAGCATATGGGACATGCCACGTGTCTCGCCTGCCACACTCAGCAGACAGGACCCGCTGTGCGTGGGGACTCAGGAGGGGGCCTGCCTGGAGTTCTGCACAAAGCGTTATGGACGAGGGAAAGCCCCCCCCCCCCAAGACGCGTTCCTCACTGGACGCAGGCCCGCGTGCACCCGGCTCACCTGCTTTTTGGCCGTAGCGTGGGCGAAGGATGCAGGCGTAGCGAGCGTTCCTGTCTGACTGACGCGTGGCGCGACGTCGGAGGGGCAGCTAATGTCCTGGGAGGCACGGACAGTGTTGAGAATTATCTAGAAGCCGCTTAAAGTGATTCTCAACTGGGTGGAGGAGGGACCCCCAGAACTCCTGGGGGGCGGGGCGGGGTCATGGTTTGAAAGGCAACTTTAGCCTCAGAGTGAAGTCCTACGTCATCCACGCACATCTGGACACTCTCCATGGCCCCGGGGTGGGAAGGGCCGGGGGGGCTGGCATCGAGGACGGCAGGGAGACGCTGGACTAGGGAAGCCGGTTGGTGGCTGGCGGGGGTACGGGGAGTGTCCCCGACCTCCTCCTCTTCTGAGATGTGACCTGTGAAACCCTCAGCACGAGGGTGCTTTGGGGCTGAAACCCACAGGCCTGTGTCCCTCACTAGGTCCTCACGCTGGCCAGCAATGAGCGGATCCCCCTGAACCGCACCATGCGGCTGGTGTTCGAGATCAGCCACCTGAGAACGGCCACACCGGCCACCGTCTCCAGAGCCGGCATTCTGTACATCAACCCGGGCGATCTAGGGTGGAACCCGTGAGTTGGGCTTTTGTTCTCCTGCTCCAAACTATGAAGAGAAAAAGGAGGGCATTGGCGTTTCAGAGTTTCCTGTGAATGCGTTCATTTATTCACTCACTCGTTCATTCATGCGATAAATACCTTGTGCTGGGCCCTCCCCAGGCAGCAGCGTGGGGGCAATGAAAGGATGCGGGACAGATGTGTGAATAAGTGATGTAATGCATGGAGACTCTGCATCACGGCAGCTAACGAAACAGAAGTTTGTACCACATGCAGGGAACTCTGAGGAGGGAGGGAGGGTCTGGGCCTGTTGTGGAGACAGGAAGTCTTCCTGGAGGAGCTGGAGTTTGGGCTGAGCCCCCGACAGGAAAAGGAGCTTTCCGGGTAGACAGGTAGGGAAAGCATTCCAAGTGAGAACCAACATTTAAGGGGCATCAGGGCGAGAGTGTGAGCTTCCCAGGAACTGGCGGTGGTCAGGTGTTCGTGGATGGAGCGTGAAGCGTGAGGATGCTCTTGGCAGGAAGGGACTGACCCTGGACCAGCCTCCAGGGCCGGCACAGGGGCCCTTTCTGACGTGACGAGGAGAGTTCATGGCAGCAGATGACGGGTGGCCACTGGGGACAGGGGAGGAGGGATGGATGTGAGAAATGTTTGAAACCTTAAGAAATGGAAGGCTTGCCATTGATCCTGGAGGCATGTTTTTGTACCTGGACACAAGGCTAGTAATTTATACGCCAGGACATCCTGCGTGGTCTTGAGTAGAAACCCCAGTGCAACATTCTGGGACTGACAGCCTCAGGAGAAACACCTCGGCTGCATTCATTCAGTCGTCCACTTCATTCATTCATTCACTCAACCAGTGCTTTCTGCACCTGCTGTGTGCCTGACCCACGGATGCTCCGTGCTGGGGAAACTGGGTCTCCCGGAGAGATGTGGAGAGTGGTAAGAGATGTTGGGAGGAAGAAGAATCCTTGAAGGAACAGGTAGAAGGGAAACCAGGGAGGTGACGCCCCACATAGCCAGGGAGGAAAGAGCTTCAGGAGGGAAGCAGCGTCGAGAGGGTTGCGTCCGGAAGGTCAAGGAGCCGAGGACAGGAAGTTGCCACTGGATTTGGCAGCTGGGAGCTCACCATTAACTCAGGAAGAACAGCTTCCTGGCGCGACAGGGGCAGAAGCCAGATGGCAATTCACGGAGGAGGAATTGAGAGGAGGCCCTGGTAATGAGGGTCCTTCTGGAAATGTCTCATAGCGGCCGGGGCGAGATGAGCAGGAACGGGTGTTTCCAGGCACAGGCAACTGCCGGTGGGGAGAGAGGGGGAGGTGGAGAGTTCATGCTCGATGCGTCTGTGCATTGAGTGGGAAGTGAGACCGCCGTCTCCTGATGCAGCGAGGCCGGGGCTAGGGGGCTACACGAGCGCAGTGACCCTGCAGGGACAGAACCAGAGCTGGCCTGACCCACAGGGGCCTGGGGGCCGCTGAGACCCAGCACCACTATGCCGCCTTCTCCAGCCACACCTGTCATCCTGCTTTGTTAGTGTCCTGTGGCCGCCATGACAAAGGACCACAAACCGGGCAGCTTCAAACAATGGAAGTTTTTTCTCTTCCGGTTCTGGAGGCCAGAAGTATGAAATCATTTGTTGGAAGGGTTGGTTCCTTCTGGAAGCTCTGAGGGGGGATCTCTCCTAGGGCTTCTCCCCCAGCTTCTGCTGTTGCTGGCAATCCTTGGCTTGTGGACACATCACACAGCCACCTTTCTGAGTCTCACGTGGTCTCCCCTCTGCACATGCCTCTGTGTCCTAATTTCCCTCTTCTCATAAGGACCAGTCGTTGGATCAGGGCCCACCCTCATCCAGGATGCACCCTCTCGAGATGCTTATTTTTTTTTATTATTTTTTTTATTTGCGGTACGCGGGCCTCTCACTGCCGTGGCCTCTCCCACTGCGGAGCACAGGCTCCGGATGCGCAGGCTCAGCGGCCATGGCTCACGGGCCCAGCCGCTCCACGGCATGTGGGATTTTCCTGGACCGGGGCACGAGCCCGCGTCCCCTGCATCGGCAGGTGGACTCTCAACCACTGCGCCACCAGGGAAGCCCAAGATCCTTATTTTGATTGCATCTGCAAACACCCTTTTTCCAAATAAGGCCACGTTCATAGACTGTGGGTGGACATGTCTTTTGAGGGGCCCCCATCCTGCCCACTACACACGTCTGGGCGTTTCCAGGGTGGGCAGCAGACAAGGCAAGAGAACTGGAACAAGGTCTGAGTGGGAGCCGCTAAGACGCAAGAGAACGGGAAGGAGACGGTGGGGCCGAGGGGCACCCGGTGGACGCTCAGCGGGGGTGGGAAGGAGAGCGGTAGGTCAGCAGGGGTGGGCGGGTGCGGGACCCGAAGGCTCACCCTTCAGCTGGGAGTGGTTCTTGGGGCTCCAGAGGGGTAACCAAGAGAGTGAGTGGCATCCTGGGGACCAGGAGGAGACCCGGGTTTTGCAGGAGAGAAGTGGAGAGGCTGAGAGCCTGCTCAGGCCCCCCCCCAACCCAGAGAAAGAGTAGCCCTCCAGCAGGGGCAGCCACGACTCAAGGCAGGGGTGACTGAGCATATCCAGGAGCGGGAGGTGAAGCAAAGCTCCAGGGCCAGAGGGGCCCCGTGGCCTCTGGGGACAGGGCAGGAGCCTGCAGGGAAGCCACTCGTCCTCCCGGGGTCTGGGTCTGGGTCTGGGTCGGCTTTTCAGATCAAAGCCAGCGCGCACATCTGCATGCACTAAATGTCTCTAACAAGGCAAAATTTAAAATTTGATATATCCGCCTTCAAGAGAGAAGGCAAATGCAGCAGTCTATTTATAGATTTGCAAATCGGTCTCCATTCTGAAGACCCACTGCATTTGGAATCCGGTTCTCAGCTGCACTGTGTTCGCTTGTGGACGTAGAGCGTTTAAAGGTTTCCTCTGTTACCTAGTGAGCCCAGGGGCAACGGGGCAGAGTTTCTGAGCTCTTGGTTCTCTGTTCTGCTAGGGGTGCAGGAAGAGGCAGAGCTCCCAGAACGTGCGCTCACTTGCAGAAAGGCATGTCTGCTGGGGCTGCGGAGGGCAGGCGAGCTGCCTCGGGTAACGCGAGCTTCCTGCTTACGTTTTGGGCATCCTAGAAAGGGCAGCTCACGGAGCTCATCAGCCCGCAAGGGAGCCGGACGCTCTTTCTGCTTTTAGCAGCACTTGTTTAGCACTTACCGCGGACCAGGCTCCCCTCTAAGAGCTTTAAAAGTATCAGCCCAGGTAGTCCTTCGAATATGGGAGCGATCATCATCACTCCCATTTACGGATGAGGAACCTGAGACCCAGACATGTTGAGTAACTTGCCCGAGGCCATGGCTGGCCACGCTAGAGCCCATTCAAGCCAGGCAGTCGGGCTCTAGAATCCACACCGCTCACAGCCGTGGTGGGCCACCTCTATGCAACCCACTCCAGAGATGTATGTGTGCCAGACAACCCAACATGGCTCCTCAGGAATGCCTGTTGTATTGGTTTGGACTCTTCCATTAAATGTGTCAATTGGCTCAATTCACCATGTATGCTTCAGGCATGGCTGGATCCAGGAGTCCAGATAATGCAGTGATGTGTCCCTGCTCCTCTCCTTTCCTTTCCCTTTTCTTCCCTTCCCATCCCCTCCCTCTCTCCCCCAGATGATATGAAGCTTCTCTCTCCGCTCCCCTCCTCCTATATCCAGCTCGACTGTCCTCAGTATTATCTGCGTTTGGGGGTGGGAAGGATGGCTCCCAGTTGTTCCAGGAGGACAGCACCCCACAGCTAGAATCCCAGGGAAAGGGCACACCCTCATCAGATCCTCTTAAGGTCTGGGACCGGCCCCATCACCAGGCAGGAGTGCCAGAATCCCGTGGAAGCGTTCACCAAGCAGAGGGTCGCCAGGGGGACCCAGCGTGGTGGCCCAGTCCTCCAACACCTCCCGTCTTCCCCAGGGTGGTGAGCAGCTGGATCGAGAAGCGCAAGGTGCAGTCGGAAAAGGCCACCCTGCTGGTCCTCTTTGACAAGTACCTGCCCACCTGCCTGGACAAGCTTCGCATCGGGTTTAAGACGATCACGCCGGTGCCCGAGATCACGGTCATCCAGATGATCCTGTACCTGCTTGAGTGCCTCCTCACCGAGAAGAACGCACCACCCGACTCTGCCAAGGAGCTGTACGAGCTCTACTTCGTGTTCGCCTGCTTCTGGGCCTTCGGAGGGGCCATGTTCCAGGACCAGGTGAGCAGCCGGCCGCGGCGGGTGCCTGGCCACCCAGACTCGGTCTCCCGGCATCCCTCTCAGCTGGGCCGTTTCTGTGCTCTATTTTGTTTCCCAACAGCTTGTAGATTATCGGGTCGAGTTCAGCCGATGGTGGATCAACGAGTTTAAGACAATCAAGTTCCCCTCGCAGGGAACGATCTTTGACTACTACATAGATCCCGACACCAAAAAGTTCCTGCCATGGACGGACAAGGTGCCCCGCTTCGAGCTGGACCCTGATGTCCCGCTGCAGGTAACTGCCCAGATCGGTGACGATTTATGACGATTTAGGGGCAGGACTCAGAGCCCCATCCCACTCGCTTCTCAATGGGATGTCCGGTCGCAAGTGGTTTTCAACAATAGGACCTTCCAAGTAAGACTGGGGATTTGACAAACTGTCCAGGTCTGCAGGTTTGTACGGAGGGTGGGAATTGGAGGCTCAGGTGTGTCTGGGGTTACAACTCCTCCCTCTCTCCCCCAGGCCTCACTGGTGCACACCACGGAAACCATCCGTATCCGCTACTTCTTGGACCTGCTCGTGGAGAAGTCGTGGCCGGTGATGCTGGTGGGGAATGCAGGGACGGGCAAGTCGGTGCTGATGGGGGACAAGCTGGGCAGCCTGAGTACAGACGACTGCTTGGTGCAGGCCGTGCCCTTCAACTTCTACACGACCTCGGCTATGCTGCAGGGTGAGGCTGAGGACAAGCGCGCGTCCTCACAGCCTGGCCTCGACACACCCCATCCCTCTCATCCGACGGACTGCCCCCCAGCCCCACCCTGACGTTCCTCACAGCGCCTTCTTACTGCAGACCCGGGAGCTTGCCAGCTGCCTCTCCACTTCCCATGCCCCCACCCACTGCCCTCTATGCCCAGAGCAGGGGGACGAGGGTGGCAGATCCCACAGGGAGCTCCCCTCATAACCAGTCTCAGGTGGCCCCCAGGTCGATGAGCACAAGGTTCCTGTCCCCCTGCCTGGAGCCAGTGGTGCCCACCACCCTCTCCTTTACTCCTGAGGTGGCTGGAGTCCAACCCACCCTGCCTTTGGTGCCCCGGGGCTACCCTTTGGGCCACCGCCTCTGAGATCTACCAGGCACCGTGGTAGTCACCCCATTCCCTTCTCTAGGTGTTCTCGAAAAGCCGCTGGAGAAGAAATCAGGGCGGAATTACGGGCCACCAGGCACCAAGAAGCTGATCTACTTCATCGACGACATGAACATGCCCGAGGTGGACAAGTACGGGACGGTGGCCCCGCACACCCTCCTCCGGCAGCACATGGACCACAGGCACTGGTGAGTGGGGGCGGGGGGGGGTTGCCACAGGGAGGATGCAGGGCTGGGACACAGGACCACGCTGATGGGGTCACAGTTCTGGGGAGAGGTGGGGGGTCAAGGTCTCCTCCTCTCATACATTCCGCAAATATGCCGTGGGCATCTGCCAGGCCCCGGGCTGGCGGCTGTGGCCTGCAGTTCCATGGAGCAGGGACAGACAGGTACCCCTCCGATTGAAGTGTCCATATGGCAGAGAAGACAGAGGGGTGCAGTTCCAGGGTGAAGGGAGCAGTCACAGAGGGCCCCAGCGGCTGGGTCAGAGACCCGGGGCGGGAGGAGGCAGCTGGGAGCTCCATTACTGGCCTTAGTGTCAGTACTTTGGAGGGAGAGCATCTCGGGCACAGTAGATGCCATGGGCAGAGGGAGTGTGGCCCCTGGAGGGGGCCATAGGAGCCCAGCGTGGCTGGAGCATGAGAGCCAGAGGGAGAGGGTGCCCGGGGCAGGAGCGGCCAGACCCCAGGACTCATGGACCACTCTGACAGAGAACACTTTCTCCCAAGGGCAACAGAAAGCTGAGGGTGGCATGTTTGCATTCGCAGTCTGGAAAGGTCAGAACATTCAGTGTGGTTAAAACAAGTATCACTTGAAAGAAGTGTGCCATGATGACCTGGCAGGTGGCCCAGGCCAAACCTGGGGGTTTTGAGACCAAAGGAACCCGAAAAATCTCATCAGGGGTCAGTGAGGGGATGCGTGGAGCCTGCCCCTTACTGCCGAGAAATAGGGCACAGAGGGGATAAGTGGCCTGCTGGCGGTCACAGCCCTGATGAAAGGCCCAGCTGGAGGTCAAGCCCACATGTCTGACTCCATGGCTGGCCTTTCCCCGCGACATGACACCGACTCCAGGGCTCACGGGCTGTAGGAACCCAGCAAGGACAGCAGTGAAGCCATGGGGGCTGTGGGCTGTGATGTGGGAACAGGGTGTTAGGGATGGCTCCCTGGGGAGGTGACAGAGCTGGGCCGGGGCGGGGCACACTTGAAGTGCAGCCCTGCGAGAGCTCGACATCTGTGAGGGCGTGAAAGTGGTGTGGGACGGCCAGGGCCCAGGACAGGTCTGGGGAGGGACAGGGCAGGAGGCCGAGGGCAAAGCAGGAGGGATACATGAGGGCTGCCTGCGCCCCCTCGGGAGGATCTGCTGGGAGGCCCAGGAGGGCCCAGGGGTGGCCCCTCACTCTCCTGGGCCCTGGTTGCATGCTCTCGAAATGGGCTCACCAGGTCGTGCATCCTTGCAAAATTTACAAAACTAAGATGTGTTGTACTCTTCTTTAAGAGGGCCCTAAGAGCTGTGAAGCTTCAGCCCTGGGTCCACAGCTGCTTGAGTTTGTCCTGAAGCATCTCTCTAGGAGGGGGAGGCATAGTCAGATTTGGAAGATCCCTCTAGAATTTCAGATAAAGGGGCCCCACAAGCAACAGGGAAGGCTGGACCGTTCAGAGGCTCTGTCAGCAAGGGCAGAAGAGACAGCAACACAGATCACCCCCTCCCACATGGATCAGGCGGGCCCCACGTGGAGGGCAGACCCACAAGCCAAAGGAGAAACTGCCACGTTGGTGGAAGAAAGTGTGACCTGGGGAAAGGTGGGGAGTGCGAAGGACTTCTCAGACCTAGGTTTCAAAAGCAGAGGCCAGGAGGCCGAAGAATGGTTACTTTGACCTACCTGAAAACTGAGGGACATTGTCCACCCAGAGACACCACGGCCGAGCACAGTACGGGATTAACGGGAGAAATTACTTGCAATGCCTGACACTGGCAGTGGATTAACGTGTGGGGCATACAAGGAATCCCCACAAATGAACAAGGGCCGGCACCAACTCCCAACAGAAAACAAAACAAAACAGTGTGGGGGGGAAGCCAAAAGGTAAAAGGCACGTGAAAGATGCACAAGCTCTTTATAGCCTTTGACCTCGTCTGAGCCCCTGGAAGCGTTAGCAGTGCCCTGGCACCGAGGAAGCTCCTCAGCTTACTTGATCATCGTCACCATCATCATCCTTGATACTTAGAGTGATAATGGGGGCGGTGGTAACCATCTGTGGAACCCTCGCTCTATGTCAGGTGCCCTTCTAAGTTTATTTTCATGCATTAGCTCCATTCGTCCTCATCGTGACCCATTGCACAGATAAGAACACTGAGGCACGGAGGGGTTAGCCAGCCTCCCCAGAGTCACGATGCTACTGAATGGAGGAGCTGGAACATAAACCCAGACCTGAACACTGAGCCACTCTGTTGCCTCCTGTTTCAAAATTTCTCTTAAGAGCATGAAGTACAATTGGCCATTTCGCATGTAATTGTTATTTTGAGGTGTTTTTTTTCTTTTAACCATACGCAGGGCAGTACTGGGGTGGGTGGGGAGCCGGGGGTGGCTCCGGCAGCCGGACATTATGCTGGCCTTGCCCGCGCAGGTATGACCGACAGAAGCTGACACTGAAGGACGTCCATAACTGTCAGTACGTGGCGTGCATGAACCCCACTGCTGGATCCTTCACCATCGACCCCAGGCTTCAGGTAGGCAGAACCTGGATTCATCTCGGTCAGCTGCAGGAGCCCAAGGCTCGCTTTGGCAAATGAGAAGGAAAGCATTGATTTGGGATCGTGGGGCTGTGGGCTGGCATTCCCTGGAGAACGCCCCAGCCTTTCAGAAGATGTCAGGACATTCCCAGTGGGTGGGGGAAGGGGGGGGGTGTTGAGAGGCTAGTCAGCTCTCCCTGTGAGCCCATAGGGCTGCCAGACTTAGCAAATAAAAATACAGATGCCTGCTCAAATCTGAATTTCAGATAAACAGAAAATCATGCCCCATACGATGTTTGAGACATATTTGTACTAAAAAAAAAAATTTTTCCTATGTGAAATTCAGATTTAACAGGAAATCCTGTACTCTATCTGCAATGCCACCCAGGCAGGACCTCACCTTTGAATTACCTAAGCAGATGGAGACCTGAAATTTAAATCCAGGCTGCGCTCTGAGGCACTCTTTGGCCTCCTCCAAGTTTTTTCTGGAGAGCATGACACGAATTTGGCTGTCTGAGATGTAATCGGTATTTAAGGGGGCTTTACCACACACATGGCATGAGGAGAGAACCTGTCCATTCTGACCATGCCCATGAGACATTAGGCGATGAGGACAGAGTCTGCTCCCCAGGAAGGTGGCCCCGCCCCAAGCTGGTCCCTACGCGCAGCCTGACGAGGGTCTCTGGTTGTTCCGGGCAGCGCCACTTCTGTGTGTTTGCCGTGAGCTTCCCGGGCCAGGAGGCCCTCATGAGCATCTACAGCACCATCCTGGCCCAGCACCTGGCCTATCAATCGGTCCCCGTGGTAGTCCAGAAGATGAGCAGCCATCTGGTGGCCTCCGCCCTGGGTAAGCTGACCTGCCTCGCCCCCTCTCCTGTCAGCGAGACCCGCTGCTTTCTGGGGCTGACGGAGGCTTCATACTTTCCCCTGGTAAATATTTTGTTTATACTTCCAAGTCAGTATTTTTTTTAACGATGCTGTTGAGGTATTGTGAAATCCAGTTTCTTGAGGGGGAGGCAGAGGATAGGAAATTCAGTATACAGAAACAATTTACACATCAGTAGAGTAGCGAACTTCCTCCCTCCTCAGCTCTGTAGATTTCTTACTTAAATTGTCACCATTACACAGTCCATTTGCTTCAGAAACTATAGCTTAAGCTTTGCACTTCCTGAGGCCATTAAGAGTGTGCAAGGATCGATGTGCCTTTTTCCTGTAACAGCCCTGCACCAGAAAGTGACATCAACGTTTCTTCCCACAGCCGTTAAGTTTCATTATGTCTTCAACCTCAGGGACCTCTCCAGTATTTTCCAGGTACTGCTTTTAGCGCTGTGTCCTGTCACGTTATGGCCAAGGCCTGACCCACAGATGCTTTCCTCCTCTGCTGCTCTCAGGAGAGGAAGCGAAGTGATCTATGGACAGAGTACAATGGTGGTGGTGATGGTGGTGGTGATGGTGATGACGATGGTGATGGTGGTGGTGATGGTTGTAGTCTTGATGGTGGTGATGATGTTTCCTCTTATGTATTGACTGAGCTAGCCAATGGGTTTGGCCACTTATATCCCCATTTTCTCCTCCAAACAACATGTAATGCTCGTATATCCCCATTTTACAGATGGGAAGTCTAAGGCTCCCTCCACTTCGAGTGTCAGCTCAAATGTCGTGCCCTCAAGAGGCCCCTCCTCATCCCCACACGCTTTGTCTCACTGTCCCTGTTTATGTCATTCACAGCACACGTCACAATGTGTAATTACCTTGTGATTTTGTCTGGTTACATCTCCCCACTAGAAGGCAAACTCCATGAAGGCAGGGTCAGTCCCATCATCACTGTGTTCCCAGAGCCCAGAACAAGGGCCTGGGAAAAAAGTCCCTGTTGAACTTGCCAGGTCACTTGGTTAGTAAACGGCCAAGCCAGGACTGGGTCTGGGCAGGCTTGCTGCACGGCCCAAGCTCGCCGGCCACTCCATGGCCTCCCATAGTCGGGCTTCTGTCTGATCAGCCCCCTTGTCCCTTTCTCCACCGTCCACCCCCTTAGAGGGGGCAGCCCTTAACCCTGTCTCGTGAGGAGAATCCCCCCACGTCTCTCAGGCCACAGACACACCCTCCAGCCTCCAGGACTTGCGCGGCCTTGGCAGTCCATGGCTTCCTGGACCTCCAATGGATGCTGTACCACAGCCTAAAGGGTCATCCCCTGGGGAAGAGGCCACTTTCTCGTTTAATCCACATGCGGTGCTCGGCTTGCCTCCCGGACACAGCTAAGGATGCCGACCATCCCGCATCTGGGGCAGGGGCTCCTGTTCTCCACCACAGAGATCCTGAAAATCCCACTAGACCTCGTCCGCCTCTGGCTGCACGAAGCCGAACGTGTGTACGGCGACAAGATGGTGGATGAGAAGGACCAGGAGACGCTGCGCAGAGTCACCATCGCTTCCACCAAGAAGTTCTTCGACGTACGTCAGGCCGCCACGTCCCCCTGCCAAGCCCAGGAAGGCTCCGAGGGGCAGGGTGTCGGGACCTTGTGACAATCCCCGCCCCCCTGCAAGGGCCCTGGGCTGGGGATGGGAAGGACCACGTTGGGTCCCACGAGGTGACTCTGCCACGTGGGTGTGGCCCGAGCGAGGAGGAGTGAAGACCTCCCTCTAGCCACTGGGCACAGACAGCTCTGCTGGGGTTGACGTGCTCCACTGATGTGTCCGGGGTTTTCGTGGTAGAATCATTTTTCTGGACTCTCCGTTCATTCCCGATGTGGCAGGGGCCAGGGGATTTTGCCCAGTGGTTTGCGGGGCCCCTGCAGACGTGGCCTGATATTCTGAGGCCGCCGGGCAAGGTGCTCGGGCTGCTGTTCAAGATCTGTGTACCCGAGGCAGCAACAACGGAAGCATCTTGTCTCTGACATCTAGGATCTTGCTGACGAGCTCTTATTCGCCAAACCCAATATCTACTGCCACTTTGCTCACGGGATCGGCGATCCCAAGTACCTGCCGGTGACTGACGTGGCTCCCCTGAGCAAGCTCCTGGTGGAAGCTCTGGAGAGTTACAACGAGATCAACGCGGCCATGAACCTGGTGAGCGGGGCTCGAGCAGGCAGCAGCGGGGTGGGAAGGGACGAGGGAGGCGTGTCTGCGCGGTGAGACGCCCGGGGTCTCTCTGGTCTGGTCTCTTCAGGTGCTGTTTGAGGACGCAGTGGCCCACATCTGCAGGATCAGCCGCATCCTGGAGTCCCCACGGGGCAACGCCCTGCTGGTAGGGGTGGGCGGTAGCGGCAAGCAGAGCCTCTCCCGCCTGGCCGCGTACATCAGCGCACTGGACGTGTTCCAGATCACCCTCAAGAAGGGCTACGGGATCCCAGACCTCAAGGTGAGATGTCGCCTCTCAATAAGCCGCCCTTCGGGAGGGGGAGCGGAGAAGAGTCTCCCCACTCCCGTTCCCCAAACGAAGCATCCAGCGCAGAGAATGTGAAGGTCACCAGCAGGGTGATTATCTTAGATGGTAAAGGCCAGGGACACATTCGGCCGGTGCCCACGGCCATGTGACGAAGGTAAAAGGAAGTGTGGGTTTCCGGTAGATTAGCGCCAGTAGAGAGTCACCCCAGATAATAGCGGCAAAGAGATTTGGTTCTCGTCTCTGGTCATCAAACCGTGCCACATCTTTCCCAGTTTTCCAGATTAAATAATTGAGGACCGGTACTCACTAGCTGTCTACCTACCTCCTCAGGGTTCTGGGAGGCTGCTTTTTTGAATTAATCAAATAAATATAAGCTTGATTCAGGTCTCCCATCCCCAAGACGTGCCGCCGAGGCTTTTTATTGATTTCTTTTTCCCAAAAATTTGCTCTCTCGGGGACCTGTGTGCTAGTCAAACACGATCAGTCTAGAGCTTACCATTGTCGTGTCTCGGATTAGAGCTGAAATTGACTGGACCACGTCACACGGCTCATCTCTCTTTGCCTTGGTGTCAAGGCTGCCTCTGTGGGCCAGGACAGTGCCAGACCCAGGGGACCCTCCCCTCCGCTCACGGCTCCGAGGCAGTTGCTGGCCAGGTGGCCTTAGGGGGATGGCCTGGACCCCTGCCAGAGCTTGGCTCCCTGGGACCTCAGCAGGAGGAGGGTGGTCTGTGGGCAGAGGCCCCAGGAAGGACGATGGGGACGGTGAGCTAGTCCTCAGCCCTGCTCTCCCGACGATGCCAAGCAGGCTGTGCCAGGGCCAGCAGCCCTGGTAAGCATCCAGCTTGTCATTGCCCCCAGTGCGTTCTACACTTCCTGTCAAAGGACTAGCCCCCTGGCTGTATTTTTAAAATCCCAGCCTTAAGGGAGAGGTCTCCCTAATGTAGGTTCCGCCAGACGCTGCCTCCTGAACTGAAGCGGCGTGTCATGGGTCTTAGCGGTGCTCAGCTAAGCCGAGCGAGTGGGTTTGCACTGACTCCCCGAGTGCGCTCAGGGTGGTTAGAATCCTCGCATCTGGAGCTGTGTAGTTGTACTGAGTTGTCTCCACTGGAAAAGTTTCTAGTCTGTTAGCTTAATTGTATCGCTTTATTTTCCTGATGCATCATACTCTCTGCCCTGTGCTTGTGAGGATTTTGTTGGCCTCACCTTGGGGCCACCTGTGACAGCTGTTGTCTTATCCCCTGGCATGAGCCGCAGCAACTCTGTGATCTGTTTCGTCAGAATTCATTGCTCCTGCGCCCGTGGCGAACTGGGTCTGTACTCCTCATTTGTTATCATTTGTTAAGTGTTTATTATTATATTTGTTATTTATTAAGTAGCTTCTGTGGATTCGGAAGTAAGGGCAGCCATAAACAGGGCTATAGGACCTTGCATTGGACCTTGCGTCATATTAGGGGAAGCAGACTCCTGAACAGTTATAAGATGTATTATTATTGTCCTAACGAGAGCGTCACAGTAAGAAGTTAACAGTGTATATGTTATTAGCGTAACAGATGCGTTCATGATGATGTAACACTATTATAAAGTCGTACCATAAGCCACGGGCACCCACTGGAGTTTGGAGACGCGGCGGGAAAAGGGTCAGGATCCAAACCCAAGGGGCATCGTGTGCCTCATGGAAAACCCTGGACTTGGTCCCAAGAAAACAAGATACTGTCAAGGTCGTTTGTGCAGAGGGGCAGGATCTGGTGGTGCTCTGGGACAGAGTGGAGGATGGCTTGAAGACAGCAGAGATCGCTCAGGGGTGACGGGTAGGGGGTACCACAGGAGCCCCAGTGACCCCACGAAGGCTGGAACCGGACAGTGCAACAAGAAGGGAGGAGGGAGAGACGGAGCGAGACCCTCGTCGTGGGCGAGTGCCCTGCACTGACGGGAGGAGTGGGACCTTAGCTGGACTCCCACCTGCTGGGTCCCCAGGCCCCACGCCCCACGCAGTCCCCAGGCCAGGCAGTGGCGTGCTTTTGACTTCTGTGAGCCCTCTCCCCGAGGCCCGAGTAGTAGCCCAGAGAGCTGGACCAGACCCTCTGGAGAAATGCTTTAAGCTGAGTGAGGGGCCAGGCCCATGTCCCAGCAGCTCGGGCGGCCCCCTCGACCTTCAGCAAATGTTGACCGGGGAGGGGCAGGCGGGGCGAGCGCTTGCCTTCCTGCAGCCGGCAAGGCAGAAGGAGGAGAGCGCCCCTGGCCACACCTCTTCGACCCTCTTCCCTGAGACTCACCCCCAACCTGGGCTCCTTGTTCCTTCGTCTCTGTCGGCAATGACGATGGCCGCGAGGGGCCCCGGAAGTGTGCCCCGGCCAGAGAGGGGAGTGTGCGCCCTGCTCTGTTACCGCCAGTCCCGAGATGCACCCAGACGCAGGTGGTCTTTAACATCCTTGGATGCCGCTGTCCGGACCCACTCCCTCCTCCTCGATGGTGAGTGAGGAGGGGACCCCCGGAGCTGAACTTGTGGGGCTGACCATGACGTTGGCAGCTGGAGCAATTACTGACACGATGTCTCCCTCAAGCAGACAGGAACTGAGGACAGAGGGGGACTGGGGGGTGTGGCGAGGACGGCCAAGACTCCAGTGCCAGAAGAAATCAAGATAATGTGCGGCCTCGTGTGCGTGGGCGTCGGAGGAACTGAGGGGACGCTTGGCAGGAGATGGCCAAGACGCACTGGGACCTGTGGGGCTGGGACGTGCAGGAGAGGGCGGCAGGTGGAGATCTCGGCCCCTCAGCCTGAGCGTGTGGGGGTGGCGGAGTCCGTGCCAGAGAGGTGCAGAGGCTGAGGGGGACAGGATCCCAGGGCAGGCAGGACGAGGACCGCGGGCCGGAGCAGCGGTCAGCAGGGACAGAGCAAGCGCCACGGCAGGAAGGCCAGAGAGGGCTGAGCTTCACGACAGTCGAGGCCGCAGAGGCTCCAGGCAGGACAGTGGGCTGCGGCTGAGGAGAGGCCCTGAGGTCTCGGCCGGAGCAGGTTCCCCTGGGGGCCGCAGGAGAGAGCCTGGAAGCAGGAGCCAAAGAGAAAGGGCAGCGGCCAGAGGGCGCGGCAAACCCCGATTCTCCCGGAGACGAGCAAGCGGGATGGGGGAAGAGCGGTGCGGCAGGCCCGGGGCCGCCACGCCGACCCTCGGCCTTTAGGGACCATCGGTCTTTCCAGAACATTCTGCTGTGACCTGGGTCCCTGCAGCAACTAGCTTCCCTCGCTCCACGCAGATCCCTTGCCTCAGCCAGTCCAACTGGATTCAAAAGCTGAACTTGGTGGAACTTCGAGGCCCCTCCCAAATTCGTTCATTCCCAAACCACAGGAGGGAGGAACACTCAGGGGTCAGCATGACAGCGGTGCAGGTTGAGCCCGCACCAGCCAGGAGCTGCCCTCTGTTGTGCAGTCGCCACACTCGCCTCCCCCAGGACGACCGCCGGGCTCACGCGCGCAATGAAGCTCCCGCGTTTAGGTACCTACGGCTGATCCCGGCATTGTCGGCTCCCAGCCCACATCCGTGATGGACTGTGAAATGGGAAGAGTGATGTGTCTCAACACCAAGGCCCCCGCCGCCTCTCCAAGTAGGACCTGCCTTGGAGGCCACACCCGAGGGCATGACCAGGGCTCATATCCCACCTGAGGCCTCTGCTCTCCCAGGCTCAGGGCTTCCCTTTGATTTGTTTTTTAAGCTTGTCCAAAAACCCCGGAATTTGGAGCTTGCCTTTTGACCCCAGTTATACCCCTGTCAGCTCCAGCTGAGGGACCCTGGTGATGTTTCTCTCTGAACAGATGTCAGGGAGGTGTGCTGCTTCCAAAGGGCAGAAGAGAGCTACTCGGGATGCCTACAATGGACATTTTAAAGCTTTTAAAATAGTTACAGAGGCTCTCAGGTCTTATTTAAAAATTAGACAGTAAAGAAAAGCAAATCACCAAACCCCTGAAAATTCACATTCATACTTGGATGACACTGACATTTTAATATATATTTACAAGTTATACGTGTTAAATTGGCATACTTTTCAAACATAGCAAGCTATTCATACTGCTCTGTAACATGCTTTTTTTGTTGTTGTTGTTACTATTCTCCTTCATTTATTCATCCAGAATTACCATGCAATTGTTTTGTCAAGTTATTTCTTTAAAACCTACTAGTAATGTGATAGGAGTTATGATGAGCAGAGGGAATACTTCGAGGCTTATTCATTCTTTCCATCCTCCCCCTCCCAGCCTGTGGTGTATTTATTCGGGGACTCTTCCAGGGTCTTCATTTAAGCTTTTTATTCCTTTTTTTATGGTAAAGCATACACAACACAAAATTTACCATTTTAACCACACCATTCAGCATTAATACATTCACATAGTTGTGCCACCGTCCCCACCGTCCATCTCCAGAACTTTCTCATCTTCCCAAACAGAAACTCTGTCCCCATGAAACACTAACTCCCCCTGCCTGCTCCCCACAGCCCCTGGCACCCAGCGTCCTACTTTCTGTCTCCATGAATCCGACTCTGCTGGGGACCTCGTATGAGTGGAATCCTGCTCATATGAGGACAAATCCTATTTGTCCTTTTGTGACTGGCTGACTTCACTCAGCATAATGTCTTTGAGGTTCCTCTGTGTTGTAGCATGGTCAGAATTTCCTTCCTTCTTAAGGCAGACTAATATCCCACTGTGTGAATGGACCCCATTGTGTTTATCCATCCATCCGTCGAGGGACGCCCGGGTCGCTTCCACTTTGGAGCTGTGGCGAGTAGAGCCGCCACAAGCCTGGGTGTCCTCCACTGAAGGCCCTGGGTCTCCATCTACAGACCCTGCCCATTTCTTACGGAGCTGATCTCCGGGTGCCCCCGTCTGGGTGGTGGTGGAAGATGCTTCTACACGAGCATCTTCTTGGCAAGACCTCTGAGGGTGTCCTCCTCGGGTCCAGCTCGACCTCGGCGCCCAGTACATCAAGTCGGCCGTGAAGAACGTTCCCTCGGTGTTCCTGATGACGGACTCCCAGGTGGCCGAGGAGCAGTTTCTGGTGCTGATCAATGACCTGCTGGCCTCGGGGGAGATCCCGGGGCTGTTTACGGACGACGAGGTGGAGAACATCATCTCCTCCATGCGGCCGCAAGTGAAGTCCCTGGGCCTGACGGACACCCGGGAGGCGTGCTGGAAATTATTCATTGAGAAAGTGCGCAGGCACCTGAAGGTAGGGGGTCCCAGGCTTGGGGGCGGGGGATCCCGGGGACCTTCTAAGGGCTGGTTCTTCACTCGGGGAGGAGTTAGGGGCTGTTCCCGCCCAGGAAATGGAAAACTGTTAGGAGAGTATGGTGGGCTGCCTGATGGAGGTGGGCTGTTAGAAGTGCCTTGTGGCCGAAAGAAGTGATTTCTATATGCACATCTACCCCGCCGCCCCAATAGAGCACGTTTAAATAGATTAGTTCACCTTGACCTTCAACATTCCCCCTTGGGGAAGCTGGCTGAGCTACCCAAGTTAGACCGAGAGCACTTTGGGTCCTTCTCTCCCTCCTCGTCCGTGACCAGTAGGACAGCTGCCCCTGGCCAGGTGGCCCTGCTTTCGTTCCTCCCTGCCCCCAAGGACCAGACCTGCTAAAGGACCATAGCCCTCCCTGTTCTGGGACCTCACCTACCCAGTGTGGTTGCCCACGCCCCACTCCCTCCTGCACCCAGCCCTCCTTCCCCCTTTGTGGGGCCACCTCAGGAGGGCTCGGGGCTCCTCTGCACCCTCACATCGTGATGCGATGGCCACACTGCCAGCCCAGACCTGGGCGTGTTCTCCCCACCCCCGCACTTGGAGACGGACACCACGCAGAGAGCTTTTCCTTCTAAAGGGGCTTTCTGCAAAAGCAGCGCGATTCGGCCCCAGCACCGCCGTCCCCCAACCAGCGGCAACTGTGTCCACTTCTAGGTAATCCTGTGTTTCTCCCCCGTGGGCTCCGTCCTGCGTGTACGAGCAAGAAAATTCCCTGCCGTGGTCAACTGCACAGCCATCGACTGGTTCCATGAGTGGCCAGAGGACGCCCTGGTGTCCGTCAGCACTCACTTCCTTGAGGACACCGAGGGGATTCAGGTAAGTCACGGGGCATAGAGCCGGGAGGGAGGGTTCCTGTCAGGCCGGGAGTAGGGTGAGGCAGCTGAGGCACTCGCCTTGGGTGCAAAACTTAAGGGGGCACCAAAAACTTAATCAAGATCAGTGATGTTTTAATGCAGTATTTTTAAAAATCAATATTAATGCTGAAATGCTCAAAAGTGTCAAAACTGTAAACAAAGACAGGCTGCCATTTGTTGGTTTTCTGGCCCCAACTTACTGTGCCAGGGAAATGGTCGTTTCAATCAGCTGGGGGTTCCGGGCCTCACGCGGCCATGGGCCCACAGGGCTGGTTCCGGGGGATCCCACGTGCGAACAGATTGAGCAGCTCGGGCTTTGAACATAGTCCCCGATTGGAGCCGACTGCAGAGCCCGTATTTACTTTGATAAGTGTATGCGGGCGCACACTTTTTCCTCTTGCCTTGGGCTCCAACATGGCTCTGACCCCAGGGCTCTGCCCCCAGGGCTCTGCCCAGGGCTGCTGCCTCACCTTTGACCTACCTTTTTTTTGGGGGGTGGGGGGGCGCGGTATGCGGGCCTCTCACTGTCGTGGCCTCTCCCGTTGCGGAGCACAGGCTCTGGACGCGCAGGCTCAGCGGCCTGGGCTCATGGGCCCAGCCGCTCCGCGGCATGTGGGATCTTCCCGGACCGGGGCACAAACCCGTGTCCCCTGCATCGGCAGGCGGACTCTCAACCACTGCGCCACCAGGGAAGCCCTGACCTGCCTTTTATAGGGCATGACAAGTAAGACGGGGTGATATAAGCCTTCTTTTTTTTTTTTCCTTTTCCTTTACAGTGTCTTTCTTTTATTTCTTTTTAAAGGCTCTTTTTTTTTTTTTTAACATTTTATTTATTTATTTATTTTTTGTCTGGGCCGTGTGTTAGTTGCGGCACGCAGGATCTTCTTTGTGGCGCACGGGCTTCTCTCTAGTTGTGGCATGCGGGTTTTCTCTCTCTAGTTGTGGCCCACGGGTTCCAGAGCGCACGGGCTCTGTAGTTTGCGGCATGCAGGTTCGCTAGTTGAGGCGCACGAGCTCAGTCATTGCCTGCGGGCTTAGTTGCCCCGTGGCATGTGGGATCCTAGTTTCCTGACCGGGGATCGAACCCATGTCCCCTGCATTGGAAGGCGGATTCTTTACCACTGGACCACCAAGGAAGTCCCTACAGTGTCTCTCTTTTATTGAAAGACGGTGCCCGCATTCACCGTTTGTGCTCATTGCCGGCCTAGAAATGGGCATTAACTTGTGACCCAGCTGATGCAATACGCAGGCCTAGAATAAATCCCACGTGGTTATCGTGTCTGATTTATTTTGAACGCATATTCAGTTATTAAGTGGAATAAAATAAGCCTGAAATTAACCTCTTCCCTAGTTTTTAAAGATGGGTAAAGCCCCCCGCTTATCACTGTCAGAGTGTTCAGTTGCAGGCTGAGCCTTTCCCAGAAATGCTGCCGTCATGTGTCCTCCACACCCCGAGTGCCTGTAGGGGCGGGGGCCTCCTGGGACCGGCGAATGGCCCCACTGCTGGCACCAGCGAGGGCTGCAGAGTAGATGCCGAAGAAGCGTGTGTTGGATGAACACATTCCCAAATTAACCTGAATTACAGTTAACGTCCCTTGAACAATTCCTGGGGCAAAGCTCCTAGTGCCTGTCTTCGGGCAGGTGGGGCAGGCCCAGGTGGTGGGGCCGTGACCCTGGCGTGGACGCGGGCCAGAACGGGCTAGGAAAGGCGTTACTAAAACCCCAGGGCCTGGAACAGGAAATGTCCGATAAATGCTTGCAGAAATTACCTGGTTATTCAAGCATGTTGTATATGCAAGTGTGTGAGTCAGAGAGAGAATAGTAATAAACTTGGCTCTGACCGGGCCCCTTGGTGGTGCAATACCACCGTCGCCCATGAGGGCCCTGCAGACCTTGCTGTCTTGAGCCTCATTTGACAGCTGAACCACCAAGGTTGACAGAGGGGGTACCACTCATCCAGGGTCCTCGGCGAGGAAGGGAACCCACCTTGTGGTCCACTGTGGCCAGCAGCCTCCTCTTCCATCAGGGCACCGGGGAACAAATGGTTCTGTCTTGTCTTTGTAGCCGGAAGTTAAGGCCTCCATCAGCTTCTTCATGTCCTACGTGCACACGACCGTCAAAGAGATGTCCAAGGTGTACCTCGCCACCGAGAGGCGCTACAACTACACCACGCCCAAAACCTTCCTGGAGCAGATCAAACTGTACCAGAACCTACTGGCCAAGAAGAGGATGGAGCTGGTCGCCAAAATCGAGAGGCTGGAGAACGGGCTGATGAAGCTGCAGAGCACAGCCGCTCAGGTAGGAGAGCTGGGGCCTCGGGATGTGCTTCCAGAACCTTCCCCCAGGCATGTGACACAAAGTAAGGGGACCGGGACCCCTGCCTCGGAGAAACTTCCACTGGCAAACCACAGCAAGTATATGGGTTTTAACCTAGACAGTGGATCCCAAACGCCTTCCGGGTGCTGACGTTACGTCGGGTGCTTCCCGGGGGTCCCGCGTCTGGGGGGGTTTGCTCATGCAGGCAAGTGCAGCCCGTGGAGGCGGGTCCATCCCGGAGCCCCGTTCACACTGCAGTGCCCAGATGGAAGCACATCTGCCGTACTTTCACGCCGTGTTAATTTTTAAGTTTTCTGCCTGGTTTTAAATATCCTCCGTGGTGTAGCCCCGGCTCCCTCTTTACTGCCCACCGTTGGCGTCTCCGCGGGAGCCTGGTAAACAGCTGCACAGGTGGAGGGTGGCCCCTGACACAGGCTGCTGCACGGAGCCAAGGCCACCCCGTGGGGGCGGAGAGGGGAACCCAGTGCTGGGGCTGTCCATTCCTTGGACAGAGCGTGCCGGAGCCATGAAGCAGCCTGCTCCCTCCCTGGATAGGAACAAGGGAGAAGCCCGGCTCAGCAGGCGTTTTTCCCCAAAGGTACCTTCTGGGAGTGGTCCTGGGACACAGGAAATGCACCCAGGAGAGGGCGGTTACAGCAATGGAGTGGTGGCCTCCTCGTGCTAGGAATCATCCAGATGGGGAAGGGTGTCTCAGCCCATCACTTACCACTTCCCAGAACTCCCTCTGCCTGGCTGCCTAGGGCCTCACCCGAGTGCCCGAGGGAGCTTTTTATCCCCGGCTCCAGACTCTCACAGCCCCACCAGCCTCCCCAGAACTCCTCAGCACCCTGCCTCTGCTGACATTGTTTTTATCTGGCCACCTTGATTGCCACCTCCTTGAACGACAGGAATGGGTCTTATACTTGCGACCCTGTATACACAGTCGGTGCTCAGTAAATACTTACCTTGGAGAAGCTGAAAAAGCACTTAGAAATGCGTCACGGGGAGTGGTAAGCAACCGGCAGGCCTGCTGTTCTGCTTGGGCCCCGCGGCTCCCATGGCCACCAGCCCGCACCGTCCCGGGCCGGGACAGTCCGGCCGAGTAGGGGGCAGCGTGCGGTGGCTGGGGCCCCAGCCTGCCTGCCTCCCTTACCTCCTCCTCTAGGTGGATGATTTAAAAGCCAAGCTGGCGGTTCAGGAGGCTGAGCTCAAGCAGAAAAACGAGAAAGCGGACAAGCTGATCCACGTGGTGGGTGTGGAAACAGAGAAGGTCAGCAAAGAGAAAGCCATTGCTGACGAGGAAGAAATCAAGGTGCAAGTCATCAACAAGGTGGGCAGACGGGCAGCGGCACGTGGCTCTGCCCAGCTGGGCCCCTTCCCCTGGTGGCCAGTGTCTCCTATGGGCCCGGGCAAACCAGCAGGAACCCCGCAGGGAGGGCTTCTCTCCGAAGCGCAGGGCCCCCAGCTCAGCAGAGGGCTGCCCTCCCAAGCCCCAGCAGTGGCATCTCCTGAGCTGGTAAGACATGCAGGTTCCCAGGCCCCAGCTCTGCTGAATCGGGTCTGCATCTTAGTGAGGTGCCGGTGGCCTGTGAGCACGTTAAGGCTTGAGAAGCCTTCCTCGGAGCCCTGGTCCTCAGACTTGCTGCACCTGGAGCCCCGAGATGTTCCGGTGCCACTGGCCCTGGTGGGTTCCACGCCGAAGGTTCATGGCTTGGGTTGATTTCTCATCACCTTTTCCTGCATGCCTTTTTTGTCATTAGTCACGCACCTGTGTGAGTGTCTAAATTAAGAGTCCCAGTAACTGTCTGCTGTCTCTTGAGAGGGAGGACAGCAGCAAGTCATTTCTTTGCCTGAGACAGCCTCCTTCCAAGGCCAACAGGAGGGGGACCTGAGCCCTTCCCTTCCCACCAGTGCTGGAGCGCGGAGGGTCCCGGGCCAGGTGGGGTAGCCAGGAGCTCTGCTCCATCCCTCATTGTAACCTGCATGACCACAGCCCTGTTAGGATGGTTGGCAATGTGCCCAAGGTCTCAAAATGAGCAAGTGACATAGGATCCAAGCCAGGACCCACACCTGCACCCTGAACTCAGGGACCTGCCGTCTGATACTCACATGCAGCTATTAACATCTGGGTGCCCACCCGTCTCCAACCCCTGATCCAGAAATGGCCCAACATGCTCCAGGGAAGCCTGGAGCTTCCCAGCACCACCGGCCAAGTCAGTGCCTTCCATGCCCTGTTCCCTGAGTCGTGTCCCACGTCCCTAAAGTAAGGTACGGAATGGGATTCTCCAGGAGGTGTTCTGCAGAGAGACCCTCTTCTTTCTGTCCTCCTTCCTCCTTGCCCAGCAAAAGCTCCCAGCCCCGACTGGCTTCTTCAGCTCTGTTGTCACGCAGATGCTACTCCTGATTGATGGGTACCAAGCTTCTCCTGGTCTCTCTGCCTGGTGCCTGAAGGCTCAGAGGGGCTCTTCCCGAGCCAAAGAGCGAATGCATGCACGAATGAATGAGGCGTGCATGCGTGAATGAAGACGCTCTCACTTTAAGGGGAGGATGGGCTGTGCCTCTGAAATGGTCCGTCCTGGAGGGATGGCACAGTGGCACCGAGAAATACGGCCTCAAAGCCAGGGAGTGGCCTGTGTGGCCCCAGGTTTCCCCTCTGGTCCTGGAAGCTGGAGCCAAAAGAAGGAACAGTTCCCCTCCCTGAATCCCAGGTCAGCTGACACCCAGCTCCTTCTAACCTGAGTGTTTCGGGGCAAAGGAGGCAGGGCGGGGAAAGGCGGGCTTCACACGGTGACCCAGCAAGCGAGTGCGAAGGGCAACTCCCCTCGTCACCCCTCCTCACCCCTCCTTGCCCTCACACCGCCCAGGGCCCCCCCTTCACACACGCCACCCAGACGGACCCCTGCATCCGTCTTTCCCATCTGCCTTCCTTCCAGAATGTTGCCGAGAAACAAAAAGCTTGTGAAACAGACCTGGCCAAGGCAGAGCCGGCCCTACTGGCCGCGCAGGAGGCCCTCGACACTCTGAATAAGGTGAGGGCAGGAGGGGGAAGAAACGGGGATCACGACGCCTGAGAAGAGAGGAAGAGAGGAGACGCCGTGGGGTCATCACCGGGGGCCTCCTGGTCCTGCTCAGGGCTAAATCCCCATTCTAGTCTGTCCGTCTGTCTTTGCAGAACAACCTGACAGAGCTAAAGTCCTTCGGGTCCCCCCCAGACGCCGTGGTCAACGTCACGGCCGCTGTGATGATTCTGACTGCACCCGGGGGCAAGATCCCCAAGGACCAGAGCTGGAAAGCTGCGAAAATCATGATGGGCAAAGTGGACACCTTCCTGGACTCCTTGAAGAAGTTTGACAAGGAGCACATCCCCGAGGCCTGCCTGAAAGCATTTAAGTGAGTTGGGGCTCGGCTGCCGCCATGGGGTCAGCTCAGTCCTCATCCTGTTGGGAGCACGTCACGTCCAGGCACCGTGTGGTCCCGAATCTTCTCCCACCTGCCCCTGGCCCCATACCGCATGGTCCCAAGGGAAGTCTATGCTTGCTGGAGTGGGCAGGGCCTTGGGCGGCACAGAGCGAGGTGGGACCCCCAGAGACAGCAGGCAGCAGTCTGGGCGAATCTGCCTGCCCCTGAGCTGCCCAGGCGTCAAGGTGAAGCATGATGCCAAGCTTGCGGGGAGCCTCATCACCCTCTGTCTCCCCAACCTTGCTCGGTGGGTGGGGGGTGAGCTGATCCCTTAAATGGGGGGGGGGGAGGGGGTGGATCAGTGGGTGGGGTCGGAGGGGGAGCTTAGGTGGCCTGCCCACCCCCTTGGTGGTGCCGTGTGCAGGGATCATGCACAGGACCCTGCTTTTGCTCCGACACCTCAGAAGAGGCAGTTGGGTTTTAGCCTCTTTGTGTCTTTCTGTTCATAATTTGCCCCAGTGTGCATGCACGTAGTACTTTTAGTCCTTTACAGTTTCTTTGTATTTTGCTCCTTGAGGAGGTATTCGTCCAGGTCCAAGCACTCCAGCAGAGGGTCCTAGTGGGACTTGGGAAGGGTGTGCAGGGGGGACCTCCACGTTTTGCCCCATAAATCCGATGCGCTAGCATTGGTGAGCACTGCACTTGTGAACACTCTTTGCCTGGCCGTCCCTGGCAACCCGATTTCAGGGCCGACCTGACCTGACCCCAACTGAGAAAGGGAGCCCCTCGCATGACCCCAGGTGAGACTCCAACCTCTCTCAGCTCCATCTGTTGAGGAAGAGGGCTGGACGATCGAAAAACATTTGACGACTAAGGAGTAGTTTAAAGTTTAAGAGAAAAGACAAGAAAAACACAGACCCACCTCCAGGGAGCGGCCTGTGTCAACATTTGGCCTGTTTCCTTTCAGTCTTTTTTCTCGTGTTTCTCCCTGTAGTTGAAAGAATACTGTGTATATGCAATTACCTGCTCTGCTTTCTATCTTTTACTTAACATCGTGGGGGAAAAAAGACTTTTCCCTGTGTTGTCAAAACACTTGATCAGCTGGATTTTTTTGCCGCAGATGAACCGTAATTTACTTACTATACCTGCGTTGCTGAGGGTTTAGGCTGTCTCCGTTTCTGCCGTCATAAATAACGCCATGATAAATGTCTCCTCCTTGTCACCCAGCAAACTTCTCAACTGCCACCTCCCCATGCTGTCTGGAGTGTGCTTAAAAGACGCAGACGCATTGTACTATTTGCCTAAATGAAGCGTAAAATATGCCAGAGTGAGGAGGTGATGGGCCGTGTTCCCCACCTACATTCAAATCACACTTCAATTATTATTTTGAATTGTCCATTTAGAATTCTTCCTGCAGACAGGTCAGTCTGTTGTGCTCAATGACGTTGCCGTTATTTTAAAAACACTAGTTAAGGTGCTCTAGTTTCTAGAGCATCTTAACTGCATCTATGGGCATTTTTCCTCATCCCTCTTGTACAATAACACCTACCACATCACCCCTTTTTTTCTTTAACATCACCTCTTGTAAGTCTCATCCTTAGAGCCTTAGCCTCACTGGGGATCCCTGAAAACTGGGCACTGAGCTGAGGGGACGCAGAAGTGGCCCGTTGTGTGTGTGGGGAGCGGGGGTGGCCTCTGGGGCAGCCTGGCTCCGTGTGAATTCCTGCACTGCCCAGTCCAAACTGTGTCACCTTGGGAGACACACTCAGCCTCTCTGGGCCTGTTGCCCAGAGTCAGATGGCGTGAGGACACGTGCCAGGGCAGGGGTGGCTCCAGGACCTGACATATGGGCAGTGCTCAGAGCAGCACCTGACACGCGGCCCCTGATGCGAGAACTTGGTGAAGAAACCCTGGTTCCAACACTTCCTGTCGGCGTTGCTCTGGGCAAGTTGCTTACCCCCCGAGCCCCAGTCTTCTTGCCTAGGACTGGAGTCGTTGCAGAATGAAAATGAGACCAGCCATATAAAGCAGCAGGAGCGGAGAGGATTAAAAAACACACAGGTTTTCTTCCATCATCTAGAATATAGGACTTGAAATCACTACTTCCGTTGCCCTTCACCCTCCAAATTCTACTCCAGAGGCCAGAATTCTGAGTTTCATTCTTTTCTTTCTTCTTCTTTCTAATCTTTCTAATCACTAAGATACAAAAAAAACAAAGTTAAATGTGCTCCCCGTCCTGTTGCTGGTAACAGGGACCGGAGAGGCGGGCGGGTGCGGAGCTGGAGGCGGGACAGGGGTGGCGGGAGGTCTGCGTCCTCAGCGCCCGCTGTCCTGCTCCAGGCCCTACCAAGGCAACCCGACGTTCGACCCCGAGTTCATCCGCTCCAAGTCCACGGCCGCCGCGGGCCTGTGCTCCTGGTGCATCAACATCGTCCGCTTCTACGAGGTCTACTGCGACGTGGCCCCCAAGAGGCGGGCCCTGGAGGAGGCCAACGCGGAGCTGGCCGAGGCGCAGGAGAAGCTCTCCCACATCAAAAGCAAGATCGCTGTGAGTGCCGTCGGCAGGCGCGGCTGGTCCGTGTCTCCGTTTGAGAGGGGTCGGCACAGCCGCTGCCATGAATTACGGAGCAGAGCAAGAGCCCGCAGGCCGATGTGGGGACCTGATCACCCCGGAGGCTGCCGGCGTCGGCCGTGTTCCCGGCCCTCCCGGGAGGAGAGCTGGGGACACCCAGCGTTGCCCGATTTCAGGGCCTGTCTGTCTTGTTCCTTCAGGAACTCAACGCCAACCTGAGCAACCTGACGTCGGCATTTGAAAAAGCGACAGCCGAGAAAATCAAGTGTCAGCAGGAGGCTGACGCCACCAATAGTGTGATCTCGCTGGCTAACAGGTGCCTTACTCCCTCCGAGGGGCCCCTCCTGTCCTCAGACACCGTCCCCCGAAAGGGATGAGCCCACAGAATGGCCTTTCGGGGGGACTACGCCCCAGGTGGAGTCAGCAAGGCCCCCAGCCCCCGCTTTCTGAGCACAAAGTGATAAACCCTGGGAGACCCCCAGGCTGTGTGCCTGGCCTCCCGTGGGATGTAAACTCACCTCTACCAAGGTAAAGTGGCCTTTCGGTCCCTGGCAAGGAGGGCTGCTCGGAGGATGCTAAAGCCAGACCTCAGGCTAGTCAAGCACAAACCTGTCCACACTCTCAGACTCCCGGTGCCATTTAGGGTCAGGGACCAGCCCTCGAGCCGGGGGCCTGAGAAGCATGAGGCACACCCTGGAGTCCCCACTCCACACAGGGCCAGGGGGCTGCCTCTGGACTTCCCGCTGCCCAAAGCGCGTGCTCAGTGGTGCCTGGGCAGCAGCCTCGGCACGTGGGTGATGTGGTCAAGTAACGTCAGCATCCACATGACGTCGGCCCCTTGGGGAAGGGGCCTCGGCCTTCCCAACCGCCTCCAGAAAGCATTAGTTTTGCTTCCCTCAAGCATTTATTGCCCAAAACTTCCCCCAAAGCATGTTTTGTCCTGAACCGCTGAGCAGAGTAAGGATTTGAAACTGGAAGGTCTCTGGCGTGTTAAAGGTGGAGGCGCGCCTTTCCTGGTCCTCCAGTCCGTCCTCTCTCCCCCCCGACACACGTGCTTCTCTTTTGCCCACTGAGCCCTGTCCCCATCTCAGGCTGGTAGGAGGATTAGCATCAGAAAACATCCGCTGGGCCGAATCGGTGGAGAACTTCAGAAGCCAGGGGGCCACACTGTGTGGGGACGTCCTGCTGATTTCCGCCTTCGTCTCCTACGTGGGCTACTTCACCAAGAAATATCGAAATGAGCTAATGGAGAGGTTTTGGATCCCTTATATACATCAGTTAAAGGTAGGAGGTCCTGTCGCATCCATCACTCAGGACCTTTGGGGAGGTCTCCGGCTGCCATTGCTCCTGCAATGGAGGCTCCAGCCACTCAGGATGTAGACGGTGGCCCTGCGAGGCCGACGCCGACATCCCTTCTGGCCGGGCTCCAAGCTGCTCCTCAGGGTGATGCGAATGCATGGCAGTCTGCCCCCACACAGCCCGGCGGCCCACGTGTTGCTCGGAGAGCCGCTTTCCGCTGAGTGGTGAGTAAGGCCACATCGCCCCCTCGGCAGGTCCCCATCCCGCTCACAGAAGGTCTGGATCCCTTGAGCCTGCTGACCGACGATGCAGACGTGGCCACTTGGAACAACCAGGGGCTCCCCAGCGACCGCATGTCCACAGAGAATGCTACCATTCTGTGCAACACGGGGCGCTGGCCCCTCTTCGTGGACGCCCAGCTGCAGGGCATCAGGTGGATCAAAAACAAATACGGCAGCAAGCTGAAGGCCATCCGCCTGGGACAGAAGAGGTGCTCGGCCGTGGCGGGTGGGGTAGGGGCTCCAGAGGTGGCGGCCGGCCGGCCAGGCCACGGTGCTGGGAAGTCCACCTGGGGCCTTTCATACTCGCTAAATGGATGGATGGGTCTTTGAAAACAAACACTGACCCACATGTGGATTTCTTTAGTACTTGGCCCTGGGCACTGGCAGTAAAGAATTAAACTCGGGGCTCGTCTCTCCCCCGTTACCTGCCGCTCCTGCTGGGGGACAGCACCGGCCTCGGCTCCTGCCTGCGTTGGTCCTGCCTGGTCACTTGCCAGCCGGGGGGCTGCGGGCGGTCATCTTCCCGTCTCTCATCGTCATAGATGAGAAGCGATGGCCGTGACACAGCTGCACTGGGAGCCTTCCCAGTGTGCTGGGCAGTGAGAGGAGACTCGCAGCTGTGGAGCGTTTGGCTCAGTAGCCATGAAGCGCTCCACGTTCACCACCCCTCCTGTCAGCCTGGGGGCGATTTACGCAGAAGCCCTGAGCTCCCCTCGGGAAGGAGGCGTTTAGGAGAGGAATGAGCTCTTGGCCCCTCGGTCCCTCTCTCGGTCCCTCTGGGGCAATTGCGCCGTCACCGGGCCCCAGGGCGTTCACAGCCCCTGTGCTGTGCCCACAGCTACCTGGATATCATCGAGCAGGCCATCTCAGAAGGGGACACCTTGCTCATCGAGAACATTGGCGAGACCGTGGACCCGGTTCTGGACCCTCTGCTGGGCAGGAACACAATCAAAAAGGGAAAGTGAGTGGCAGCGTCCACCTCCGCGGGTTCACCCACGAGATCGTCCTCAGTGGTGAGGTCTGGCCTCTGGACTGAGAGAAAGGGCGGGGCATTTCCTTTCCTGGGAGGCAGCAGGGGCTTCAGCAAAATGCGCGAAGGGACCCCCAGCTCCCAGGGGAGAGACTGACAACTGTGGGCCCACGTTCCAATTAGGAAGGAAGACCTACACCAACAGTTTATTAGCGACTGCCTGCAGATCACGATCCTTGATGGTCATCTTTTTTTTCTATTTCCATATGCATTTTGCAAATCCTGAGTCTATTTCTTTCTATTCAGGTGAGATTCACATAACATAAAATTAACCAAAAGTGACCAGTTCCGTGGCCTGTAGGACACTGGTGCCTGGCTCCTTTCACTGAGTATCTTTTCCAGGTTCATCTGAGCTGTAGCGAGTATCCATACTTCATTCTTTCTTATGGCTGAATAATACGGCATTGTGTGGACCTGCCACATTTTGTTTACCCGCTCATTTGTTGATGCATTGAGCTTGTATTACTGTTTTCTCTTTGGTTGCACCGTGTGGCTTATGGGATTTTAGTTCCCCGACCAGGGAACGAACAACCCGGGCCCTTGGCAGTGACAGTACAGAGTCCTAACCACTGGACCACCAGGGAACTCCCTGTATTGCTTTTCTAATATAAAAAATTAAATCAACTTTAAAAATGTAAAGGTCGGAGTTGATCGGAGCCACCTATAAACTCAGGGGTGCAGGCAGAAGCCCAGAACAGAGGTGACATAAATGTGCTGATGTCCTAGACTCTGAGAAGGGCCTGGTGTGAGTAGCGATACCCAGGGCTGAAGTTAGAGGCCCCCCAGAATGTGAGCTCAGCCAGAAAGGGGAGAGCAGAGTGGGGCGCCGGAGAGAAGCGACCCCCCCCGCAGTGGGTGAGCCGACCCGGGTTCCCACCCTGGCCTCTCATCAGATTCACCTGGGGAGCTCCAGGGATGTCCCGGTGTTCTGAATTGGGGTGTCAACATCTTTCTGATGTTAATGGCTCTGGGGTGGAGCCCAGGCCAGAGTGTTTCTGCAGAGGCTTCCAGATGAGTAAGATGTGCAGGCAGAGTCAAGTTAAATGCTCCTAAAAAATCAGAACAAACCGGCCAGAGAGCGAGCAGGTGCATTTTCTAGAAGGGCCGGTCACAGCCCAGAGAGGGATGGTTGTGGGTTTGTTTTTTTTTTCCTCAAGTTTCAGATTATTTATTAATCAGGGTAAAGCCCAGCACAATATGCCCACATGATTCCGTGTATTTAGAGGGGAGACACTTCCCGGTTAAGTGGAAAATTGTGCCGACGGCTTCTGGAAGACCTTTATTCTAAGCAGCTTTATAGTGAAACATGTCATTGAGAAGTCTGGACCTTCCTCCCAGGCTGGCGGGAAAGGCGGTCTGTCTGTGCTGCCATCCCTTGGTCGCCGGGGACCCTCCTAACCCCTCCGTCCGCCGACCGCCAGGTTCATTAAGATCGGCGACAAAGAGGTGGAATACCACCCCAACTTCCGCCTGATGCTGCACACCAAGCGCTTCAACCCCCACTACAAGCCCGAGATGCAGGCCCAGTGCACCCTGATCAACTTCCTGGTCACCAGGGACGGGCTCGAGGACCAGCTCTTGGCCACCGTGGTGGCCAAAGAGCGCCCAGATCTGGAGCAGCTGAAGGTATGTGGAGACAGGAGGAGCGGGGCAGGCAGCTCAGAGGCAGCAGGGGGCAGGTCACTGTGACCCAGGCGTCTGGCGGCTGTGAGGGTGCCCTGCTTGTCACACTGAGTGTGTCTGGTACGACAGAATGAGTCACTCCTCCTCCCCGGCTGCCTCCTGAATCTAATTCTAAATCAAGTGATGGCTTCACTGAAAGAACAGGAGTCACAGCAGTGCCCGGGCTGCCCTAAAGCACCGAACTCCTGCCCCACGAGAATGTCTTTGCTGTCGGCCCCTGTGTACCAGGCCCTTCCTTGATTGGCTGAGCCATACACGTGGGCTCACAGGGGTCCCAGGCCCCACTCATGTCCCATGGTCCCCACGTTCTTGCTGCACAGCTGCCCATGACAAGCAGCTGCGAGGCCCAGATGCAGGGCCCCCTACCCCGCACTGCTTGGGGGCCTCCACTCCGGCCCCTTTCTTCCAGGCTTGGCGTGTTCCTCCCGTTCCGAGTCCCAGGGCCTTGGCCCTGAGCCCCCCCGAGCCCCCCAGCTGGGGGACCAGGCCGTGCCAGCGACTGATTTCCCTTCCCGGTCTCTACCCCTCCTGCAGGCGAACCTCACCAAGTCTCAGAATGAATTTAAGATTGTTCTGAAAGAGCTGGAAGATTCTCTGCTGGCCCGTCTGTCGGCCGCATCGGGGAACTTTCTGGGAGACACAGCCTTAGTTGAGAATCTGGAGACCACCAAACACATGGCCAGCGAGATTGAGGAAAAGGTAAAAGACCATCTTGGGGGCTACCCCCTTGCACCCCCAGCCGGAGCACACAGGGGGCATGGGAGCTGAGAAGAGAAGCCGTAGCCACATGGAGGCCCCTGGGGGCCTGGGGCAGGGTCAAGGCGCGTGGATGCCCGCCAGGCACATCTTCATCCATTCATCTGTAGATGGACATTTAAGTTATTTTCATGTCCTGGCTATTGTGAATAGTGGTGCCATGAACATAGGGGTGCGTGTATCTCTTTGAATTATAGTTTTGTCTGGATGTATGCCCAGGAGTGGGACTGCTGAATTAGACGGTAGTTCTATTTTTAGTTTTTTGAGGAACCTCCATACTGTTTTCCATAGTGGCTGCACCAATTTGCGTTCCCACCAACAGTGTAGGAGGGTTCCCTTCTCTCCACGCCCTCTCCAGCATTTGTTATTTGTAGACTTTTTAATGATGGCCATTGTGACTGGTGTGAGGTGATACCTCACTGTGGTTTTGATTTGCATTTCTCTAATGATTAGTGATGTTGAGCGGCTTTTCATGTGCCTGTTGGCCATCTGTGTGTCTTCTTTGGAGAAGTGTTTACATAGGTCTTCTGCCCATTGTTTGATTGTTTGTTTTGAGGTGCAAGAGGCAAAAATCACAGAAGTTAAAATCAACGAGGCGAGAGAGAACTACGTGCCAGCCGCGAGGAGGGCGTCCCTGCTGTACTTCATCCTGAACGACCTCAGCAAGATCAACCCCATCTACCAGTTCTCACTCAAGGTGCGGCTGCATCCGGGTCCGGGGCCACTGGGGCCCAGGCTGCAGGTGGGCTTGGGGGGTGGGACCCAGGGCACCAGCACCCGGGTCTGAGCAGTGCCCCAGAGCCCGCATGGGCAGCGTGGAGCCCCCTGCATTCGGTGACCCCCCCCTCCCCGACCAGGCCTTCAACGTGGTGTTCGAGAAGGCCATCCAGAAGACCGCCCCCGCCGACGAGGTCAAACAGCGTGTGATCAACCTGACGGACGAGATCACCTACTCCGTGTACATGTACACGGCCCGCGGGCTCTTCGAGCGAGACAAACTCATCTTCCTCGCACAGGTGACATTTCAGGTAACATCTGGCCTCGATGCCCCATGTGTGGTCCTTGGACGGGCAGCACCGGAGCCCCGTGGGGTGAGGTGGGGTGCTGGGGGAGAGTGGGGGGGGGGGGGTGTTGGAAATGCAGATTCTCAGGCTCCGGCTCAGACCCAGTGGATCCAAACCTGCATTTTTAACAATATGTGGAACACACCTGGGCTCTTGAGTTGGTACCAGGAAAGGTGTCCCAATGGGAGCCATTGAAGGGGAGGGGAGGTCAGTTAAAGAGAGACGTCATTCTAGTCCCTTCAAGTCATGCCGAGCCGACAGTCCCGCCTTAGCGGTTAGTCCGCTGTGGATGGGAAAGAAGGGTACTAATGAGTAAACATGCCCCCTGTTTTTACAGACCTGCTGAAATATTTAAAGATTTTGGTTCCACTAAATTGATTAAACAACCTCTCCGCCACTTTGTTTGCACCATGTTATAAGTGTTATTGGGAACACGGATTTCATAGCTAGCTTGGGCATCAATGTCAACCCAGCTTTCCATCCAAACTCCAACTTGGAATTAGGGGTCCAGGTTAAGGAGGTTTCTTTTCCATGTGAATCTCTGAGTAACGGGTTCCCTGTTTCTCTCCCTGCTAAGAGCACATCAAGATAAGTTTCCTTGATGCTCCCCCTAATTTTCCAGAGTAGAATGTACTCTTTTCAGGCCCAAAGAACTTTTTATTTCACTAAGATTAAAAAAAAAAAAAAAAAAAAAAAAAAGAGACCCTGACTCAGGGGAAACTCTCTGTGGAATCTGAGAAAGCCGCTGTGTGAGCTCCTTACTGGGGAGGTTACAGTGACTGCGGCCCTGGCTCCCCTGTCGTCCATCTGAGATGGAGGGGCTGGGCCAGTTGCCCAATGAGCCACTTCAGTGACCAAGACAGGGCCTGCTAGAAGCCCAGAGAGCTTGTGCGCACCTGTGGCAAGGTGACCTCGAATGTGACCAGAAAACGTATATACCCAAAAGAATTGCAAACACGTAGTCAAACAAATACGTGCATGTAAACATTCATGGTAGCGTTTTCACGACAGCCAAACGGCAGAAACAACCCAAACGTCCAGCGACGGACTGTTGGGTAAACGAGATGCGGTCTCGCCGTACACTGGCCCATTATTCGTCCATAAAAAGAATGAAGCACTGACACGTGCTACAACACGGATGAACCTTGAAAACACGCTCAGATGCAAAAGGCCTCGTGTTGTATGATTCCATTTACTGGAAATGCCCAGAAAAGGCAAATCTGTAGAGACAGAGAGCAGACTGATGGCTGCCTGAGCGTGGGACTGCTGAAGGGTAGGGGCTTTGCCTCTGGGGTGATGAAAAGGCTGTGCACCTGGACAGTGGCGATGGTTGTACAACAGCGTGAATGCACTAAATGCCACTGGATTTTAGACCATAACAGGGTTAAGATGGTACATTTTTATGCTGTGTGTATTGTACCGCAATTTAAAAACAAACAAGGTGCTGACCAAGCTTTGGGCTGACCCCAAAGCGGCAGGACAGTGCTTCCCCTGCAGGCAAGGGGTATGAGCCCCTGTTGTAGGGCAACATCTAAGCGAGCCCCACGGCCCCTCAGGTCTTGTCCATGAAGAAGGAGCTGAACCCGGTGGAGCTGGATTTCCTTCTGCGGTTCCCGTTCAAGGCCGGGGTCGTGTCACCCGTGGACTTCCTGCAGCATCAGGGATGGGGCGGCATCAAGGTTGGCCTTCAGACTTGAACACTGTGTTCTCTCCCCACCTCGCGGCCTTTCCTGCTCGCCCCAGACATGTTTACAAGGTGCTCCCGGCCGTAACATTCAGTAGAACAAGGAGGCCTCAGAGGTGGGACCAGGCACTGATGGGCTGCCTGCCAGCTCACGGGGACTGTGCTGTCCTACTGGAGCGCAGCAACTTCATCATCACGTCCCTGCAGGCGGCAAGCTGAGCCGCGATGGGCCCCAGGGTGTGCCCAGGGGTCGCCCCTCCGCCGCTTCCCCTCACTTCCAGGAAAATGCAAAGTGTCAAGGCTATTCCTCAGAATCCTGGGGCCCTCACTGTGTCAGTTCAGAAAGACCAGAGGAAGGCGGCCCCCTGGGATGAGCAGGACCCCTGTTCCAGAGCCCCCGGAGAAGCAGCCAGGAGTCACATCCCCAATCGGATTCCTCCCTCGTCCCAGCCATTCATCCCCAGCAGCTCATCGTTTGAGCGACAGGCCCCATGGTCATGCTTTTCCCGGAGCCCGTGGGGAAGGCGCCCACTGGGATGGGGGAGAGCTGAAAGGCCGTCTGCCCCCAGGCCCTCTCGGAGATGGATGAGTTCAAGAACCTGGACAGCGACATCGAGGGATCCGCCAAGCGGTGGAAGAAGCTCGTGGAGTCGGAAGCCCCCGAAAAGGAGGTCTTCCCCAAGGAGTGGAAGAACAAAACGGCACTGCAGAAGCTGTGCATGTTGAGGTGCGTGCGGCCCGACCGCATGACCTACGCCATCAAGTGAGTGCCCCCATCCCCACCCCACCCCCGCCCCAGCCTGGGCCTGGGCCTCAGGGCTGGGGAGTGGGAGCCTCCCATCCCACCCACCAATTCCCGTTCTGAGTTCTCGTAGCTCTGGGGTCTCTGAAGGTGGCCAACAGGAACCCCCGGCTCCCCTGACCCTGGGCGAGGAGAGGCGCCCCGAGATAAGCGACGGGAAGATAAAACTCCCCGGGTTGGCCACCAAGATTTTATAAAAGCCTGGGCGCGCTGCCAGTGCAGGGGACACGGGTTCGAGCCCTGGTCCAGGAAGATCCCACATGCCGCGGAGCGACTAAGCCCATGCACCACAGCCCCTGAGCCTGCGCTCTAGAGCCCGCGAGCCACAACTACTGAGCCCGCGTGCTGCAGCTACTGAAGCCTGCGCACCTAGAGCCCGTGCTCCACAACAAGAGAAGCCACCGCAATGAGAAGCCCACGCACCGCAACAAAGAGTAGCCCCCGCTCGCCGCAACTAGAGAAAGCCCGCGCGCGGCAACAAAGACCCAACGCAGCCAAAAATAAATAAATAAATTTATTTTTTTTAAAAAGCCTGGGCGCTAATGACCTCCAAGGCCACGACCACGCGGGGTCCTTTAAGGATGCTGTGGGGAGAAAGCAGTGGCAGAGCCATCAGCACCCGAGGACTTTCATGGCCTCAGTGGCTGGATTTAGAGGAAATCTTTTATTTTTACGGCTCGTTTGCAAAGAGAACCATTCTGCTTTCGTGAACAATCTCTCTGGACCTGAAACGCCTCCAGGACTGGAAACTTAACCATCGGGTTTCAGCGCCCGTTCCTTTCACTCCCCAAAGCACAGAAAGACTTCAGGAATATCAACAGCTGTAACATCTGCACGGCCGGCCCGGGCAGGCCATGGCATCGTGGGGGAGGGAGGGAATGAAACAGGCCCCGTTCTCAGAGGGGCGTCTTGGCCATGGCGTCGTGGGGGAGGGAGGGATTGAAACAGGCCCCGTCTCAGGGGGGCATCTTGGTTTTCCGTTTGTCCTAGTGGCCTGAAAGCCACCAGATTTCCCAAAAGATGCCCACGTCTGACAAAGCAGAGGCCTGACTCACACCCACGGGTTGTTCACAGACGCGTGTTTCTGTTTTGCTTTGTTTTCTCGGGACTGAAGAGGAAAGGGACTGCGAGGGGTTCTGGGTGCGGGAGGGGAGTGGGCGGAGTGAAGCAAGAAATCACGTCACGAGGGAGAGTCGAGCTGGTCCAGGGAGAAAGCAGGAAGGCATCCCGGGAAGGTCGGACACGGACACAGTGTGGGGAAGGCCCAGGCGAAGGGCACTGAGCATCCAGGGGGACACCGCCTGCGGGTGAGCTGAGCATGGGTGGGTGTCCAGCCCCACGGCCCCCAGAGCACCCTTGAGAGCCACCCGAGTCACCACGGCAGAAAACGCATCGGAACCGCGTGGGCGGCCGCAAACGCCAGGCGAACCCAAGTCATGCTCTGCAGTGGTCGCGAGGAAAGCAGATTCACCTCCCAAATCAAACAGGGCGGTGGAGCTCAAGAGCAAGGAAGTTCAACTCCAAGTCCACGGCGAATAGTAATAACACACAGTCGTCAAGAGCGTGGGTGCCAGGCGCGCTCAGAGCCTTCCCCCCGCACCCTGGGTTCACTCCGCCCTCCGCCAACTCCTCGAGCCGGGCACCTCCCCTCCTCCGGGTCCACAGGCCCAGGGAAGGTAACTCGCCCATGGCGGGGCGGGGTGCTGGTAACGGGCTCCCCAGAACAGCCGCCCGGGTCTGTAGCACCTGCCAGCATGCAAGCCGCTGGGGGCGGCTCTAGCACCCCTGTGCCCAGGACACAGCACTAGGAGCAGCGGAGCCCGACCGGAACCAGGAGCCCTCTACTCTCCATCATCACTTCAGCCGCAGAGAATGACCACGTGGCCCGGCCACGTCAGGAGCAGCAGGGAGCTTGTGACATTCCTGCCCCAGGCAGGACCTGTACCTTCTAGAATTCCTTCCCGGGCAAGGACTCTAGCACTGACATTCTGGGTCAATTCCAAAGGCCAGAATCAAGCACAACCAGGGGCCTGGAGCAGGAGCCCTCCCACCGGCCTGTGGTCAGCGCTGGCTCAGGGTCTGTATAGAGGCCAGCAAAGGCCAGACCGGGGAGCGAATGACAGCTATCACTCCCACGGGAGTGGGAAGGCCCACCTGGCACCCGCCCGCAGACTCCCCGTTGACTCAGAGGGAAGCCTCTATGTGAACAGGTCCACCCACGGGTCTTCACGATGCTCAGGGCGCTCAGATTGCCGACTCCTCGGGAATAAGTGTGTTCTCTCCCAGGGAGGCTGCCATCGTCCTTCTTTCAAAGACCACACTGGACATAAGTTTAGCTCCTGTGGTTCATTCAGATACAGTGAGCTCAGCCACCTGTGGTCAAGAGAGAGGGGCAGAGAGCTGAGATCCCAAGGTCACCCTAAGAGGGGCCTCGACTGACCCCAGCCTTATCAGGGTCAAGATAGAGTTTGGGGCTTGGAACAGAGGGGTGCTTATGTAAAGAGAAGTTTGGGTTTTTTCTGTGACTTTCCTGATGATCCATGTTTTGTGGTCCATGGAGCTCACCAAAGCGACTCTAACGCACGCGTCCTTCCTCCTCAGAGCCCCCGTCGGGGGAGATCCTCAGGACGCAGAGGCCGATCTAGGTTCTGTTCCGTGTTGCTGCCCCGGTCTGGAGAGCAGATAGGAAGTGTGTGTGGGAAACAGGAAGCCACTAGAAACTGATCCCTTCCTTGGGAGCGCTGAGGTGTGGTCACCTGGAACACTTGCAGCCCGGGTTCCCTCCCGGCTGACCTTGCACGCCTTTGAAAGTGGGGGTGGCATCAGCTGGCTGAGAGCTTCTCACCTGTCTGTGCACAGGTGGACGGGCGCAAAGGGTGCCCAGCGCGAACACCGCCAAATACCGCGCACGCTCCCCTCCACACCCCCCCTGCCTGCAGGAGGCCCCTGTAGAGACCGACTTTCCAGCTAGAGGCCCTTCTCTGCCTAAGAAAGTCCCCCAGAAAAGCGGTCCCTCGCCTCGGGTCTGACCAGGCGTGTCCCCCTCAGGAACTTTGTGGAGGAGAAGATGGGCAGCAAGTTCGCAGAGGGCCGGAGCGTTGAGTTCTCCAAGTCCTACGAGGAGAGCAGCCCCTCAACCCCCATCTTCTTCATCCTCTCCCCGGGCGCTGACCCCCTGAAGGACGTGGAGGCCCTGGGTAAGTGCGGCCGGGTCTGGGGAGAAGCGAGTCCAAACCACAGTGAGACGGCCCTTCACACCCACTAGCAGGGCAGGTATCAGACACACGGAGGTGACAGGTGTCGGGAGGGGATGGGAGACGGGGCCCTGTGCATTGCTGGTGGGAATGTGAGCAGGTGGTCCCTCCCTAAGTCACACATCGAGTCACCACATGTCCCGGCAATTCCACTCCTGGGGACGTCCCCAACGGAGCCGGGAACAGGTGTCCAAACAAACAGGTCCCCTCACGACGGCCAAAAGGTAGATCCAACCCACACGTCCATCACTGATGAATGGCTGATGGCAAAGTGGTAAATCATAAAAGAGAACGAAGCACTGACACAGGCTACACCGTAGACGGAACGAGAAAACACTGTGCCGAAGGCAGGAAGCTAGACACAAAAGGCTCCACGGTATACGATTCCTTGTATCTGAAACGTCCAGAACTGGGGAATCCGTAGAGGCAGAAGGCAGATTAGTGGTTGCCAGGGGCTGGGGCGGGAACAGGATGCAGAATGACTGTTTAATGGGTACAGGGTTTCCTTCTGGGGCGATAAAAATGTCCTGGAACCAGATAAGCAGTCGCATGACACTGAATTATTAAATGTCCCTAAATTGTACACTTTAAGATGGCTTTTAAAGTGGTACATTTGATGTTATGTGTATTTTACCACAATTTTAAAAGGGGTAGGGTGTGGAATTCCCAGCTGTGGATCACAGAAGCTCCATTTTTGTCATTCAGCCATCCCCATGCTTTTCCTGTTTTCCTTTCCTTTAGGGAAAAAATTGGGATTTACCATAGACAACGGGAAACTCCATAACGTGTCCCTGGGTCAGGGACAAGAGGTGGTGGCGGAGAATGCCCTGGACATGGCTGTGGAGAAGGGACACTGGGTCATTCTGCAGGTATGGGGGTGGGTGGCACCTGTGCCTCTTGGGTGAGGGATCCCAGCCTCAGCGCCCGTGGGGCTTGGCCTGAAGGCCTGAAAGAAAGCAGGTTATGGGATTCACATTCACAAGCGTGGCTGGGAATCCTACAGCCCCTGAAGGAGCGGGCAGGAGGCGCCCACACCAAGCACAGCTCTGCCTGGGTTGGCAGGTGGTGTGAGGCATCACCACTGAAAGTGTGGATTCTTCAGCAGTGAGAAAGACATCCCCTCCTCCCCCCCTCCCCCTTGTTGGCTCGACTGCCCCTCCTGGGTCCTGCAGCCCCTCCAAGCACCCCGCCCCCCGACCACCGCCAGGTCCCGGCTGGTCCCACTGCAGGCCCGCCTCAGCTTCCGGCGTGGCTGACCTCAGTCCACAGGGCCTAGCCTGGTCCCATGCGGGGACCTCAGGTTCGAGTCATTTCTTTCTGTTCATTTTCTTTTACAAAATGATCGCCATGACGAGTCCAGTTACCACCTGTCACCAAAGACATTACCTCATATTCCCCACACTGTACATTTCATACCTGTAACTCTTCTACTTTGTAACTGGGAGTTTGTACCTCTTAATTGCCCTCACCTATTTCTCTCCTCCCCCCATCCCTCTGGCAACCACCTGTTTGTGCTCTGTATCTGTGACTCTCTTTCTGTTTTGCTGTGTTTGTTCATGTGTTTTGCTTTTGAGATTCCACGTATAAGTGAAATCATACAGCATTTGTCTTTCTCTGTCTGACTTATTTCACTTAGCATCATATTCTCTAGGTCCGGCCATGTTGTCGCAGGTGGCAAAATTTCATTCTTTTTTATGGCTAGTATTCCATTGTGTATATACACCGCGTCTTCTTTACCCACTCACCTGTTGATGGGCACTTAAGTTGCTTCCACATCTTGGCAATTGTGAATAATGCTGCTGTGAACATAGGGGTGCACATATCTTTTGGAATCAGTGTTTTCATTTTCTTTGGATAAATACCCAGAATTGGAATTACTGGATGACAGGGTAGTTCTATTTTTCATTTCGTGAGGAGCCTCCAAACTGTTTTCCATAGTGGCTGTGCCAATTTACAGTCCCACCAACAGTGCATGAGGGTTCTCTTTTCTCCAAGTCATTTCTTTTTTTTTTCTTTATAAATTTATTATTTTTGGCTGCATTGGGTCTTCGTTGCTGCGTGCGGGCTTTCTCTAGTTGTGGCAAGCGGGGGCTACGCTTCGTTGTGGGGTGCGGGCTTCTCATTGCAGTGGCTTCTCTTGTTGCGGAGCAGGGGCTCTAGGGTGCGCGGGCTTCAGCAGTTGTGGCGCGCGGGCTCTAGAGCTCAGGCTCAGTAGTTGTGGCTCACGGGATCTAGAGCGCAGGCTCAGTAGTTGAGGTGCACGGGCTTAGTTGCTCCGCAGCATGTGGGATCTTCCCGGACCAGGGCTCGAACCCGTGTCCCCTGCATTGGCAGGCGGATTCTTAACCACTGCGCCACCAGGGAAGTCCCTCCAAGTCATTTCTTTTTACTCAAGCCTCTCAGAGGAGGGGTGGGGACCGTATAATTCTCAGCCCTTATGCTGGTGGAGGGCAGGAAGGACTCGCCGCAAGGCTGGAGGTCCTGAACGAACTGAGAACAAGCTTCAACTCTGGGGACTCAGTTGCTCAGTGAAATTATCAAGCGTGGCCAGCGCCCCGGGAAGGGCGGACAGCGGGGTGGGGAGTGCGGGTGCCATTGGGGAGGGGCCTGCCCTATGGGCCCGGGGTGGAGAGGAGTATGCGGGCACTAAGCCCTGGTCTTGGCTGCAGAACATCCACCTGGTGGCCCAGTGGCTGAGCACCCTGGACAAGAAGCTGGAGCGGTACAGCGTCGGCAGCCACGATGACTACCGCGTGTTCATCAGTGCCGAGCCGGCCCCCAGCCCCGAGTCCCACATCATCCCCCAGGGCATCCTGGAGAACGCCATCAAAATCACCAACGAGCCGCCCACGGGCATGTACGCCAACCTGCACAAGGCCCTGGACCTCTTCACCCAGGTAGCGTGGCCTCCCCCCGTGTCCCGTGCCTGGCCCAGCGTCAGCACCTGCCGGTTCTCTCCCACCCACGCCATCCCCAACGCGCACACACTCCTTGAGCCACAAAATGAACAGATCCCCGAAGGACTGTGCAAAATGCAAATGATCTAAAGTGCCTGGCGCACAGCTTCAAAGAGCAGAAGCGCGTATCATCCATCAGTTTCATGACCTGCACGTGAGGCCCGGTAAGTGTGGGCCGGGTCCACTGCTTGTCCGAGCACCTTAGGAAGGGGCCGAGCTCCCGAGGTGGTTCCCTGAGGGTCATTCAGCCTTGCTGGGGCCACAGTGCTGCCCAGACCCCTGCTCTCACTCCCCGTGAGACGCGATGCTGTGGGAAGGCCGGGTGCGAAGGGGATGGGGCCGCAGCGCCCGGCTGGAGGGCGGTGGTGACAGACGGGAGGGCGGTAGTGCCCGCCACACAGGTCTCCGTGCTCTGGTCCCGGGCCCAGTCTTCCTCCCTCGACAAGTAGGCCCCACTGCCTTGTGGAGGGACGCCGGGTGCCCTGGCCCTGCAGGGTGGGTAGGGGGGCCTCGGCTTGCCTGTCCACGCTGTGTCCGCCTGGACCTTTGTTCACGTGACTCCTCCCCCATCCAAACCTCCCAGTCCCCAACCTGCCAAGTGTGTAGCCTTCCCTGGCACCCCTGCTCCCCTCTGCAAATCCCCAGCATCTACGTCCATTCTTTTGGTACCTGATCTTCATCTGTTCTATACTAGAACTTTCTGGGTGCACGCATTTGGTCTCCCAAGTGAGTCTAAAACCGTTTTGAAGAAGAGACCCCATATTCTCTGATAACACCCAACAAAGATTATGTATGGAGCACATTGTGCCAATGTTGTGTAACGTCTATATCTGATTAATTTATGTGACAATATCTGAGTCATCCACTAACCTCTCCCTATGGGCTTAAAGGACCCACCAAGGTCAGAGTGTAAAGTCACAGAGAATGGAAAGCATGAAAACAGATGTGCAGACCGGGTCCTTCCTCCAAACAGTACGTCCGTGTGCCCAGGACGTGGTAGGCTCAGGGAACAGTGAACAAGACCCGTTACGCGGGTGACTGGCCTAGTCTGGTGAGGGGCGTGGACGCGTTCACAGGAGTGAGAACAGGGTGTGATGAACATGTGGGGACATGCACGGAAACCCCAGGGCGACGCAGCTCACACTGGGGGCCGCAGGCCAGTGCGGGGTCCCAGAGCTGTTTGCTTCTGTCTGTGCTGAGTCAGTACGGAGGTGGAGAGGAGGCACGCAGTGAATTCTGTAGCATTTCGACATCACTGTCAATCCGAGCACGTGATCCGTTTTTCATTTCTATCATATTTTGCTAGAATATCAGTCAGTGATGGAGTGGCGGAGGGTGGCGAGGTCGGCAGGAAGCTGGTCCCCCACTTGCAGGAGTCTGGGGCCTGCTCCAGGCCGCAGAGTGGCTCCCGAGCCAGGCTTGGCCGGGGGGTGGGTGTCGAGGTAGAGACAGCTGACGCCCGAGGGGCAAGCAACAGAAAATGCAAGAGCCTCTGAGCCCGGGGAGCAGCTCCCCACGGTGCGTGGAGCCCGCTGGGGCCTCTGGCAGGGGACGTGGGGGCCGGGAGGACGCGGACGGGCTGCTGGGCTTTGGGGAGATGCTCTGGCCGCTTGGAGTCAGCGGGAAGCGCAGTCGCTGTCGGGCAGAAGCGAGGTGGGGCTGCCCGGCTGAGGACAGGCGAGCGGGCACGTGGCCGGGGCTTGCTGAGGTGCTCGAGGGCTCCCTGACTTTGTGCATCACCTAAGGCATCTGCAAAGATCGGAAGGGAAGCCATGAGGAAAGCTGTTGCTTCCTGAGGGGACCATCCCAAGTTCGGGGGCCCACTGCCTTCACAGAGTTTCACAGGAAGAGGCAGTAGTGGCTGGGATGCGCCCAGACCATCCCCGGGCACATCTGTGACCACAGAGCCCAGAGGCCCGGGAGGCCAGTGATGAGCGGTCCAACCAGAGGGAAGTCTCTGGAGGCAGACGGAACCCACCAGGCCTTCCCTCATCCTCGGGCCTGGCGGGTTCCTCCCTCTGGTTGGCGGTCTCAGTCTGCACCCTTTCACGGCCAATGTCTGGAAGGGTCCAGCCAGGCCTGTCTCCTGGGCCCACAGCTGACAGGTGACGGCGCCGTCTCTAGGACAGGCATTGAGGAAGGATCTGGGGGGGATGTTGGGGTGATGGAGCCTCCATCTGTGCCCCTCCCTTTCCATGTTTGCTGGAGGGGACCCCAGCCGGGCATCTGTGTCAGGGCTTCCATGGAATCAGGACAGGGCCCCTCCCTTGTTACACCTTGTGTATTTTTTCCTGGCACTTTTCCCGATGATGACCATTTGATAGGCGTCTGTCCCCTGGTCCAGCTTTCTGGCTGCCGTGCCTGCGGCCCCCGGCCACTGGGAGGCACTCATAGGGCTGAGCGGGTGAAGAGGAGCCCAGCTTAACTTCCAGAAGCCCCTGTGTTCAGAGGCACCCACTTAGCAAAGACTAATCCGTTAAAGTCGCACAAACCCAGAGAGAACTGGGCTTCAGAATTTGGGCTGGGTTGGCCTTTCCCTGGGGCCACCTGCTTTCAGAAAGGCTTTCCTCAGCATCCCCTCCTCCCTTACAGATCGTTTTTGGCGAGTTTGGGGTACTGCTTGCGTGTAGGTGATGAGGAACGTTGATAATTGCGGGGGAATTGTATTGGGGAGTATTTTATTGGGAAGGTGTATCAATAATTTGACTTGTAACCAATACTTAGAGTGGTACAGCTGCATTTCTGGAGGAAGCAAGGACAAGAAAGCGTCCTCTACCCGACTCTACAGGTCGGGAGAGACTCGGGAAACCGGCTCAGAGCAGTCGATGGCCTTAGGCCCCACCCCTCATCCCCACCTGCACCCCCAGCGAAGCAGCTGGCAAAGACGGCCCTGGTCCTGCCCCGGCCGTCTGTGCGGACCCTGCCTGACCCGCGTGCCTGCCCTCCCGCAGGACACACTGGAGATGTGCACCAAGGAGATGGAGTTCAAGTGCATCCTCTTCGCCCTGTGCTACTTCCACGCCGTGGTGGCCGAGAGGCGCAAGTTTGGGGCCCAGGGCTGGAACAGGTTGTACCCCTTCAACAACGGGGACCTCACCATCTCCATCAACGTGCTCTACAACTACCTGGAGGCCAACCCCAAGGTAAGGACCCACCTGGAGCCCAGCTGGGTGGTCCTCCCGCCCTGCCTTCCTTTCAATTATTCTGTCTCACGTTTAAGAGACACTGAATAGGTTTCATAGGCCAAAGAAAATCTGAAAACGTGCGAATCCTCTGTGACCCCAGCCATCTGATATAATGGTTACCACCCAGGCCCTGGCCACCACCTCCAGCAGTTCTCAGCCGTCTGGCAATTTTTCTAACTCCACGGGAGTCAGTATCTTTGGGGACCTGCCAGTCCTGCACCCGAACAGCGACTCCCCAAGAAAGGCCAGCCCCCCGGACAGCGTGAGCCGAGAGAAGATACCAAAGGGCTGCCTGGGCTGCAGGCCTTGCCGACAGAACGCAGGTTCAGAGGGAAGGCCAAAAAAAAAATCTCCCTGGAGACACGGAACGCTTCCTTTCATTTGTGTTGAAAATTAAAACCAGTGTGTCCAGTGCCGTGCAAGCTGTTGCGAGGGCTGCTGCGAGGCGGCTCCGTGGCCGGGAGGGCCTGTCTGCGGGCCCAGAGGGGAGACTCGCGCCCCAGGTGGGGTGAAGCCCGCTGCAAGCCCCCCTCCAGATGTGGCCACCCCCTCGGGAACTTAGAGCCGGCCGTTCTCCCCACCTGACATGGCTCCTCTTGGGATCTTACGTGGAGCGTGGCGCTGGCACAGGACCCATCTCCGTGACCCCCGTGGGAGGCAGAAGGGAACCCCGTAAGCCCAGGGCTCCTCCGTGCTCCTGCGGCCGGCACCTTCCTACACCGACAGAGCTTGACGTTCCGCTTACCCAGGAGGCTCCCGAGAACCTGCCCAGGGTGCCCGGACACACCCCTGTGTCACCCGCTCCCTGCCCCAGCACCCCAGGGCCAAGGCACCCGCCGCTTTGGGGCTCGGTGGGCGCCCCAGGGGCCTGGCTAGAGGCCTGAGGCTCACACACCCCCTCCAAGCTTTGGGGACTGAGCAACCAGGGGCGGAGGGTGTCCCACCCATCGTAACAAAGCTCAGATGCACTGGGAGGAGAGACCTGGGCCAGCTGCCCCCAGACCCCAGAGGAAGACGACCCCCCGGGACGGCCACCACCCCAGCCTGAGCCTGGAATGTTGTTGGCTTAGTTCCTGGCCAAACACAGGAAGTCGGCCCTCCTCAGGGGAGGGGAACAGTGGTCTCCATGGGCAGGTGCCGGGGGTCACTTCGCCTACGACAGGGTCTGAGCTGAACGCCAGTGGCACATCTTACAACACGCGCACAAGTAAATAAATGCAAGAAGATGTGAAGAAAGAATTTCCTCATCACAGCAGCTTCGTCAGAGCAGTTCTCTCTGGGGAGATTCCAGTGGGAGGAGCAGTCTTGCTAGAAGTTTCTAACGACATTTACGCAGACGCTTCCCTCGTTACACACCCACAGAACCCTAGCTGGGTAAGAAACTGCTCGAGAACGCACACCGTGTGCTCCAGTGACCAGCGGGGTGAGGTGTGAGTGACACTCGGTGTCCCGCTCAGCAGTGTGTGATCAGGCCGGGGCCCCAGGCCTGCACAGCCTGACCTTCCCTTTGTCCCAGCTCGCGGCGGGGAGGCAACGTTGAATAACCTCCTGTGAGGATGTCGCCCTCGGCCCGCAATGAGCCAGTCCATCCTCCCGACTCTGAGGAAGTCGACTCAGACTCTGAGGGCGAGGCCTGGCAACGTGTCTCTGACAAGCGCTCTGGGGACTCCATCCAGCAAGTGCGGGCACACAGACGGCACCCACCCCCCAGGGGTTAGTCCCACTGGCCCGCATCCCAGGAGGCAGGTCATGGGGCCGGAGAGGCAGACTGGGGTGTACCCAGCCCTACTTTGCAGGAGAAACAGAAGCTGTCCCCGAAGCAAATACGCAAAATGCAGAAAAGGCAGCTCGGCACATACCCAAGATAACTAAACAGAGAGAAAGAACGCAAGTCACAAGATGACGATTGAGAGGATATTAATGGTTTGTTTTGTTTTGTTTATTTATTTATTTATTATTTTTGGCCACGTTGTGTCTTCGTTGCTGCGCTCGGGCTTCCTCTAGTTGTGGCGAGCGGGGGCTACTCTTTGTTGCGGTACACGGGCTTCTCATTGCAGTGGCTCCTCTTGTTGCAGAGCACAGGCTCTAGGCGTGCGGGCTTCAGTAGTTGCAGCACGTGGGCTCAGTAGTTGTGGCTCGCGGGCTCTAGAGCACAGGCTCAGTAGTTGTGGTGCACGGGCTTAGCTGCTCCGCGGCACGTGGGATCTTCCCGGACCAGGGCTGGAAGCCGTGTCCCCTGCATTGGCAGGCGATTCTTAACCACTGCGCCCCCCTGGGAAGCCCCGATATTAATGTTTTAAGTCAAAGTTCATGAGAGCACATCAGACACTTGATAAATCAGCAAGTTCTTATCCAATTAACTTCAACTTGCCTGCATTTGGTAAACAGCGGCCATCCAGGCAGGGCACCGTGGGAGTTACGTAAATGCCCACCTTGCCCTCAAACAGCCACAATCCTCGGAGAAACGTGTGTGCGCGCGCTATGCTGCCCAGCGCGTCAGCTGCCACCACACGTGACATGCAGCAAGTCCCAGCGGAGGGGAACGAAAGACACTCTGGATTTCAGAAGCTTGGTCTAAAACAAAAAAAGAACGTAAAATACCTTATTCATAGTTTTTATGCTGAGTGCCTGTTGGAACACTCTTTCTACTTAAGTGGCTGCTGGCAAATCTGAAGTTACGTGCGTGGCTGCCCCGTGTGGCTCCCGCTGCTGGACAGCGCCGTGCAGGAGGTGCGGCTACGTGCTGGGACCAGGGCGGGAGAATGGGTTCCTGGCTCTGTGGAGGGGCCGCACTCGAGCCGCTCTGGAGGAGGAGCACGGTCATGGCCATGTGGTGGCCAAAGGAGCGGCATCCCAGGCTGAGGGCACAGCGTGGAAGCAGAGGCAGAACAGAGAGCATGGCCAAGGGTGGGATGCACGGAGAGACCCGGCCGCCAGGGGGCGCACTTGTGTGCACTGCCCGGTTTGGTCCGGTTCCCTCGGGCCCGGGAGCCAAGGTTCTGGCGGGGAGGCTACTTGCTGGAGCTGGCTGTGCCACCGAGACCTCGGGGGCACGCGTGGGCAAGGCTACTGGAGTATAATCGGAACCAGGGCCCTTTGGGGGATCAGAAGGTAGACCCACTCGATAGATCCTGAAGGCACGATGAACTGGACGTGATTCATGGCCAGAAAGATCTACGGTGCCCAAGAGCCCATCCACAGAGTTACCGCTCTTGCTGGAGACGGCGGTTAAGGGAAAGGTCACAGGTGGCTCCACACTTCCATTTCCAAGCGTGGGGAACAAAGGGGGCACGGGCAGAGGGAGCATGTGGGAGCTGGGGGGAGGGCCTGCGGGGTCTGCAGTGCCGGTGCTGGGGTCGGGGAGGTCACGTCAAGGGAGAGCGCAGAGAAGAGGGGCGGGCACAGGGCCGGGCCGTCCTGGCTGGGGGTGGGGTGGAGGCAGGGGAAGCCGGCAAGCCCCTCGTGCGAGGAGCCCCGCAGGAAGAGGGTCAAGGAGGAGCTGGTGGCCGAGTCAGGGGGCAGGAAGGGCCAGGCTTGGGCCTGGTGACCGAGGGTAGCAGGTGACCCTGCAGACCTGGTGGAGGCAGGGGTGACAGGAGGGGCTGGCAGACCCAGGAAGGGGCGGGGCACACGGTCCCCTGACGGCCGCCGCCCTTCCGAAGGTGCCCTGGGACGATCTCCGCTACCTCTTTGGGGAAATCATGTACGGCGGCCACATCACCGATGACTGGGACCGCCGGCTCTGCAGGACGTACCTAGAGGAGTACATCCAGGCGGAGATGCTGGAGGGAGAGATCCTGCTGGCCCCGGGCTTTCAGATCCCCCCGAACCTGGACTACAAGGTGAGGGCTCCTTCCAGGGATGGGTAACACATTAAACATGAGCTCCCTCTGTGACGCAAAGCAACAGAGGTCAGTGCCGTCCCGCAGACTCCCTGGCGAGAGCCTCTGTCGCAGATGGACCACCAATAATCAAGCAAGCAGACAGGCAACCCAAGTAAGAGGGCTTGAAAGGCAGCCTCCATGGAGGAGAGTGGAAACCTCCTCTGTGTGGCTGGGGAGCAGCCCCAAAAGGGGGGTCAGGGAAATGAGATTTGGTACAGAGGGCAAGACGTGGACAGAACGTTCTGGGAAGCGATGCTTAATAAACGGAGGACACGGGTTCCAGCTCACACAGCTCTCCCTGCTTACCCGCCCCCCCCCCCCTTTTGCAGGGTTACCACGAATACATCGACAAGAACCTGCCCCCCGAAAGCCCCTGCCTGTATGGCCTGCACCCCAATGCAGAGACTGGCTTCCTGACGGCCACCTCGGAGATGCTGTTCCGCACTGTCCTGGAAATGCAGCCCAAAGAAACCGGGTCGGGAGCCGGCGGCACCGGGGTATCTCGCGAGGAGAAGGTAGGAGCCTGACTACCCATCCGGCAACAGAGGAAGGGCAGGGCCTGGGACACGGGGGCACAACTACCGGCAGCAGCCCCTGGGAACTTGTTAGCAACCCCATCGGGCCCCACTCCAGACCCCGGGATCAGGAACTCAGGGGGAGGGGAGCCTGCAAGCGGGCTGCTGCAGCCCAGACGGAGCACCAAGTGCTGAGCTAGAGAGAGGCGGGGCGTCTCCGCGTACTCGCCCGAGCAGCCTCCCTCCCTGCGGCTCCTCACTTCCCTGGCTGGGCTCCCGAGAGGGCCTGCCCTTCAACCCTGCCCCGCGAACACAAGGGCAGCAGCCAAAGGCCTGGGAGGGCAGTGCATGTGGCTCAGGCAGGGCAGTCTAGACGCTTAAGCCAGTCCCTCCAGATGTGCTTAGGTGAGCACGGCGGACAGATCCTATGAACACCCACCGCAAGAGCACGGCGCAGACAACGTAAGAGCATTTAATAAATTCCCCAGCTGCCAGGGTTACCTCTGCCGTCTCAAGAGGCAGCGGCACCTTGGCACTTCTTAAAATATTCCCGACAAGCTCTACTAAAAATTAGCTAAGTATTGGGCTTCCCAGTTAAGTAGACCAAATTCTTGATTGGAAGACTCTCAGTGCTCTGAGGCCCCTTGCCATTTTCTTTGTGTAATGACTGAAACCAGAGATCAGTAGGTGCTCTGGTGGCCGTGGTGCTCGTGACCACCATGTGGGCCACCCCTTGAGAGGGTGTGTCCCGCACAGTCCCTGCAGACAGCCCACACCAAGGACAAGGTGATCTGATGGGGGAGGGAAGCAGTGCATCCAGGGATGTCTGAAGGCACCAGGCTAGGGCAGCCTAATGCTCCCGTGGCCAGAGCCATACGGCCGTGACAACGAAGCCAGAACACTAAAGCCGGATGGCCAAGATTACCTTCACCCTGATCAGACGCGGGGCTGCACCTCCGTGATCCCGTTTTTCTGGCAACTCCACCTGCCTTGCTCCTGGGCTCGGGGTTGAACGTCGGGGCAGCACCCGGGCCCTGGCGCTGGGGGAGGGCTGGGGGTGCGGGCGCAGTGACACGGGCTGGCTGGGGGCTGGCTTCCAGGTGAAGGCCGTGCTGGATGAGATCCTGGAGAAGATCCCGGAGACCTTCAACATGGCCGAGATCATGGCCAAGGCCACCGAGAAGACCCCCTACGTGGTTGTCGCCTTCCAAGAATGTGAGAGAATGAACGTCCTGACCAACGAAATGCGCCGCTCGCTGAAGGAGCTGAACCTGGGGCTGAAGGTAAAAACGTGGGTGGCAGGACCCGGGGTGTGACTTGGGACGCGGGCTGGCCACCGCAGGCTGACTTCCCTTGGCCACAAGACCAACAAGCCCCAGGCCGCTGGGCCTCGGCACCTCGAGCTCCCCGGTCTGGAGGAGTGGGCACCTCAGGGCATCTGCAGATGCATCCAGGTGGCCATGGACGCCATCTGGACTGTTCCCTGGCAGGAAACCCTGGTGTGGCCACCACAGGGCATCTGCAGGGGCACTGCACAGACCCACGTCAACTCACGACACAGGGTGGGGGCGGGGTGGGGGGGCTCGCCCACCTGAGAGCAGGTGAAACAAGGCATAGGACTGACCGGGTCTGCACCTGTGCCGAGCGCCCCAGCACCCGTCTGCGTGTCCCTCAGGGAGAACTGACCATCACGACCGACATGGAAGACCTGTCCACGGCTCTGTTCTATGACACTGTGCCCGACACGTGGGTGGCCCGGGCCTACCCCTCGCGGATGGGCCTGGCGGCCTGGTACGCCGACCTGCTGCTCCGCATCAGGGTAAGGACGGGCTTCTGGGGAGCCGCTGGCCTGACTGTCAGCAAACCTGCCCCCAGGGCCTGAGGAGTGAGGCTTGGAGGCGGGGGGGAGACATGCATCCCCGTCAGAGGCCTGGAGGCCCCTGCTGGCCTGGCCTTGGTCAGAGCACAGCCGGAAGGGCCTGGGCCACACCACGAGCACGCAGGCCCGACAACGCAGGAACTTCCTCCCCGAAGGAAGAAAAGGGCCAGCGCGAAGCAAGAGCAGCTTCTGTGGCCACAGATGCAGAGGCCCTCCCAGCAGAGCCCAGGAGGCTCCAGGGACACCTGTCGCGGGAGCCACCTCCTGGGGGAGAAAGAGAGCAGCAGCCTCTTTCAGACCCAAATCCTCAATCGTGAGCCCCCCTCCTGGACCCTGCTCTCCCCGTCCAGACCGTGAAGGGGCGTCTCGGGCAGGCGGCCATCCTCTGCGCAGAGGCGGGGAGGCTCTAGCACGGCCCCACTCCCATCTCCTCCAGGAGCTCGAGGCCTGGACGATGGACTTCACACTGCCTACCACCGTGTGGCTGGCCGGCTTCTTCAACCCGCAGTCCTTCCTCACGGCCATCATGCAGTCCATGGCCAGGAAGAACGAGTGGCCACTGGACAAGATGTGTCTGTCTGTGGAGGTGACCAAGAAGAACCGGGAGGACATGACCGCGCCCCCCCGGGAGGGCTCCTACGTGTACGGGCTCTTCATGGAAGGTAACAGGCACTGGCAGGGGAAGCACCAGGGGCACGTGGGCTCACAGTGGCCTGAGGAGCCCAACCACACACCGGCATCCGCTTGGCTCTGCTGCGGTGCAGGCTCGTCCGCAGACCTGAGCCCCCATTTTGAGGCCATGAGGAGCTCAGCCCTGGAGCCCAGGACAGGCATACGTTCTGGGGGTGAGGGTCCAGGAGCCCACCTCTGTCAGGGCTACTGTCCAACCACCGCACCCCCGCAAGGCACAGGTTCAAGGGCGGGGAGGCCCGGCCGGCCCCCTCCCCTGAGCCGAGCCCAGTGCGAGGCCATCACATGGCCAGGTCCCAGCAGCGGGGGGGCGGGGGCGGCACAAGGCTGGCACTCATTCAGTTCCACCCACGTCGCCCCTGTCCCGCACCGGGCGAGGTCAGACAGGACCGGCCAGCAGACCCGCTCTGAGTTGAGTGCCAGCGACTCCCCCACCCCCCCCCCCCCCCCCCCCCCCACCCGATCCCCCCCCCCCCCCCCCCCCCCCCCCCCCGTGCCCACATCACCGAAGACGAGCAGAGCAGCAACCATTCTCCGTGTTTATTTTGGAATTACAGACAGGAAACCTAAGCATCGTTAAATAGGGTGAGCAGAAATAAGTCTGGTTCAAGGCAGTAACAGTTGTATGTGCATATACATATTTATACTGCAGGTGCACGTAGGACAGTCGCTACAGAGGGAGGGAAGCAGGGAGTTTAGTCTGTCATTTTCAGCTGGAGTTATGATTTCCTGCCATTGAAACGAAGAAGGCTGACACATGAGGCTCTGAAACCGCCACGCACGTAGACAATGGAGCCCAGCGCTTTAGGGCCGATCTGTCCCTCGGAGGCAGAGGCAGTCACGCCGTGCACACGACCCCCACCCCGTCCTCTGCCTACAGCCCCCGCCCCCCGCAGCAATTCCTGTGCAGTCCAGGCCCTGGCACCTGGCCTATCTCTGCAGGGGTGCGGGTGCAAGCCAGGCCCCTCCCCTCCCCCACTGCCAGCACGAAAGACGGGAACCGGGAACCAGTCACCTCACCCTGGGCCACCCTGACCCTCGGCTGTGCTGTCCCTGCAGGAGCTCGCTGGGACACCCAGATGGGAGTCATCGCCGACGCGCGGCTGAAAGAGCTGACGCCGGCCATGCCCGTCATCTTCATCAAGGCCATCCCTGTGGACCGCATGGAGACCAAGAACATCTATGAGTGTCCCGTGTACAAAACACGCATCCGCGGCCCCACCTACGTCTGGACCTTTAACCTGAAGACCAAAGAGAAGGCTGCAAAGTGGATCCTGGCAGCCGTGGCGCTGCTCCTACAGGCCTAGCTGGAGCCCCGGGTCCCGCCGTGAGGCCCATGCTGCCCGGCGCCAGGTCCTGACCGCAACTTCAAATTTACAGTTAGAAACTCAGCCTTGCAACTATCGCTTATTTTCACAGGAGCTGATGATCGCTTTTTTGTTCTCCTAAATAATCGAGGCACTTTATAGCCATGCACATCGAGACTAGCCAGAGGGTGGAGGGCAGCCTGGGAGAGGGGGTGTGGATGGGATTAAAACAATGAAGCCACTGAGCCAGGTCTGTCTGATTCACTTGAGCCAGCCTTCAGCCTGATGGCCACCAGGGGCCTGGCACAGGCTTAGGGGTGAGGCCCCAATTCCCAGCAGCCAGGGGAGCATCCCAGGAACCAAACCCCCAAATCCTGACTTCCCACAGGGTCAGCTGGGTTTATCTTTTCCCACGGGTGGCATGTAGGGTTAGAGCTGGAGGCAGCCACACCCTTGCCTGATGCTACCTGCAAACACCCACCACTAAGGGCCAGGGTGTTCCATCCCCATGCACCATCCCCGTGCAAACAGGAGCGGCCACTGCCACAGGCACTGTCCCCTAAAGCACTATTCCTTCTCTCAAGCAAGAAAACCTCCCTCGATTATGGTAATGCCGCCTCCCTGCCCCAGAATTCTGAAAAGCCAACTATTCGGAGGGGCCATTTCCATACAGCTCAAGTGCTTCCCTGTCAACTGCCCACTTTCTGAGATTGCTGGGAACGGGAGGGACCACTTTAAACACATGTCTGTGTCCTGGGAGGTCACGATAAATGGTCGTCCCCTCTTAGTTCTGGGCAGTATCTTCGTTGTCTTTTGCCTCCCTCCCCTCTCCCCACCGTCAGTTCTCACTTCCTGCCACCAGACAAAGTAGACTTTAAAACAAAGTCTACAATAGTAGACAAAGAAGGGCATTATATAATGATAAAGGGATCAATACAAGAAGACAATATAACGTTCATTAAACGTATATGCACCTAATATAGAAGCACCTAAACGTACAAGGCAAATATTAACAGATGTAAAGGGAGAAACTGACAATAACACAACTAATAGCAGGGGACTTTAACACCCCTTTAGATCAATGGAGACAGATCATCCAGAAAATCAATGAGGAAACAGCAGTCTCACGTTAGTGACACGTTAGGTCAGTTGGACTTAATAGATAACTAGAGCACATTCCATCCAGAAGCAGAAGAATACACACTCTTTTCAACGTTCACCAGGATGGATCACGTGCTAGGCCACAAAACAAGACTTGACAGATTTAAGGGTACAGAAATTATATCAAGCATTTTTTTCCAACCACAACAGTATAAAACTAGAAAGCAATTCTAGGAAGAAAAACGGGAAAAATACAAACACACGGAGACTAAACAACATGCTACCAAAAAAAAAAACAATGGGTTACTGAAGAAATCAAAAAGGAAATCAGAAAATACTTCGAGACAAACAAAAATAAAAATACAACTTTCCAACATCTATGGGATGCAGCAAAACCAGTTCTAAGAGGGAAGTTCATAGCGATACAGGCCTACCTCAAAACAAGAAAAATCTCAAAACAACCTAACCCACCATCTAGGAATTAATTAGAATTAGAAAATGAAGAACAAACAAAGCCCCAGTCAGCAGAAGAGGGACAACTGCTCAGCAGCCAAGACACCCTGACTTCCAAAAAGGTGAGCTTGTCCGCAGGCACTACGCCCCAGGGCTGCACGCTGCAGCACCGCAGTGGGCACAGGGAGGCCAGGGCACAGGCGACAGGCGCACGTGCGCGCGCCAGCAGGGAAGGGACCAGAGGTGGCCCGCCTCATCCGGCCTCATTCTGTGAGCTCCTGCTCCAAGGGGAGCAGGTGGCTACCGCGGTGCTGGTCCCAGGGCTGCCCTGGGCCAGGCCCCCATCTGACGGACCCCGGTAATGGGTGCAGACAAAATGAGACGACGATGAACTGGGAAACCAGGGGTACAGGAAGGCAGCTAGCAGGGCCCACAGACTCCAGCGGGGGCCCATAGGCTGGCACCTCGGTGTTTTCTAGCTTCAAAGCAGAGTAAAGCAAGCACCACGCCACCGCCCCACACACACACCTGGCCTCCTCCTAAGTTCAACTTGATGCTGAAGTAGTTTTGTGAAAACTTTTTCCAAGTATTCACCCAATCCATGGGTGAAGAGGAGGTCCTAGAAGCCCTAACTCCGAGGCCAATAATTTACAACAATCCTGGGGCCTGATGGGGCTAAGAGAGAGAAGGAAAAACGCCCCTCAAATCCTCCCTCCCTGGGGCCTAGAGAATCCACCCCTTTGGAAGGCAGGAGTCCTGCCCCCAGAACCTGGCCACCGGGCAACCACCTCTGTCGGCCAGGAGGGGTCACTATAGCCCTTCGTGTCCAGGCTGGAGGGCCAGGAGAGCCACCACTCTGACTGGAGGACATAAAACTGCCAGTGGCCACCAGGCAACTCATTTTAATCCCTGGTAATAACCACAAAATGGGGAGATTTTCCAGTTTTGCCTTTAGAGCCTGAAATAAAACATTTATTCCACACTCTACACACTGTGGGTAGATGACAAAATTCTCTTCGAACTTTGCGAGAGATGATTCACCTTGCTTGGAGTTGCAGAGCCTGGGACAAAAGCTATGCTGCGTCTGAAGGTGCCGTGACGCCCGCAGCAGTCCTGGTGGGTGGAAGGGTAGGAGCCCTGGCTGGAGCCAGCGCCCGGGGTGGGGGGAGAAGGGAGGGCCCCGCCCAGGACCATCCCAAAGGCAACCGGCAGAGACAAAGCGAGCAGCTCGCAAAGGGGGCAGCCACGGGTTGCTCAAGCCCGGCAGCGGCACAATGCTCGCTCTGGCCCCACACCATCGGCAGGAATGCAAACGCCGTTTACCGAAAGCCTCTCTCCAAACGGGAACCCAGTGCCCGGCACAGGCACACTCTTTTGGCTTCCCTCCTCTCACTGTCCCACAGGACAATTTAATAACTGGTTTGGAGGCAAACAGTGTTAACTGATGGGCCACTGCCCCCAGGCAGTGTGGTGTGGCCACTGCTCCACCCAACTCCCCACCACAAAAGCCTGCAGATCTGCCCAGGCCCAGGGGAGGGGCTGACGAGGTGCTCCCGGCACCGGCGCCCCACGCACACAGCAAGATGGCGCGGGCTAGGCCAGCCACGGCCTCCCAAGACCCACGGACGAACGCGACCATTGGAGCCGCCAGCCCTTTGGAGGGAGACACGTGAAGCTGCCTCCAGAGCAGGTGGGCAGGGATGGAATCCCGTCTGCTGCCCCCAGCCCCAAGGATGAGCTGCCATGCCCTGGGGCTGCGGGGCCTTCTCGCTGGGCAAGGTTCAAGCCCCTGAAGGCCTGGGGACTGGGCGGGGGGCTCTGAGATCTGCTCTGGGGGCTGCGCAGGAGCACACGGGTAGATCTCAGAAAGAAACACAGGTCAGAGAGTCAAAAGTGGCTGCTGGGGGAAGGAAGGGCAGCTGCATCTTGCTGGCCTTTCGGTATTATTTTACTCTCTAAATTCGCATGTTATTTGAATGAAATTTAAAGTAATTAAAATGCTGAGAAAAAAATGAAACAAATAAAACTTTTTAAAGTGAGGCTGAAAAGAGAACCATGGTACCAGGCCGCAGGGGACGCAGGCCGCACACAGTGCCAACGCGGACGACGCTCGGCCGGCCGCTCAACCCTTTATCCTTGTCCTCCCGCCTCCTCCTCTCCCTTCCCCACAGGCCAAAGGCCCAACCATTCCCATCCCCCCAACCCCCTAGCGTGGGCTGGACCAGCAAAGTCCGGCCCAGAACATCCCACCCAGGAGACTGACCCCATCTGGGGCCACACGGCGGGGAGGTCAGGGTCTAAAGGGATCTGAAACACACAGGGTGACTCAGGAGAGACCCCACCTCCGACGGCAGCTGCACCCTGGCTGGCCTCCCGGCGTCCGAACAGCCAAGGGGCAGCTCAGGTGAGGCCTCGTCTCGTCCTCCCGTGGGACACGGCCAGAGGCCCGGCCGCCCGGGGAAGGCTCCTGGGCGGGCAGGGCACGTCCTGCTACCAGCTGCCAGCACGGCAGCATCTCACCTCCGCAAGCGCACGTCACAGAAACGTCAGGGAGATGAGGCAGCAGCCCCGGGGCCTCTCATGCTGGCAGCTGCAGCGGCCCAGGGCCGCAAGCCAGGACGGTCCCGACCAAGAGCGCTGCCCCTCCGCTCCCACTGCCTTCGGAACGGCGTGCTCAGCGGCGAGGAGGGGGCGCAGAATCTACCTCCGTACCCGGTGGCCACCAGGCCCTCACCCCAGGGCCGCCTCCGGCCCCCGGGGACGGGAGAGCATTAGTGGGCCCCACAATGCTGACCGCACCACAGCCCCAGGACGTGGCAGAAGGTAAGAGGGCTGCCTCACTTAGCACCAGGCTTCCAAAACCTCCACAACCACCCACGAGCCCAGACATACACCCCTGGACATGTAACCAAGAAAGGACGAAAGGGCCCTGGAGTCCCTGCGAGAGGCCCCGGGGACCCCCGCTGGGGGGAGCCCCCTGTCCCTCTAGTGACCCCCTGGGAAACCGCACTGGGCCGGCCTGGTAGTCAGTACCTGCTGTCCTCAGAAGAAGTTCTTAATCAGCGGAGTCACCATCTTCACCCACAGCTTCACCTGCCGGCTCGGCTGCTCAAAGGTGGCAGAGGACACCGCACCAGACCTCAGGTAGAGCTGCGCCTGCTCCTGGGGAAAAGGGGCAGACAGGGGTTAGGGGTCGGCTCCAGCACCGGTGACGCGGCCCGCCGGCCCAGGGGCTCCGTGGGGGCCCCAGCGCAGGTCGCCCCTCTACACATTCCTTAGAAAAGCCAAGAAGCCAGTGTGCTTCAATTTTTAAGACCAAGCAAGACGTGTGTGGGACAGGCAATTTAGAGTTGAAGAAATACAGCTGGTGGAAAAAATATTTAAAAGCTCGTCCTCACTAAATGAGGTAGTGCCAACTAAAATAATGAGATTTTCTTTAAATGAGACAGTTTTTTCTTCTCTCAAACTAGCAAAAAGTTGTTTTGCAACATCATCGCCCTCTGCTGACGAAGGCCGAGGGAACAGGCACTCCCGGACATGCTGATGGGATGAATGGAAAGGGGGTTCGCATCATCTGTCTGTAGAGCAATTTGGCAATAAGTACCAAAAGCCTTATAAAGCTCCACTTGCAAGAGTTTATCCCGAGAAAATAACTGTGCACTAAGATCCCTGTGTACTGATATTTATCACACCAACATTTATGACAGAGAAAACCTGGAAACCCCCTAAATGTCCACCAACCAGCTAATTAAATATAATAAACCCATATGACAAATCAGCATTCACCATAAGATAATCATACTCTAGAAAAACATTTACTTAACAATACGGGAATGTGCGCAAATACATTAAGTGAAAGAAGCTGGATATGAGTTAACATACACAATATAATCCTACTTTCCTTAAGAAGAAAAAAACAAGTTACACGTCTCCATACGCACACAGAACAAGACAGACAAGGAGCAATCAAAACGATTTCAGTGACTCTCTCTGGATGAAAGGTTTAGCGTCTTGTAACTTTTCTCGATTCTTACAATGAACGATTCTTACATATTTAAAAACAAGTTAAAAAGCACTGATAGAAGCCTCATCTTAAATTGTGTTTAGAATCTTTGAGAGGAAAAACTGCCTCTTTTTAAAACATTACACCCTACAAGTGCTGTGCTTCCTTAATAAGGTATCGAGGCTTTCAAAGGGCAAAAGGCAGCAGTCAGGGGATGTGATTCTGTTTCCACCACCAGGAGTGGTGACATCCCTCTCTGAACCTCCTGTCCCTTTAATCTATAAAATACTGACTTAACCCACACTATGGTGAGGATCCACCAACGCTGGCTTTGCAAACACCCTGTCCACTGCGGGACCAGGAGCCCCAAGGGGACAGTGGATGCCGCCGCACCATCCCACTGGGAGCTGGACGCTCTCTTCTCCGGGGGCAGGAACGGAAACCACGTCCCTGGCAAACTCCTCTGACCCAGTGAGGACAGGGGATGAAGGACACCGCACCCTCCAGGACACTACAGAATTTGCCCACAGCTCTCCCCAGCACGGGCTGGGGCGATCCAGTGCCCGACTTCACATCTTCCTGCACATTTTTTGCGCTCACTCCCTTGTGAGTGGGTGCTCCCAGGGCCGGGGTCCCTGGCGCTTCAGGTCCGAGCAGACTTTGCCGGCCGCCCGCTGACCATGGCTGGATGGGCCTCATGGAGGAGCCAGCCTCGGTCTCGGAGGGCTGCTTTGCAGAAGTTTCCACAGACCCGGCTCCAGCTTTATGTTTTCCAATGAATACACAGCCAAGATTTCAATTAAATTACCAGAAACACTTAAGTCTCCTCACAGACTCCACACGGGGATGGAGAAGGAAGTCAGCTGGTCGAGGTTACAATGCTGTTCAAGGGAGTCTTTCTTAGGTCACAAGTGGTAAACCGTGTCCTCTGAACAAAACCAGGAAGCTTTCAGTTTTTATTGTACGTACTAAGTGAAGGGAGGGACTTCGGATTTGGATAAAAATATCTCCCCACTCTGGTGCCCAGTGTGACATGAACAGGGCCCTTCCCTGGGTCCCCAGGAGGACTCCAGAGGCAGCTTCTGAGAGCAGGGACCCAGGCAGCCGGGGTTTCAGGGACTTTCTGGGCTCGGGGAAGGTTGTGTGGCTGGGCAGTCCCAGCATCGGGCATCGTATGGGCCTCTCCAGAGGGTGGCTGCAGTCCCAGTATTTAATAGGTGGAGTTATCCAGAAATGCATTTTTGCATTTCAAAGGCACAGAAATCAACGTGCCTCTAAAGAACGGAAGGACTGCAGTGGCATGAACTGTCACCCTCCCACCATCAAAAGCCGCTGGGATTCAGGTTTGGGAAGAAAAACAAAATATCCCAAATATGTCATTTGGGAAAGCAGCTCCTGACCACAACCGGCCTAGCTTTTCTCAGATCCAGGATGTGGGTTCAGTCCCCTTACTCAGGAAGTGGGGGAGAGTGGCCAGCACCAGGACCCTGGGCAGAGACTTGCTCCCCCAAATCAGCCCAGACCCACAGAGACCTGGTCCTCGCCAGAGGCCACGTTCACACTGACCACTCGCTACCGTCTGAGGAAACCCAGCTCTCAGCAACCGAGGCAAAAGTCCAGGAGACCCCACTGTTCCTCTCAACCCAGCCCGCTCTGAGGCCGGCCGGCCCCTACTGGAACCTCCTCGGTCATTTGCTGGAAGCCTCACCATAGCATCTGTGATCTGCTGACCAGATCAGATTCTCCCGCTGGCCACCCAGAGCCCAACCGCTGCCACTTCCTCTCAGCCCTGGTCGTGAAGCCCTTCCCAGCACCAAGGCCCCACTCAGTCACTGACAAGATTCCCAGATTGCAGGAGGCAGATCCCGGGGAACAAGGCAGTTACCATTTCCTCGTCCATCAACAAAGGCTCCAACAATTTCGCAACAGTAGTTCCCAAACACAAGAATAAAAGCTTAACTCAGTCTACACGCTTCTGAGGGCTGGCCTACAGCAGTGTTATCTACATTCCCATGACTCAGGAGGGAAGCTGGCACCTTCCCTGGAAAGGCTTTGTTGTCAAGGTCACAAATTGGTGAGCCCAAAGGATCATCTCGGTTTCACATACACAGGTGCTGTGCTCGCATTCTCCAAAGTTCATCAGCACTGCTGCAGGTGCTCAAATGCGAACATTCACACAGAAGCACTAACTTTCAGCTATTCTCGACTTCAAACAGAAAGACCATCACGAAAGGAGGCCGAGACCGCTGCCCCTTTGGGAGTCACTGCCGCGTTCCTATCCCAGGGAGCAAAGGGCACTCTCCCCTGCCCCGGCTCCCCAACCTGACCGTGGGTCTCCAGCAGCCGGCAGCAGGGGCTCAGGGTGCCGTCCCCCGTGACTCTCCAGCCCCACCTCAGAAGAAAGGGCCGCTCTCCCGTGAGCTGTGCCGGGAAGTCTCTTCCCAGGGGAGCCAGAGGTCCTCAGTGGGCCACATAACACGCCCACCGAGACAGACAAAGCAAGTTCGGTTCTCTCTCAGGCTCTAGGTCCCCGCTCTCAAGAAAAATGCCTGCCTTCCCCTCTCACAACTGTAAGGAAAGAAATCCTATTACAACTAGGAACGTGACAAAAACAACATAGAAATTCCAAGACACCTTGGAAACAGGGGCCTGCCTTGCCCAACCGCCATACCCCGACACGGGCAGGAGGCGAGGCAGCCACGACCTTCCACTGCGTCCCGCCCACCACCGGCCCCCACAAACATGCTACAAGGGGCCCCTGCGCCTGGCCAGGCACACCTCTGAGCAGTCCCTCCACCATCTCCTCTGTAGGTCAATCCCCAACCAGATCATTACCAAGTGAAACAATCTGAACTAAAATAAACAGAATTCAAGCTCTCAGCGCAGTGGGATCGTGCATGCTGACTCAAGGGCACAGACAGAAACCTGTGAACGGGACTGTCAGAGCGCTCACAACGGCTTAGCTCCCCACGAACCATCTCTGTCTGCACGGGCGTCTAAGTTCATTCTATGGTTTGGCTCTTTTTTCCGGGCTCTCTGTCTCCACGTGCAGAGACTCTGGCTCCCTGCGTGCCCCTTCTGCCTGGGTGGCAACCCTGCCTCCTGCCTCTCCCTCCCCCGACTCTGAAGCGCCTCCTGGGGAGGGTCTTCATCAGAAATGACCGAGGCCGCCTGAAGCTCTTCCCTAATGGACCCAGGCCCCGTGTAGCCCTGGCTCCTTACCCCTCGCATAGCTGATCCGCAGTCTCAGAAGAGGTTGGGAACCAGCGCCACATTCACATGCCAGTGAGGGCAGTGTCCTCTTCCCGTGCAGGGAAAGAAAATGTCCTCCAGGATGTAAGGAGCTGGGGGGGAGCCCCTGCAGGGCAAAAGCGGGCCCCGGGCTGGAGGCAGAAGGGCCCGGGCTTCGCAGGACAGCCCCGCGGCAGGTGTCCCTCAGGACCGGCCACCAGGACACGCGAGAGGACCCCGGTTCTTTCCTACTCTGCTCAGCCCCCGGCAGGAGACGACAGCAGAGGCAGCCCTCGGGGACCTGGCACCCAGCTATGCCCCCCCCAACCCCCGGGGAGGTCCCACCTACCCCAACCAACCTGGTGAAGCTGCTGCTGCAGGGCCCGGCTCTCTGTCACAATGGCGATCTGGGCCTCCAGGTCCCGGTGAACTGACCTGTACCCAAAATTAGGAGAGCCAATCAACGTGAGACAGGGCAGGCTGCTCCCTGCCAGGTACAGCCAGAGGCCTGCAGGGAAAAGGAAACGTGCAGACAGGAAGTGAGCACAGCAGCTGCCACAGCCTCTCCAGTCGCGCTCCCACCCAAGAGGAAAGCAGCCCCCCACGGGGTTTGCGTGAACAAGACACCGAGGGGACGGGCTAAGCAGGGGCCACGTCTGCCCAGCCCAGGGTGCTGCCAGGAGGCGCAGGGACCGCAGCGTCTGCAGGGCAGCCCGGCACTAGGGACACTCACTGGGACAGCTCCCCTTTCTGCCACATGGCACGCTGTGGCCTCTTTTCCCGACAAGGCAAGAAGTCGGTTCTTAAAAGGACCCTGGTGATGCCAGTGCTCAGGCTCTGTTCTCACCCCCACCCACCCCGCGATGCTACCAGAGCCCCTCCCAGAGAGCGCAGGGCCTCTAATTCCCGCTCTCCGAACTGCCTCAGCCGCGTCCTGGCCACCATCCAGCCTCCCCTGTCCTTCCGCAGGCCCGGTGGGAAAGCGGCCCAGCAGAGCTCAGGTCACACCTGATTCTCAGGAAAGAAGCCAGCTGACCTGTGGGCTCAGGAACAGAGATGCTTTCACCCAAGCCAGCAGACACGGGGCGGTTACGGGCATGACGAAGGACTGGGTTTAAGAGCGGGCTACTTGGCAAAGCAGGCCGTAAGCAGCCTGTGGGGTGGAGGGCATCTGTCCTTCCTCCTAGAACTGGCGTGAGGACGCCCCCACCAAAACCCTTGCAAGAGCAGAGGGCAGAGAAGCGAGGGGACTGGTCCAGCTCCCACCTCCTCCCAGAGGAGCGCTCCGTGGGCCCCTGAGTCAGAGCTCTCGATGTCTGGGCTCCTATGCGATTTTGTCCCAGATCTCTTAAGGTGGAGCCTGGGTCTGACCGAGCTATTAAGGGTCCCTGCAAGGGGAGGAGCAGCCCAGCACGGGCCCTTTAAGAGGGTTTTGGGGCGGGGGACAGCCGATAGAGCCCCAGCCTGAAAACAGAGCTCAGGTTACTCCACGCTGCATCCACCTGCTGCATCTACCTGAAGACGAGCTGGGCCCTGCCTCCCCAGGGCCACTCGACTCTCCCTCGCTCAGACTGCTGACTGCGAAGCCCACCGGGGCACCAGAAATGAGCCTGCTGGGGGCTCGGGGCTTTAGGCCAGACAGACGAGAGGTCACGAGAGGCCGGCGCACAACAGAACCTGGGAGACCCTGTCCGTTTCAGTCCCAACCCAGAGAACACTGCTTCCCCCTTTTTTGCTAGAAAATGAGCCAGTTAATACCACAGACAGGAAAAAGCAGGGCTCGGTGTGAGCAGCCATGTGGTAGTGGCTCCTGCCTTGCCCGCCACCCTCCCCCAGCCCTGGGAACTCGCCATCTCTGACAACACCATGGCGACATCTCTGTAATGAAGGTGGTGGATTCTATCAGAATCCTACATGTCACCTGAAACACGGCAGGCAGGTCCTCTGCTTTGCACCCCATTCCATCCCCTCTGAGTTCCAGGCCCCATCAGGACTACTTCTCCTAAAAAGACTATTCCCCAAACCTAACCTCTCAAGGACATCTGCTGCCCAGACTTCCTTCCTCCTACGGCGAGCCCAGGCTTGCATCTGGCCTCTTCTATCTTTCCCTCCACGCTGCACCAAGAGCGCCCAGGCCAGGACACCCAGTGTGGCCACGTCAGTCCCAGGCTCCTCTGCAGGCCACCCTGCACAGGGCTGGCCTCCTCGCACCCTCCCACCACCACGGGTCTCTCCCCTGCCAACGTGAGCCTTTCAAAGGGCACACAGGCACGCAGGAGCAACACAAGCAAATCAACGACATGTAACACACACACCACGCTCCTAAAATAGAAGGCCATTTCCTAATTCTCACTCAGAACAGGAGCATTTCCAAGAACGTCTTGGGTAAGAGATGATGGCTCTCTGCTGCCTGTTCCTGTAACATGCCTGCCACCCCCCAACACACACACACGCAGGGGCCACATCAAAGCCACTGGCTTGCCCTGTGTATCGCTCGATCGACTGTAGCCTGCTCCGCTGGGCCGCTGCATGTAAGCAACCGTGTGGCTCATCTTAGCACGCGGCCAGACCACACGGGTGGGCAGGCTGGCCCTGGCACTCTGCTCCAGATGCCCAGGGAGGTCCGAGCGTCCTCCTCTGCAGTAAAGGCCCTCCATCTGCACTAGGCTCAGCCGCCCCGCCCCAGCCCTCCATAAGCGCAGGGCTGGGTGAGATCTCCACCTGTCGTTACTGTTCCAACTCTTCTTTTATTCAATGTATTTTATTATTTCATATATTTTTTTTTTTTGGCTGCACCACACGGCTTGCAGGATCTTAGCTCCCCAACCAGGGATCAAACCCGTGCCCCCTGTTGATGCCCTGTTGGTTGTGTATGACATACACCTATTTCTTCTCTCTTCTCTCTTCCCTGCCACCTCTGCCTCCCTCAGCTTCTTTCCTCTCTGGCCCAGGGTGGACTTCAGGCGAGTGCTTGGATTAAAGAGGCAGCGCTTTTTTACCTACTGACCACTTTGGTGAGGCCTGCAATCACTCAACCAACTTTCCCTGTAGACTCATTTGCACGGTCTTTCTCCATCGAAAAGAAAATAAAGACCATAAATGGCGAGACGGCCACCCTTTGGCGTGCCGTGATGGGGCGGGGGTTAGCGCAGAGTGGGAAGCCAGAGGGGGATGCCACGCGGTGCCACCAGCAGCTCCACATGATGCCCACAGCCTCAGAGAGCCCGGGACAGGGGGGCCACTACGAACAAGAGTCCTTCTAGATTGAAGATCACCAAGTCAGGAGTTTTTAGCTATTGGTCTGTGCCCTGAAGACAACTGGGAAATTCTCACTCAGGGAGGGGAGGCCCTCCCAAGAGGCCCTTTGGAGCTCCCCTCCCACCAGACACACAATGCCACTCAGGATGTCAGGGCGAATACACACAAAGGGTGAGACTCACTGTCGGGAAACACAGCACTTCCCAGCCCAGCCATAAACCTGTTATCAAGCCCCAAGTCCTCATCCCAGGGCCCGACCTTTGGGCCCAACACCTCCAGCATTCCCGGAACCGGTGGATCAGGGAGAGACGCTGCAGCAGCAAGGACGGCACAGGAGGGGAGAAAGTGCCTTTGGGGGTGTCGGGGGGAGACACTGAACTTCAGCACCGGGGACAGCAGGTCTCACCACAAAGGGAGCATGCCGTGGGTACAGAGATGACTGGACTTGGAGGCCAACAACTTCCACTGCCTCCCAGCTCTGCAATGAGACATCCTGCCCCACGCCCTGGCCTCCTCTGTAGGGAGAGAGACACCTGCTTCCGCTCTGCTCGCGCCGACGGTCCTTCACAGTCCCAGCATCATGCTGAAGGGTAAACCAGAGAGCCCCAGGCTGCCCGCAGCCCTGGCTCACCCTGGCCTCCAAGCCCCTTCCAACCTCAGTGCCCATCCTCCGCTCTGACCACCCTGGCCCAGGGGGTGTCCTTCAAGCCTAGTGTAGTCTCGGGGCTCCACGCTTCTGTTCCCTCTGTCCGGACCTCTCCTGCCCAGGGGTCTCTGCTCAGTGTCACCTCCTCAGAGAGGCCCTCCCTGATCCCCATCTAACAGACCGCCATCAACCTGGAGCCCCCTCCTGCTCTGGTCTTCTTCAAAGCTCTTTCCACGACCTGACATTGTATTTGAATAGATTCATCCACTTCTTATCTGCTTCCCAGTAACCCACACCTCACGAGGGCAGGGAGTTGGTCTAGTCCCCAGTGATGTATCCCCAATGCCCTGAATGCTGCCTGGCACACAGCAGGCCCTCAGTAAATACTTGTTTGAACAAAATAAATAAAATGCGGATAAAAACACCTCTTCCAGGGCTTCCCTGGTGGCGCAGTGGTTGGGAGTCCGCCTGCCGATGCAGGGGACACGGGTTCGTGCCCCGGTCCGGGAAGATCCCACATGCCGCCGAGCGGCTGGGCCCGTGAGCCATGGCCGCTGAGCCTGCGCATCTGGAGCCTGTGCTGTGCAACGGGAGAGGCCACAGCAGTGAGAGGCCCGCGTACCGCAAAAAAACAAAACAAAACATAAAAAACCACTTCTTCCAACAAACGTTTAAGTATATAAAAAGGCCTTGAGGTTCTACAGCAGGAGCACATGAACATTTCAGGTTAGAGACCTTCTTTGAGGATCTCTCCAGGAAAAATTCAAAATTATGCACCCCTCCCTCTCGTCCCCACACAATATTCTGCAATAAATTTCAGAGGGTTCTCAGGTCCCTGTAAAAACAAGAGGGGACAGAAGACATCACAGTCCTAACCTCAGATGAATGAATAAGCATCACCTATTCTGAGGCCAGAACAGAACCAAAACACTCCAAGAGGCCTGGAGGCTGGTGCCTGCTCGGTCCAAGGTGAGCGGCACTGCCCCAGGCACACCCCCATCCCCAGGTGAGAACTGCCTCACGTGTGCCCCACAAACAGGGTGGAGCTGCCCTGGTTCTCACTACAAGTTCACCTTTGGGCGCCATGCCAAGTGGCCTATCGGGAAGGCAGTAAAAATAGTGACAATTCTCACAATCATTAACAGATTCCTCTGTCAGCAGGAGCCAGAAATCTCTTAATCCAGTGGCCCTGCCCCGCCCTCGCCACACACATCGTGCTGTTAATGCTGGAATATTGCATCCACACGCAATCAAAGTCAACATCTTAACAGCAGGCAGAGCCCACGTCCCCCAGCATGGATGTGGCCCTTGCTCTCACAGCAAGAAATCCCATCATGGTGCACACACCGCCTCTCAGCCCCCTCCTCTCCATGGAGCAGAAAGCTAAGAAGATGCGAGAACTAGGTTTGACACACTTCATGCTCACTCAGACTCCCCTGAAGTTGCTGCCTCTCCAAGACCTAAAGAGGTTAGTTCATTGGCACAAGGTAGACAGAGCACGCACAACCTCTGACAATGCCATCCTGCTCCTGGTCCCCTGTACCCTACTCTCAACCAGGACCAAGTTTAAAAGGGGAACCCCTGGAAGCAACTGAGATGTTGTTCAGTAGGCGAGAGGATAAACCGTGGTCCATCTGTACAATGAAATACATTCAGCGCTAAAATGAAATGACCTATCAAGCCATGAATAGACGTGGAGGAAACTTCAGTGCATGGTAAGTGAAAGAGGCCTGTCTGAAAAGGCTTCAGGCTGTTATGATTCCAACTATATAATATTCTGGAAACGGCAAAACTATGGAGACAATAAAAAAAATCTATGATTGCCCAGGGCGGAGGCCAGGGGTGTGGGGGGGAGATAGGCAGAGCACAAGAACACAGAGCGGGGGGTTCCCCTGGTGGCGCAGGGGTTAAGAACCCGCCCGCCAATGCAGGGGACACAGGTTCGAGCCCTGGTCCGGGAAGATCCCACATGCCGCAGAGCAACTAAGCCCGTGCACCACAACTACTGAGCCTGCGCTCTAGAGCCTGCGTGCCACAACTACTGAGCCCACGGGCCACAACTACTGAAGCCCACGTGCCTAGAGCCCGTGCTCCACAATGAGAGAAGCCCGCATGCAGCAACGAAGAGTAGCCCCCACTTGCCGCAACTAGAGAAAGCTCGTGCGCAGCAACAAAGACACAACACAGCCAAAAATAAACAAATAAAATAAATTTACAAAAAAAAAAAAAAAAAAAGAGCACAGAGGGATTTTAGGGTAGCGAAACTACTCTGTACATTTGTCCAGACGCACAGAACGTGTACCACCAAGATGAGCGCTGATGCAAACTGTGGACTCAGGGTGACAATCACGCGTCTCTGTGGGTTCATCAATTATAATAAATGTAGTGGGGGGCTGTGCATGTGTTGGGGGGCAGGGAGAGCACGGGAACTCTCTGTACTTTCCTCTCAGTTTTGCTGTGCACCTAACACTGATCTAAAAAAACTAACTCTTTAAACTCCAGCTGAGCTGGTGGTGCTCCCCATTAGGTCGGAATGCTCCCCCGCTCCCAGAACCCTGTCCCACCTCACCCACCAGGTGAGGAACGAAGGCTGGGCAACAGGAAGCTGACAAACCACCAATCAGAAGAGCTGCCAGCTGACGGATGTGAAAGGTGGACCCCACCCTCCCCCACCCCCAAAGCCCTCCTGAGGCCAAGCAGATGCTGGTAACAAGACTTCCGGGTTCAGTGTCGCCCTTCACTGAGCCATGGGGAGATCAGCAACAAAACTATAGGTGAGGAGGATGCCTCTCCTCGCCAGGGGTCCCAGCCCTCCGACGCCACACATGGCGTCCCTGCCACGACCCCTGGGACTCCACTCCTCGCCCATGAACTGCACGGTCGCTTCACAGAAACTCGAACGCATGCATGTCGCCACTCCCTCCTGAGTGCAACCCAAAGCCATCGCCCCAGCTGACACGGAAGTTGAACCTGGTCCCTCCGCTTGTGCCAAAGGCAAATTTGGGCTGAGAACCAGGCTTTGAGACTCCCATCCTGGTAACCTGCCCACCACATCATGCTTACCCAGGGTAATAAAACTAACCAGATAAAAACTCCCAATAAAAACTAACCAGATGGGACCACATTGCCAAAGGGGTCTCTAGTACATGCCTTTAAAGAGTGGAAGGTCCCTCTGGTTCTTTGAAGCAGCTCAACTTATTAAAATGGGATATATATTCAAGTCTGCTAGGAAATCGACAGAGTAGCCGGTGAGGCGGCCTCTGCTCAGGCCACTGGGCAGAGCCAGCGCTGCTCCAGCCGAGCACGCACCCCTGGCTCCATGTTCCTGGCGACACTCGGTGAGCAGAAAATAACAGAGTACACCCCAGCCCTCAGGGCCTCCCGTCACCAGACTGCACTGCTATCCACTAGCACCCGTGGACCGGCGTGGCCGTTGCGCACGAGAAGGCTGTTTCTCCCCACCTCGCCTGCCAGCGTCCACAGGCCTGGACCGAGCGGAGCTTTCCTGCATCGCCTCGCACGTGGCCACCAGCAGGTTCAACACAGTCAGGGCCCAGAGCCTCAGGGTGCCTGACTCCCAGAGGCATGCGGCGCTGACAGCACTCTCGGAGGGCAAGGGTCTGGAAGCGGGAACACGGTGTCCCTGTTCCCCCTCGTCACCCAAGGGCTTCTGGGAGCAGGAGCCCGGGGAAGGGAACTGTAGTATAGGCCACTCAGCCATGGGGAAGAATTTTCCGGGGCCCAAATGCAGACACACCGCTTGCACCCAGCATGGCCCCTGCACAGGGCAGGCAATCAGTAGATGGTCCACCACTCCGCAGTCCAAATCCAGCGCCACCTGCGCTGCCAGCTCCTTGTCCTAGGTTGCTTTGGGGGAAATGACCATCAAGAGATGAGCCAGAAAGGGGGGCTGACGTAAGAGTCCCCACTATCGAGAACAGCCACTAGGCAGGGAAGGGCCTGGCCTCTCATTTCAGCGCTGAGTGATCTGACCTTTGGCTCCTGCTGTTAGGGTGAGGTGTCTTCTGCGCAGAAGCCCCTCTCCACGTGCCCCGTCGTGCTCTCCCCCTCCCCCTCTACTGCACACACCCTGGGATTCCTGGCCTTCCCCACTAAGCCAGCTGCCAGGTGGCAGGGCTCCACCCGCAACAGGGCGTGTGGCAGGAGGGAGCGGCTGGAGCACGCCAGTCCGGGAAAAGGCGAGACACACTGGAAAAGCCGGTTGGGTGTTTCTGTTTCAACGGTAACTGGGGAGTCACTGCACATTTATCAGCGCAGCTTCACGGAAATAACCCATAGCACACTCAGAACTGATGGGCCAGGCTACGCTGGGGGCCCCAAAGTGACAAGGGACCCCCTGCACCGACCAAGCCACAGGGCAGACGAGGAGCGAGCGCTCTCAACGTACCTCTGCACAGCTCGCCAGGCACACAGGTCCCCTCAGAGCTCAAAGCTCCTCCCACTATCCAGCTCTCTGTCTCCACTACCCCACCCCAGGCACCACTGTCATTCTCAGAAGTAACAGAGCCAATCCTAAAATACCTTCCACACCCCCGTGGGCTGGCCTGCCTGCCTGGAGACACCTAATCACCGGCCGGGCTTAGCCCATGACACATCCAGGATCGGTACAATGGCAGAGCTCACTTCCCACACCAGACAGTGCCACCTGCCTGAGCAGGCACGCAGGCCTCACAGTAGCAAGTGGGGACCACCCAATCCCAGAGGGCTGGACCCAGGAGGCCTAGGGTGGCCTGGGGGGATTTCCTAGTATACCTCCAGATGGAAACCAATGGTTTAAGAAAACAAGAGTCCAACCTGAGGGTTCAAAGTGACCTCAAGTCTAAACAACATAGATGAGTGGCTGTGACAACACCATCCCCCTCCCGCCTCGCTCAGGCTCTCCAGAAGCCCCCAGGACTAGCGCAGGAGCAAAATGGGTCTCTGAACCACCAGCAAGAATTCAGGAAAGCCAGGCACTTCAGTCGGGGCTTGGGGTCCCCACGCTGTCCACTATTCCTTTAGACACAGGACTAACCGAGCTGGCCATGGGGTCTCCCGGAGGACAGAAAGGAGCAGTCACACTCGAGAGGCAGATGCCCTCGGCATGGAGAAGGCACAGGGTTCTAAACCCGTTTGTTCACATCGTGGCTATCCCCTGGGATTGTGCCACATGTGGGCTGCTCCACGGATGCACATAACTGTGCAAGAGAGACCATTACAATATGCAATTCACACTCTGACCCACCCTGAGGCAGTCCGGTACATGTAAACATTCTAAGTAGACAGCCTCAGTTTTCTCAGCTATAAAAAAAAAAACAAAAACACGAAGGTTTGGCACATGGGGAAAAAACAGGACTGGTGAGGAAGGGACTGAAAAAGTAGGCTGTTTGATGCCAAACAAATGATCCCTAAGGAATCCTCTCTGTCCCCAAGAAGGGCAGGGCCAATGCGGGAGAACTCAGATGATCACAGAAAGACTAAAGCACGTGCCTTTTCATCTATTTGAGGGGAGAGGTTACATGTATATTTTTTAAAACAGCCCCCCAAATGATCTGAGTTTATAAGTTTTGGGAGAAATCTTGCATAACTGAAATGCACATAAATGCGATGACTGTGATGCGCCCGCAGGGCTGTCATGAAGACAGACGGGGGAAGGGGCAGGGCTCTACCAGGCAGGCACCGGCACCACGGGCGCTAACAAGTGGGCCAACTGGTCCACCCCCCGGCTGTCCCGCATGGGGGCCATCCTCTGGCCAGCCAGCTGCCACATACCTTTGGCATGAAACGTCCAGCCCCTCCGCCAGTACTCCTGCAGCTGGACCCGCTCCTGCTGCCCCAGGCTGCACACCTCACTGTAGAACTGCCGCTCAATATGCACGTAGGCGGCTGGGATGGCACCTGCCACCCCCTTGGCCCCGAAGAAGCCGTTCACCTCCGGCGAGGCCAGCAGGATCTGGTATTCGGCTCGCGTGCCCAAGACCAGGTCCATGTAGGACTGGGTCAGGTTGAAGTAGCCAGTGGTAAGGTAGACCTTAGCGCCTCGCTCGGCCTCTGTCAGCAGGGTCTCAGTGACAATCTCATCGATCTGAATCTCAAAGGGCTTCATCTGGATCAATGGGTAAATCCAGGTGTCTGGGGCTGGCCTCTGGTCTCCAGCGGCTGCTGCATCTTCCTGGGTTAAGAGGGCCTTGCTGTGGAAGGTCTGGGCATGCAGCATCTGCTGGCGGGTCCTGGCTGAGTTGATCACATCCATAACCCTCTGATTGGCTGCCTTGCAATACGCAGCCTGGTCACCTAGAGGGAGACATGGCAAAGGGGAGTCAGGAGCAGAGACGGGAGGCTCTGGACTCCCATTCAGCACGGGAGACACACCACATGGCATGTGACAGGCAAGCACAGATGCCACAACTGATCCTTCACCAAACACGTCTCGATTGAGCACGAGACACCGGGCCCATGTGAGGCTCCTCTGTGGACAGAAGTGCCCGGAAAAGGATCTTGCCACAAGAAGCCTGCACTCAGGGGGAAATGAAAAGGCCTCTACCAATCCACTTACGAAAAGTTAAAAACCAGGAAAGACTAGTTGAGGGTGGCAGTGGTCAGGATAGTGGGCACATTGGGGGTCACGCCTGGCTAGGGACCCGAGGGGGCTTCTGGGAGCCAACCCACTATGAACACGCACATAAGCTGCACACCCGTGACTAGTGTGCATGTTACACATCAGAAAGAACATGTGTCCAACAGAGACACGTTTAAGTATGGCCAGAGAGCAGGAGAGCGAGCCACAAAGGGTCAGAGGTGAACAGGCAGGCTCTGGGCCTTGTTTTCACACGGACACCAGTGACGAGTGGCTGCATGGACACAATGAAGGGAAAAGAAGTGAGTCTAAATTCTATCACTGGATGATAAGAGAGTTAATGAGCTAAAGCATCCAACTCAAGAAGTTAGGAGGAAAAACAACAGGAAAAGCCAAAAAATACAGTACAAGGAAGGACATTATATAAAGCAGAAATTAACAAAGAAAACAACAGTATAAAAATAGGTAACTTCAACATTGTCAAAAGTTGATTCTCTGAAAAAACTGACAGAATAGCAAGCCTTGGGCAGGGCTGATCAACAAGAGAGAGACGGACAGCACGACTGTCCTGGTCACCGCTCACGCGCTCTGGGCTGGGAACAGGCGCACACGCCCGAGTGCCTTCCAGGGCTGGGCAACAGCCCAGAGAAGGAATGTTGCTTGCGGGGATCCCTCCTTACTGACGGCGGCCACCACGGGGGCCGCTCACTCACTGCTTCTCTTGAGCTGCCCTGGTCCCGAACACGGCTGTGCCCAGCCCCCCACGCCCTCTGAGTGTGCTGGCTCTCAATTCTTCCCCGAATGGGGGCCCTTTTTTCTGCATATTCACACCAGGCCTGTTAAGTTAGATCAGGGGTCAGCCAGTGTTTCCTGTACAGGCCAGACAGTAAATATTTCAGGCTCTGTGAGCCAGAGGGTAAAATTGAGAACACTGTGTAGGTACTCATATAATGAAAGAGAAAACAGACTTCCATAAATTTTTGTTGAAATTTAAAACATAATAGTAATTATCATACTACTCTCTAGCACGTAGGCGTAGGGGCGGCAGGCAAGGCAGGCACACAGATCACGGGCTGGCTCCACAGCGCACAGATCCCCAGGCCCCCGGGACAGGGTTCCCACCAGACATCCCCACTCAGATGCTTCCTTTCTGGCTCTTCTCCTCACATGGGCTAGGTTTAACCCATTCCCCACATTGCTAACACGGTTGCAAATTCAGCAGCAGACCTCCTTAAAGGCCACCAGGAAGCCACGGCCACAAGAATCACAGGAATGCAAATAGCCCGGGAATGCTAGCTGCCAGGGTTTGCCTGTTTCCAGTGAGCAGGACCGAGGACTCTCCCATTTCACGTTCCAGGCAGGAGGCCGCAGACCTCAATGGAGCCGAGAGCCACAGACCCTCTGTGCTCCAGAGTCACGGGAGGTGGCCCTGAGGGGGGTGGCCATCTAGCAGGCCGCTTCCTGTAAGTGCACGGCAGGCTCCCAGCTCACTCCCGCGGGCACCCAGACCCGAAGCCCACAATCCCACCTTCCCCGGCGTCTCCCTCACCCGCAGAGCATGACCGATAGCCAGTGAGTCACGTCTGTCTGGCTCCAAAGACAAAAGCAGAACAAGGCTCTGCCACCCAAACCTAAACCCGTGGCAAGGCCCCCAGAGGCGCGCCCTCCTCACCCTCACCACCCCCAGGCTCAGGAGGGCGAGGAGTCTGGGACCCTACCTTTGTAAGGATGCACCATCCCCTCCACCACCTGCACCGTGTCGTCCCCCTGCAACTGCAGGGACACGTCCCCCACCGCGTCCACCAGCTCCGTGAAGAAGTCCGCAATCTCAGGACAGTCCTCCAAGAATACGTAGCGGTCCTGCCGGTTGGTGAAGTAGGAGTCACTCAGGTTTGCGCTACAGGGAGGAAAGCAGCAGGTGAGGACTCAGGCGATAGGGTGCGACAGCAAGTGCTGGTGACCCCGGTCTCAGGGTCACCAGCAGGAGCAGGGGAGCAACCAACTCGGATCAGGTGCACCAGCAGCCAGTTAAGAAACAGCTACTGACGGGCTTCCCTGGGGGCGCAGTGGTTAGGAATCCGCCCACCAATGCAGGGGACACAGGTTCCAGCCCTGGCCCGGGAGGATTCCCATATGCCGCGGAGCAGCTAAGCCCGCGCACCACAACTACTGAGCCTGCGCTCTAGAGCCCGCGAGCCACAACTACTGAGCCCGCGTGCCACAACTACTGAAGGCCGTGCACCTAGAGCCCGTGCTCCGCAATGAGAGAAGCCACTGTAATGAGAAGCCCGCGCACCGCGACAATGAGTAGCCCCTGCTCGCTGCAACTAGAGAAAGCCCGCGCACAGCAACGAAGACCCTACACAGCCAAAAATAAATAAATAAACAGATAAAATAAAATAAAACAAACAGCTACTGAGCCTGGCCGCTCACGAGAGGCGGGCGAGAGTGACACTAAGGTGACACAGAGGAGTGACCGCAAGGCCGTCCCCTCACTGAGCTGACCACCGAGAGGAGATGCGGACACTTACAGAGCCAAGGACCACTCGGGCTTGGCCCCAGTGTCCCCTAAAGGGCCTGGATTCCCACCCGGCCCTGCCTGACAAAGTTATTTGTCCTCTCGGGCTTCTTGTGTACAAAGTGAGGGAAAGACCACGTGGGGTGACAGTGAGCATTAGCTGAGACAGTACACGAGGGGCTCACCCAGGAGCAAACACAGAGTAAGGGCTCAGTAAACCACGGCCAGCTATCAGTCGCCCTTCGTGGCTTCCAGCCTCCGTGGCAGACAGGACACCGGGAAGACGCCGGGAGGGCCAGGCAACCAGACTAAACACGTAGCAGCAGGCCCTCGAAGGCTTGCGGGGACGGACCTTCCCTTCTCTGCGTGCTGCTGGTCTCTGCCCTGGAGACCCCGACAGAAGGAAGCCAACTCACCCGCTCAGGATGACGCTGTTGTCGAAGAGGTACACCTTGATGTGCTGCAGGCCGATGGTCTCGTTGAAGCGCTCGGGGATGAGGAGCCGGAGGAGCCCACGGAGGTTAGGCGTGTGGAAGAGAGACACTCGGACCTGTTCTGGAAACCTCTGCAGGAGTGGGAGCAGCATCGTGCGAGAGTTTTTCCTTCCTGAAGACGTGGGCAAGCAGGAGAGCAAGGACGGCAGAGTCACACCAGGAAAAACACGCAGCCCGCCAGTGCAGCGCCACCTACCAAGGGCCTGCGCAGCCGTCCAAGTCAGACCGCCGGGGGCTGTTTTCAGCCAGAGGGGCTCCGGGACAGCTTCTACCTGGACACCCACCACATCTCGGGGCAGGACTGAGCGGCCCGTGTAGCGGACATCCGCTCTTCCGGCCCCACAGCACCCTCTACCCACCTCATGGTAACTGCACCCAATCTCCTCCCGGGGGCACCACCCAGCCCCGCTCTCAGATTTCTGCTCTGGGTGAAGATGACTCTGTCCACCCCGGCTCTGGGAAGGCACGCAGGCCCAGGCTGGGCCGGTCAGCACGCTCAGAAGGCCTGGCACAGAGCCCGAGACAGGCCATGCAGGAGCTCCAGGCTGACCACGAGGGAAGCAGGTGCTCTTCCAGTGGACAAGATGTGGCAAGGTGGGCCTGGAACTGCCAGAGGCTGCCGCAAGGAGCCAGAAAATGAAGCCAGCCTAAAGGTCCAAGCCCCAAATCACGACCCACCCGAACCAGGTCAGACGTGGAAGTCAAAACAATTCTCTTTTTCCCAAAGTCATTTTTACTTGGACTGTCGGTCACTTGCCACAGACAGAATCCTGACGGACAGGCCGTCCTGGGCCATCCCAGAAGGGCTTCAAATAGCCTTGCTGCTGGCTGAGGACAGGGCAGTGAGGGTGTAATTCCTCGTTCTTCCTGAACAGGGAAGAATCGGGGCCAGGGAGGGCGTCAGACCTACCTCTTGAGCCCCGCGTGAAGTCTAAGAGAATGGACACCCTGAGGTCGGAAGGAAACTTTGTCTGGAGTGACTTTTCTAGAGTGCTTTCCAGGCAATCCACCTGCCAAGAAAAGACCCCAAAAGAACAGAAATGAAAGATCTGAAAAGATGGTTATGTATTAAAGAAATGAACCAACCTGTCAGCTAATGCCCGCACGGTCCTCTTTGAACACACACAAGCATGTACACGCACACACCAGCCATGCTTGCCCAGAAGCCAACGCTGCAGAACCTCTTCACCTGAGGCCACCGCGGTAACCGTAATCCAAAGACATGGCGTCTGCGGCCTGGGCCTGGCAGGATGAAGGCTCTGGGGGTCAGGGACGCGGTGCCCAAGGGTCTGGACCTCGCCGCTCTTGAAAACACTAAGACACCAGCTCCCACACACGTTCCAATGGATCATCCTTACAGGCACACAACAAACAGCGCCCCACACACAGACAGCACTCGGTAAATATTTGCTGAATGAATAAATCCAAGACACAACCTGCCCACTGCCACTCTCCACAGGCTGGACGTGGCATTCGTCTCCCAGGAGAACAAACACGCTTCCCAAGGTGACAGCTAAGAGCACGGGCAGACTTTCCTCACACAGGAAGGGAAGGGGTGGGCTCTCTCCTGCCCCCCACCCTTCCCCCTCGCCCCCTACCACAGCCCCTGTTCTCTTCCAGCTATGCCCTGGGGGTTTCTGAACAAGGCAAACCAAGAAACAACACTTGCTGTGGGCAAGGGTCCATCTCATTCCCTCAGAGTAGAAAGCCATCCAGGGACTCCGACAACACAGCGACCTCATTCACACTCATTTCAGCTCAACCTACAGATTCTGCGCTGGGCTCGTCCTACAGGAAGCACCCGCTGCACAACAGGTGACGTCTGCTCCTTCCCAGCCCCGCGTGTCTCGTTGGAAGGGACAAGCACGGCATGACAGCAAGTCTAGGTAGAGCCAAGCTGGCCGCAGACCCGCACCCGACACCAGCCCTGGGCGAAAGCAACGGCCAGCTCGACCTGCCATGCTGGCTCCTCTGCCTAATACAGACTCAGAAGCCTTCTCTATGAAGGACCAGATAGTAAATATCCTGGGCTTTGCAGGTCAGATGATCCCTGTCACAGTTACTCAGTTCAGCCACTGTAACAAGAAAGCAGCCATAGACCAAACAAAAATTAATGAGAGTCACTATGCTCCAATAAAGCTTTATTTATGGACACAGAAATCTGAATTTCACATGCTTTTCATGTGACACAATTATTACTCCTCTTTTGATCTTTTGCCAAACATTGAAAATGTAAAGCAGAAGACACGGGTTTGAGCCCTGGTCCAGGAAGATCCCACATGGCAGAAGATCTAGGTGCACGGGCTTCAGTAGTCGTGGCTCGCGGGCTCTAGAGCACAGGCTCAGTAGTTGTGGCGCACGGGCA